ATCATGCGTTGAGTGCATCGGGTTTTGGTCGGATACTTTCTCCAAGCAGGAGAAAGTCTCGCCTTACATGGCATATTAGTGCACACACTGAGATTAAAATATTAATTTGCGCGTAATGGTTGTCGCAAGATCATTAAGATTTCTAAACCTTAATGGGATAAATTATTATCAATCCAATGTTACATCTGCGTATGCTTTCACTCTAAGCAGAGTAAGTTATTAATACAATACTCAGGAGCTCCTTAGAGTATTAAAAACATAGAAATAATGAATGGGCGACTTATTGTGAGAACATGTTATTACAGTGCACATTATATATTATTTATTTACGGGATTCCGAACCGTTCGTTCATGTTTACTCATCGCCTGTAATGAGTAATGCATGCATGTATTAAGCGCTATACACGCGATGCATCTGAGATGGGATATTCTTATCGGTGTTAAGATCTTTGGAGGGTTTCTTAGATCGATTGAGAAGCAAATATATGGCTCGTTCTTCTATTCAGTCAATCTGAGAGACCAAATGAAAATCCAGCAAGCAGCATGGAAATATGCTTAGGTTTCCAGTTTTTGGATTTATTGTGTGTGAGTAGTAACGGAGGAGCAGACTTCCATCCAGCCGTCCTCGGGAGTGTCAATCTGCGTATAACCTCGACTTTGCTCTCTACGAAGGGAGAATGTATTCCAAAGTGCAAAATGGTCCTTTGGGTAGAGTCCGAAACTGTTCTGCTGCTCACTGCTGTTGCTGCTGAATCTCGAAATAGCCAGAAAATCTTGCTATTTCGAGATGAAGATCTTAAGAACTTTTAGAGGAGAATGAATCCTTGAAAGTCTTATATTGTACTTGAGCACTATCACTCAAGACTACTGCCAACACTCGACACAAACATGATAGCTAAAATGATATTTATTGCCACATCTTTTTGTACACTTTTCCACAAAGACAGAGAGAGAGAGAGGCGATGAGAAACAAAATTAGGACCCAGCCAGCCACCAGAAAGAAAGAATACATGTAATAAAATGCAATACAATAATATAGCAGCAGCAGCACGACGACACTATTCCTCCAAAAGTCCAATTGAGTGAAAGTGGGCGGGGGCACGACACTCAAACTTGCAATTACGGAATAAGGCTCTCTTTCTCTCTCTCATAAGTGACTGATTGCTATTCATTATGCACGCGGTATGGTTTGTGGTGCCCAATCCAACAGAATTTTCTCCACCGCAACTCCCATTATTTCCAGTTTACATATTTAAAAAGTAGTCGTCTTATAATTCTTAACGTATTTATGCATCATCAAACGTGGGGAAATTAAGAAGAGCCAGCATCTTGAGTTTGACAGCTGTCCAAGTTTGCAGCGTGATTTGTCTTCGTTTAATGGTTATAGACTTCCCAGAGGGATGAACGAGTTGATATTGCCTAATAAATGCTTTCCAAATTTCCACCAGATTTGTTGGTTTGGGTTGGATCACCACCACCACCAATACAAATAGAAGTAGCCGAGAGAGAGAGAGAGGCGAAGGAAGGAAGGAAGGAAGGAGTCGCATTGGCATGAAGAAAGTGAACCGAGTTTAGTCGGTTGAATCCCGGTGAGATTCTTATTGAATGATTTATGACTTTTCTACCCTGCTGCTCCAAGGCAAAGATTTTCACCCACGACTACCACCAAACGGTATGAAATAGGCGAAAACTCACCCATATTCGCCCTAATGAAATGAAACGGGAACAAAGGGAAAAATCAGCATCCACGACTTTCATTCACCTTCTCCACCGTCTCCTAACATGGATGTGAGTGGAAAGTACACATTTGGTGGAAATTTCTTACCACCACTCGACGACCATTCACACCCGATATACAGCCATTCAGAAAACTGTCCCATTCCTTTTCTCTCTCGTTCGTGCAGGAATTAAGGTTTGAGCGAGATTCAACCCCATCCATATGACTGGAGAGGATTGATGAGCTCAGGGGGTTGAAGTTGTGCAGGAGAATTGGACCTACGTGAAGCAGAAGTGGGGAGAGCGAGAGAGAGAGACACTCGAAACTTGGAAAGTTCAAGTAATGGGTCACAATTTGATTTGAGAATTTATAAGAGTTTCGAAACCTCACCCCTTCTCAAAGTTTATCTGTAATTGCTATCGATTTGCCAGCTCTAGGCGATATATTTGTATATATTTAACACCGCCTCATATATCATCTTGTCCCCATTCATCATATTTCTTCTGACACAAATCTTCCACTATCTTGTCCTCAAGTCAGGAGACAATTTGACAGTTGAAAATCCCTCGAGTTTTTGCATATCTAATTGGCTTCTCAAAGAGGAGAAGAACCAATCTGGTATGTACCGCGTCGTTTCTATTATTTCCCTCAGGAGAGAGAGAGCGAGAGACTAAGAGCTTTTTTGTCGTTTGATTTAAATTCTTGATGGTCTATGAGCGTCTTTTTACTGATTGAAGGGAATCTAACTGCCGCAAATACATCGTTAATGCTAAAGAGGGAGATGTAGAGTGCTAACCAAGATAGTTTCGCCTTTTATGTATGATCAGGCCATGCCCCAGAATATAAAGTCAATCACATAAGCTTTGACAAATTGAGAGATTTTTATCAACTCGAGGTCAAAATTGCATTGGAATTCAGCAGAGAGCAAATGTGTGTGTGTGTGTAGAGAGACTTATCACATCCTGCTCATCACCAAACATGCCCTCAATAAACGGATCCAAATAAATCCCAATTGTGATGGGATTTTGTGATGGTGGGAAAGTAAGTGGCCAACCAACCACAGGCAGCAGCGGAGGAAGAACCAAGTAGGAAAGAAAGGGAGCGAGACAAAACCGGCCGTGAAGCCAAAACGGCTCACCCAAATTCTGAATGGCAGAGTAGCAACGACGTAAAAAGCTGGAGAGAAAACGGGCATAAAGCGTGAAGAAGAGTATGATGATGTATTAGTCTCCTCCGTGATCTATCAAAAATCCAATATATTTCAAAAAATCCTCCTAAAATCGAAACAAAACCTTGACGTCCTCGTTTATCTCGATCAGTGAAGTCGCATGATGATAAAATGTACATTCGTGCGTCAATTTGTTACTGAAAAATTTCAACTCTGAAAACATCACTTTTGGTCTTGCTGCACCATCAGGAAGGAAGGAAAAGGAAACACAATCAACGCCCAACGACTACACACGGCTTAACAAATACGCCACGGATAAAAAAAAGAAAACAGGAAGAGATGACCGTTTCAATGGACAATAAACAACCCTCCACGTGGGATAAAGGACAACGACGACGGTATCCAAATGAAACTGTGTCCTCGTGGTGTTGCTAATTTACTTTGTGTTTTGAAAAGAAAGCAGGATTACCAAATAGAGCGTGAACAGGTTGAATTCTGCTACGGTGCGTTGCGAGTGAAAGTTGTGGATAACAATCAACCGTTGGTCTTTTCCGTCTTCTGCTCCTGAAGGTTGCTCGGAGGTAGAAGCAGAGAGAAAGAGAGAAATGGACATCTCGGAAGATCCGTCTACCTACATGTATTCTTATATTCGTTCGTGTGGGATGAGCGAATTGTTCCTTTCTTCCCATTGACGACGCAGGTGTTTGATTTCAGACGCTTTGGACATGCAATTTATCCATTTCCAAATGTGCCATGAGAGTGAGAGACTGTAATCGGCCATCAACGCTGCTTTCTTCTCTTTCCTTCACTCTTTGTGACCCAGAGCTCCAAGTGGAAGTCAATCATTTCACAATCTCTCATCACTTGTTTGTATTGACAGAGGGGAAAAAAGTGGATGAGAGGAAAGGGATCCATGCGTAAAATTGTTACTGCCTTTTATAAATAGCTTTAATGGATATAAAGCAGTACAAAAATGTTCCTACTTGGTATGCTTCGTGCAATCAATATTCTGTTGAGATCAAGTACAATGTCCTGAAAACGTATAGCAAATTCTGGATCGAATAATTCTAAAATGAGGCGAATCGAGACGTGGTGACAAAACCTTGTCTCCCTCCTCGTATTTTATGAAGGGGATAAAAATTCTGATTGTTGAAAATGGAGGCAACAGAATTAGGTTGATGATGACTCCAAAGAGGATTTGTCGTTCCGAAAAATGAGACTTTCAAGAGTGGATTACGGGTGTCGACGATTTTTACATGACGGGCGGCGGATACTCGCGAAACAGCTCAAACTCTAATTTCGATTTCTAGGAGGATCTTCCTTCCTTTTCTCCTTCTCCAGAAATCTATCACGAGATGTCCAATTTATAGTGTTGGCTATTCCTGCAGGTAGAAGGAAGCTGAGCACGGCGATGCTCCAAATGTAAGTGCACTCCGTCCGTGTACTGAAAAGTGAAAAAGGAATCGTAATTGTAATTCGTTGATTCGGATGGCACTGCTGCTTTGTGAAGTGGATTCGCTCGTTTTGAGCGTTTCTTTCGTCGTCGTCGTCGTCTTGTTCTTCCTCTTGAAATTCACTCTCTATCCTCGACTGGGAAGAAGCAAGAGGAGAAGTGAATACCGATCTCTGGGGACCCGAGGACAAAGAATCCTCTCTGTGACCATGGAAGAAGAAGAACTCCAAAGAATTTATACTTCCGCCTCTTTCAATCAAAGCACCCCTTTCTCCTGACTTTCTCCCAACTTTGATGTGTGTCCACGACCATGCTGCCTGCCTACCCTTCATCAAACATACATGTAAAAAATTAGTGTAGTAATGATACACAAATAATGTCATACGATCATCTCTATTAGGTTACATATTTACATATGTATTCATACACCTTACCCCAATGCTATAAAATTCGCATAATGATAAGAGAAATCGATGCAATTCTAACGTCGAGGGGACCTTGCTAATAGTGGCTAGGCTACAAATTATCGTTCTGAACTGACAGTTGTGAATTTTAAGCCTCAAGTGTATAGGAACAATTAAAAATATGATAATATGATTTTAATAAGAGATTTATATTGAGAATTTTTTAACGAGTTTCATATTTAATTAATTTAATGAGTCTAAGTACCACGCATAGAATCAAGCTTTTGCTCATGAATTCGTTATCTTTAACTCAAACACCACGATAACCTTGTAATTTTCCTCACGTAATTATGAGTATTTTCCAAGATTTCCAAATAATACATGATGCCAGCCTCAATTGTGGGACGTTTAGTGGGGCAAGACGCCACTGGATTCGTGGCAGTTTCGAATCACAGTTTGTTTTTGCCTGCTACAGATTTTTCTCTCAATCTTCTTTCCACTCCGCTTTCTCAAATTTCAAAATTTCATACGATGGTCTTTTTTGGAAATTTTGAATACAACAACGCATACTTGTAACGTCCCTTTGGTATCGTCTTGGTGGAGTTCTCTGTCAGTTTCTTCCAGACAAGTAAGTTCGTTTTATTTCCCCGTTGATTCTATCTTCAGTCTGACGTGATTCTGGTTTCACCGTTATAGTAGACAGACAACGGTTATAATTTGTGTCAGTTAGGTAACGGAGATTTGGAAAAGTCCCAGTGTCACTTGGATTAGACTCCACCAAACTGATTAGTTTAATTTTACCGTACTTAAAGTTGTCAATCTGGATTTCCACAATTGAGTACGTTAGTCTTATGTCATTCCTCAATCAATCGATTGCGTCGTGTCGTCTTTATTTTACTTCCTAATAATTATCCTTCCTATTAATTTTCAGTGAATTCATTTTTAAAGTTGCAAAATAACCCTATATACTTTCTGTTGTACGTTAGTCAACCATATTAATTATTAATAAAAATCGTTCAACTAATTTATCAAATCCTAAGAGGTAAGAGGAAGAAAATAAATACGTAATGATTTAATTTAAGTGAGGCAGTTTAATTCCTATATAAAAGCTAAATTATGTTTCGATTGATTACTACAGGTGATCGTGCGTTAACATAATTTGTTGCTATCTATGTTATTGAAACCTTGGCTTGCGACCTTGCGACCTAGTAGCGTCACCAATTCCAATTTTGGTAATCTGTTGAGAAAGTTGTCATCTCATAAATTGGTAAGTAGCAGACCTTTGCAATTAACTTTTTGTACTGCCGTGTTTCATTTTGACCATCATGCAATTTCACTCATATAAAGAAATAGCAAGCATACCACAAGTCACATTGCATCTAAATCTCATTTCATACCTCTTAAAAATTACAAGAAACAACTTTGGTCCAGAATTCAGAAGTACTGTTTTAATGCAGATGGATGGATGATAAGCAAGAGTGACAACTTGGCTAAATCACCTTCAGGAAGTAACCACTAGTAATACAAACTTTCATGTGATATTTATTCTGAATTCTGAAAATTGTTGGTTTACTCAAGATATCAACGTCAAACAAGATAATAGGCATCCACGATAAATCAAATGTATCGTCATCTCGGTGGGCATTTCTCTCCGCATCAAGCCATAGTAATTGAATGAAATAGTGAACGATCAAAAATAACTTGAGTTATTTGAGCTGAATCATGAGCAAATCGTCGTATGCCAACCATGCGGATTTTGTTACATCAGAAGATGGAACGACGGTAGAGGAAATTCTCAAGATTCTTCTCTCCATTTCGTTGACACCACTTTTAGCTGCTCTAATTCTTCCCTGGGCCGTTCCTCCAAAATTTATCTACCATGCAACGAAAGATTCATGTTTCTACAATTACATTCGAGCTATTATGGAATACCCCTTCATCGTTGTTCTACCCTTGTGGCTGGTTACGATTTTGGCTGGTCAGGATGAAGAGCAAGTATCCATGTACAACAACTTCGTCTGGATCTTCCTAATCTGTACTTGTGCGGGAATCATGGTTGTCAATTACGCTATCACAGAACCGAAATGGGAGGGTTTTTTATGCTTCTGGGATAAAATCAAGAATAAACCTCTGACTTCATCATCAGTGCCTTTCACTGGATTGAATCCGGCCAATAAACTATCAGAATGCGATGAAAAGGAGGAGAAAAGGAGCAGTAGCAGTGACGGTGGTGGCGATGATAAGATCAAATATCCATTTATAACGAATTATAGGGCAATTGTCATATACGTCACGGTGATTGCAATTCTCGCAGTCGATTTCCCACTTTTCCCTCGGCGGTATGCTAAAACTAAGAAGTATGGATATAGCTTGATGGACATCGGAACAGGCTCTTTCGTAAGCTAGATTTTTGCCACTATAAATATACCATTGCATTCTGAGCTTTCCTGTCTCATTAGATTTTTGCAAATGCTATCATTTCACCCGAGGCGAAAGGGAGGAAATCTAATTTGCTCAAGTCATGGATCTCTACCCTTCCTCTGCTCGCAATTGGTCTAATTCGCCTTATTTCAGTGAAAGGTAACTTGCATGCATTTACATATATGCATAGTATGGTTAGAAACAACTAATAACAGGGAAGAATTATGATAATTACTAACAGCAATTTTGCTTTTATTATTAGGGATTGAATATCATGAGGTAGTAGAAGAATATGGGGTACACTGGAATTTTTTCTTCACATTGGCGTCTGTCAAGCTCTTGAGTGCTCTTATTTTCTCATGTATCAATCCTGCCTTCTCCTTCAAACTTTCATGTATCGTCGGACTCGTGTATGAATACTTGTTGACCAAGGATAATCTTTTGGAAAGTTATCTTCTCAACATTCACACTTCAAGAAACAACATTATAGATGCTAATCGCGAAGGATTGTTCTCAGTTTGTGGATATCTCACCATTTACCTTGCAAGTGTATACGTGGGCAAAGTTATTTACTCGGTCCCTTCGCAAACTATCAAACACTGGTCGTTACACTCCTTTCGATCGCTGGTTCATGTGTTAATGCTTTGGATAGGCTTATACGTTTCCAAATCGTACGGAACTCAAAGTTGTCGGAGGGCAGCAAATTTGTCCTATAGCCTTTGGATTTTAGCAACAAACTACACGATTTTATGGGCTCTTACAACAATAAGTTTACTTCAGTCAGTTGCCCAACATGTTGGACTACTGCATGGACCATTGATTTCATACGAACTAAAGTCTGTGATGGATCGGGAGGAAGAGAAAATTAAAAAGTTGAATCAACAGTTCAAAGCTAAAGGACATGGAGTACATTGTGGGGAAACGGCTACAAAGGACGAAGAGTTGGAGGTAGCACTTGCACAGTTGGAACAAAAACTCGGAGAATTTAAGAAATCTGGGAAATCATCAATCTGTGGCGAGGTTACAACGCTCATAAAACACCTCGAAGAAGAATTGAGCCACCTTGAGACACGACTGGAGGGTGAAACAGAGGAGGAGGAGGAGGAAAAGAAGAGGAACGAGAATAAAATAAATCTAACCAACGAAAAGAATTTAATCTCAATGCCAGATTTAACTAAATCGCCAGTCACATTGGAAGCTATTTGTTACAATGGGCTTTTAGTTTTCCTCTTTGGAAATCTCTTGACGGGATTGGTGAACTGCATGATGCACACCATGTATGTCCCGAATTACTTGGCATTGTGTTATTTATGGGCTTATGCCAGCATCATTTCCACTGTTAGCATTGTCTTGTATACCAATAACATACAATTAAAATTTTGGTAATGTATCTATTACAAATATTTTATAATAATCCTGGAGAATAATAATGATTATTTTTATATTAAAATCCGAAACAATTGTTGCAAATCTTAATAATATAGTTAAGATTCATTGTCATTAGTTCATGGATTCTCTGTTATGCCGTTCTTTAGTAGTTTATTTGAATTCATAAATTGCATATAGCACAGAAAGTAGATAACCACGGTTGCTTGACAATAAGTATCTTAGCAGTGTAATACGGTTGCGACAAATGAAGCATTTCGAAAAAAAAATCATTTTTGAAATCGTTGGTACTTTTGCGATGGTAAAAAGTACAAAAAAGTACCAACGAGTTTGACCTCGAATAACTTTTCAATAGGCAGAGATAGGGGCTTACTTCTCAAGGATGAAATCATCCTAATTTTTAGCTTGATTTTTTAAGCTAAAAATCTCGAGTGCACTATTTCGGAAAATTAAAACGTTTATTTCGAAGAATATCTCTAAAATTTAAGTTTTTCAGGAATTTTACAGTCAATTCTTATCTCACAAAATTCTATAATATACCAAAATGATCGTATGATCTAGACCGATCGATTGACACCCCACTGGAGGGTGTGAGATAATTTGATCCAGATTTGACCTAGGGGGTCATCTCAATCCTCCAACTTAGCAACGGTCCACTCACACCATTTTTATAGTACATAATAATTTCTTCAAAAATGAAAATTTGTGTTGGAAACAATTCATTTGTCGCAACATGGTTAGAAGTGTAAAGTTGTCAAGCAATATTGATTGGTAGATAACTATTATTTTAACATGTTTCAGTCTCTGTGGGAACGTGTCCAACAATCATCTTTTACACCAAAACTCTACTTCCACAATCACCGTAGTTTTTTCGTCTGTGCAGTTTCACCAAATTCCTCTTTACCACTTCCAGCCACCATGGGGCCGGCTAAAATTGAATACCCAGTTCTAAAGGAAGATCCCAATGTGATTGATGATTATCATGGCACCAAAATTGCCGATCCTTTCCGTTGGTTGGAGAAACCAGACTCTGAAGAAGTTACAAAATTTGTGGAGGTATGTAAAGTCTCGTATATTGTCCATATTTAAATGAATGTTTGGTATATCTCATGTGCGTATATCGTTATGTCAAAAGGCACAAAACGCCATTACCGTACCATTTTTGGGGAAATGCGAAGTCCGCGGAGCAATTGAAAAGCGATTAACTGAGCTGTGGAACTATCCTAAATACTCATGCCCCTACAAGGTTAGTTACAAAGTTATGCATGAGTTGCAAATAACGTTAATTGTTTTATATTTTGCAGCGAGGGAATCGTTACTTTTACTTTAAAAATACAGGACTTCAAAATCAAAGGTACGAAATTTTCAAAATTACTAATATTGACTAATTTGGGAAATAAACCATGGACAATTAATTATATTATGAAATTTGTCTTTTAGTGTTTTGTACGTCCAAGAATCATTGGAAGATGAAGGAAAAGTGTTTCTCGATCCAAATACATTATCAGAAGGTCAGTAGAATTTAATTTTATTTTGCTAACATTAACGGATTTTATAAATAATGATTTATTTATACAATAATTTAATTTGTATAGATGGAACAGTGGCAATTTCAACTTACAAATTTTCGGATAATGGAGAAATTTTTGCGTATGGGTTAAGTGCCAGTGGAAGTGACTGGATTTCAATTCACTTTAAAAATGTTTCTACTGGCGAGAATTACCCAGAAGTTCTGCATAAGGTGAAATTTAGCAGCATTGCTTGGACCATCGACAATAAAGGAATTTTTTATGGCGTAAGACGATCACATAGACAATCACGTGCTTGGTTTAAAGTTGAATTTAACGAATAATATATGCTTCAGCGATACCCAGAGCAGGAAGGGATTACTGACGGGTCAGAAACTACATCAAATGAACACCAGAAACTTTATTACCATCTACTTGGGACAAGCCAGTCGGAGGTATTGAAAAATTGTAGCGATACTATGCAACCTGACTCGGGCTACTGACCGAGTTACCGAGTTGTTAGTTTTACCTGATTTTTATTCGTAGGACGTTCTAGTGGTCGAGTTCCTTGAAAATCCAAAATGGAGAGTGGCAGCTGAAGTTAGTGATTGCGGAAAATATCTGCTGGTCTTTCCGCAGCAGGACTGTCGCGATAATTTGGTATTTTTTGCCGATGTTTCTGAACAAATGAAAAATGGTTTCAACTCAAAACTTGTGTTGACACCTGTTGTGTCAAAATATGAAGCCGATTACGATGTAAGTACATATATGTATGTATATTCAATCCTGAGTGATTGGTATTTTACTGTGATGTTTTACGCAGTACCTTTTCTTTCATGTTAATAGTATGTTACCAATGATGGGCCAAAGTTTCATTTCCGAACCAGTAAAGGGGCACCAAATTACCGTATTGCTACGATTGACTTTTCAAAGCCTATAACTGATGATGGGTGGACCACTCTTGTACCAGAGCACCCGAAAAATGTTTTGGACTGGGCTGCGTGCGTCAACCAGTAAGTGACTATTGATAACAATAGCATTTTTGCACAGTCGTACAATTTCAATCAGTGGTTATATTAATAATTCGTGACTATTTGTTATCGCTCTTGACAGGGACAAGTTAGTTTTGGGATTTCTCGAGGATGTGAAAAATACTTTGGAGTTACGAAGCTTAACGGATGGCACATACATTCAAAACTTTGACTTGGATGTTGGCACGATTACCGGGTATATATTTCAATTAATACATACGTTGTCTGATGTTAATAAATGATCTGCTTGATTAAATAAAGAAATATATTACCGTAGGTATTCCGGAAAACGCCAACATTCTGAGTTCTTTTATCAATTTGCATCATTTCTAAGTCCTGGAAGAATTTTTCATTGCGACTTCAGTACAACACCCTTCAGTGCAAAGGTATTAATAAGTTGCTACCATTTCACTTAAATCAAATTCTGACAGATTGGTTTAAACGACATTATTTATATGACACTATTTTAACCATCACTTTTGATTCACAGCTTATAAGAGAAGTTCATTTAGAAGGCTTTGATGCATCACAGTTTGAGACCCAACAAATATTCTACAACGGTAAAGATGGAACCAAAATACCCATGTTTATCGTTCACATAAAGGTAATTTTCGAGTGTTCACTTTATTTCATACATTTATACGTTGGTTGACCTGTATTCTTTATGATGTCATGCTAGGGTATTAAACGGGATGGCAGCAACGTCTGTTTATTGTATGGCTACGGAGGATTTAACATTTCTGTTCAGCCTGCATTTTCTGTGACCCGCTTAGTATTCATGCAACATTTTGAAGGCGTGGTTTGTATTCCAAACATCCGGGGTGGAGGGTACGCTATTATTAGCAGTAACACTATATTTAAGTATTATTAGTAATTGAATTTGCAAAATTGAAGACGATAAACTTAATCAATTTGAAGGGAATATGGCGAGCACTGGCACAATGGTGGAAGATTGCTAAACAAGCAAAACAGTTTTGATGACTTTCAAGGTAAGTCAGTAGTCACACATACGTATAGTATTCCATGTTTAAATCAATGATATTAGTCTATATTCTAACCTTGTAGCTGCGGCTCAGTATCTCATCGACAACAATTACAGTTCTGCAAAGGTAAACATGACTAATATAATATGTACTACTTCCTGATTATGGTAATAATGAAATTAATGAAGTTCATACCTTTCCCCGTAGTTTTGTTGCTCTATTTCCTCTACTGACCTCAAAATAGGTTTCAATTTCTGGAAAATTATTAATTTGTTGGATTTGTTGGTTCTAGAAAATTGTAATCCAAGGAGCTAGCAATGGAGGACTGCTTGTTGGTGCATCAATAAATCAACGGCCTGACTTATTCGGAGGTACAAAACCAAATAATCCTGTACTTTATCCTGCACAGTATTTTAATTATTAATGTCTACTTTGTACAGCTGCCATTGCTCAAGTTGGGTAAGTATTGTATTGGTATGATTTAATGATATATATTAATGCCACAATTCTTGCTTTTGCTTCTTTCAGTGTAATGGACATGCTTAGATTCCACAAGTTTACCATTGGATATGGTGAGCCTTATCATAAGTGATTACTAAATTTAATAATTTATACAATAATGCTTTTCATTTAGCATGGTGTTCTGACTATGGATGTCCTGATGAGAAGAAGCATTTTGACAACCTTATCAAATTCTCTCCTGTTCATAACGTCAATGCTCCCGAGGATATAGAGAAACAGTATCCATCTGTCCTTTTGCTGACCGGTAAGTACACTATTTAATGTATAAGCTTTACCCCTGAATGTTCTGAGTCCGTGTAATATTTTGCGTCCATTGTTGTAGCCGACCATGATGATCGGGTTTCGCCACTTCATTCTTTTAAATTCATTGCTCAACTTCAGAAAGTAGTGGGTCGACACCCTAACCAGGTAGTCTAATATATCAGAATACATAGGTCTCAGAATATGGTTTCATAAAGAGACTAATTTTCATCTTGCAGTCAAACCCTCTACTGATCCGCATTGAAACAAAAGCTGGGCATGGGGCTGGTAAGTATGTGTGCTTATCTACATATGAATTTGTAAAGGCAAAATTTAAAGACCTCTTTTTGTTTTTTGCACTACCCAATTTTCAGGTAAACCAACTAAGAAAATTGTAAGTCAAACAAACAAATTGCATAGAGAAATTAAATTATTCATTCTACAGTCTTATAATTTCAGATTGAAGAGCATGTGGACATCTTGGCGTTTCTAGTCCAGACCCTTGGAATAACATTCAAACCTTAATTTGACAAAATTCTTATGTACGAATTGATTTATTTTCTATTTGTAACAACATCTAGGAATAAAGAGAGTATTTAATTGATTCATTTCTGTCTGTGTAGTAATCGAGCTGTACATTATATAAATTATGCAACGGTGAAGTATCAACATTAACAATTATGTAAGGTGGGCACCTCGAGACGACATATCTCGTAAGGCGGTGTAGTAGATTCATTCGGATTATTCAAAACAAGATGACAGTCGAATAACAATTTATTTCAAAACAACATATAGAAATAGGCAGTTGTTGGTGTAAGAAAGAAAACTTCTGTTTGATAAGATCACCTAATCAGTCCCGTGACGGGACTCCCGTCACTTTTCAGTAAAAAAAAGTTCACCAGCTCAATTAATTTAACAAGTATTGTGATTGTTTTAAACCTTTATAAAAATTAAGAATGGATGCGGCAAGTCTATTAGAAGAAGTGAGTCCGGAAATTGAACATTTGGTTCGAGAAGCCCTACAATCGCAGGGCGATCTCAGAGAATATTCGAAAAATATTGAAAAAGAGTTAAGAGAGGTACGTATATAAATTTACGTGATATTCTCCATCAAATCGCTACGTTAATTTCTTCTTCTCGGTCGCAGGCTGAGAACGAGGCCATTAAGGACTATATACATGAAAGCGTCAACATCGCCAACCTCCACAATCAGATTGGCGACTGCGACAAAATTCTGGAAGACATGGAGAAAATGCTTCTTGGATTCCAAGGCGAGCTTGGATCTCTAAGTAGTGAAATCGAGACATTACAGAAACAGTCGATAAGCATGAGTGTCCAACTTTGCAACAGACAAGCCGTTCGTGGAGAGCTCTCTTCGTTTGTGGACGACATGGTGGTTTCTGACACGCTGATTAGGTATATATAATTATTTATTGGAGAATAATTAATATGGGAGCATTATATATGTACTAAATACTCTTGTTCAATGTTACCCAACCACTAGAACAATTTTAGATACACCTGCCACAGAGCCAATTTTTACAGACCAGTTGAAAATTTTAGGTCAAAAGGCACAATTTGTAAATTCAGTGAGGGACACTAAAGCTGCAAAAGATGTGGCTGATGTCATTGAAAAATTGACAGTTCGTGCAACAGCAAAAGTTCGAGAATATTTATTACAGCAGACGTATAAATTTAGAAAACCTGTGACCAATTATCAAATTCCACAAAATGGTCTTTTAAAACATAAGTGAGTTTTTCACGATACATTAATATTTCATTTATAAGTACGTTTAGCTATATCATTGCATTATTTGCCATTATAGGTTCTTCTTTGAGTTCCTCCTAAAGAATGAACGCCAAGTGGCTAAAGAAATCAAAGACGAGTATATTGACACCATGAGCAAAGTATACTACTCATACTTCAAAACCTATGCAGCCAGACTTGCGAAAAAGCAGACTTCAGAAACTGCGACCAAGGATCATGTCCTCGCTGCGGCAGAGGAAGTCAAAGGAAAAAATCCACTATTCTCTTTGGGCAGCAGAGCAGATTTGTTGAACGATTTGGAAGCACCAGCACTAGTTCCACATGTAAGCATTAAATATATCTCTTGAAATATATCGGATCTGTTGAATCAATGAGCTTGAGTAGTAAAATATCAAACTATACAATACAATCTCTGTTCTACTTAGGCTTGGAATGGACCTCCTCTTCCATATGAAGCTTTATTCAGATCTCTCATTTTTACTTTAGTGGACAATGCTTGCCGTGAATATTTGTTTTTGGGAGATTTCTTTATGGTTAAGACCACAATTTTAATGGATTTGTTCCACCAAGTCATGGGGAAAACTCTTGGACAGCTATTGGTACATTACATACTGATGTTACATAGCAATTTATTTAAAAGTTTTAAATTGTAAACGTGCATCTTGTTTATTATGTCGTATTAGAGTGTCGTTGACGAAGGCACTTCGAACAGTTGGGATGGGATCGGTCTGCTCTTATGTGCACATATCGTATTAAGGCTACAAATGGTAACCCACAAAAGAGCTGTTCCAGCTCTGGACCACTTATTCAGGTCAGTAACAGCAGTAATAATAATAATAACAGAAATAATAACATGAATTAATTAATAAATATTTAGTGCTGCATTGGATTACATATGGCCTGCATTTGACAGAGCTTTAAGTGCCAACGCATTCTCATTAAAGGGATGTGAAACAATGCCAACAGACTTGATGCCTCACTATGTTAGTAAATGACTGTCTAGATTTCGATGTTTGTTTTTAAAAATTTGACATTACCAAAATTTTGGTATTCCAGATAACTCGTCGATATGCAGAATTAAGTAGCGGACTAGCAGTTATTGACGCAGGGTTTCCACAAGAAAGAGTGAGAAAGTCATTACTTTGGTTGGCTGAGGAGATGGAACCCAATTTGATTAGGTATGAGATATACAAGCAACTTTTTCTGCTGTGAAACTAACTGGTGAGGAGAAAATTTTAAATTACAGAATGGCCAGCGCTTTTCAAGAGCGATCTAAGCAATTAGTATTTTTAATCAACAATTTTGATTTGATACTCTCAGTTCATATGGTACGATAAGCATGTTTTATTTTCACTTATTTATGACTGCGTAAAAACATATTACTATTTTAGGAAAAGGGGCAAGAGCCAAAGGAAAGTGACAGATTTCGTGTGTCGTTGAACAAAAAAACTGCAGAATATGCAGAGGAAACACTATCCCCCCACTTTGGAACTTTAATACAATTTGTCAGGGAGGCTGAAAACATGATTCAAGGCAATCATTCACAGCTATTAGCAAAGGAAGAAGGTTGGTTATTTGTTTATATCTACCTTTAAATGTACTATTGCTTGATACTACATATACTTATTATTTAAATTCGTATGTTTGCAGCTCGTGTTTCTGCAATCATTATTAATTTTGGTGCTACCTGGAAGCAAGCTATAGATTCTGTTAACAGAGAAGTCATGTCATCCTTTCCAAGTTTTCGAACAGGAGGTTGGTCGTTATTATTTATGTTACATTATTCCTTTTACAATTTAAATAATAATCTAATTTATTGATTCTAGCAACCGTTCTTCAACAAGCATTAACACTGTTAATTCAGTATTATCATAGATTTCAAAAGATTTTAGCGGACCATATGCCTTCATTGACAAGTAGACAAGATTTGGTTAACATTCATCAACTAATGGTTGAAGTTAAAAAGTATAAACCGAACTTTTAATAAAAAATAAAAGACGAGTAATTTGCTCGAAACTCAATCGAGTATGATTTATTAAATTATTTTACTCGGCACCCATAGTAATTAAATTTGGTTTCTTGCATTGAAAGTTTAATTTCCCACTAGATTAATTATTAATTCGCTCAATTCATCCAACCGCGGCCAGATTTTTCCCCAAAAATATCTTGGCCTTTGATAAAAAACGAACTTGTGCATCATGCCCAGGGTGGTCACCAGTACGTCATAAACTTTCATACCAAATATCAACTTGCTTTATAAATTGGCTTGCTAACTATTCTATAAAATTCGGGTTCAATAGATGATGGTCTTCCCGATTTCAAAATCAATCCTTTAGTGGACTTGCCTGGCGTAAGTTTAATACATAAATGACTAATTTTTATGAAATCCGTCACATGCATTGCATAAGATTGCCATATATAATTTGATATGATGAACACCAATTTTATGTAGGAAAAATATGATTCTGAAACATCTATCCAATTGGAAGACTTCGAAAACCCAAAATTTGATCATAGCAAACTTTACAGGGGACGTGGAGATGGCGATTGTAAAAAAATAAACAGTTAATAATTTACACATAATTGCCTCGATTATTGTTTTTTATGATACATAAATAGCTTTTGGATACATTTGTAACTCGAAATGTTACCGTTTCTTTCGTGAATCCTTTCTGGTATCAACACATCCTCGAATTCACAGAGCTGGATTTCGTAAGAAAATTTTAGAATCCAAAAATTTTGTGCGAATTTTAAACTAATTTTAAACGCTTTAAAAGGAAGCCGGTATGGCGTTTACATGGAACGATCTCGTCATTTAGCATCTTTCCCTTGGATAATTCATCCGTTCAGCACATTTCGGTCGGTACTTTTATTTTGTGCAGGCATGTTCATAGATGTTATCATATAAATGTTATTAATCACATTACGTCAAATCAATTTTAGTTGGTCGTGGGAAATCTTGGTGACATTTGCTTTGCTAGTAACCCTGATTCGACAACCAATTTTGATTTCATACATGAGTGAAACACTCACAGGACAAGGTGAAAAATTTGTAAAAATGCAAATTGTCAGCTTTTAAAGCCATAAATCAAACAAACTGTAAAATCCATTTCAAAAATTTTGCACTTGCTGTAGATGAACTCATCATGAGCAGCGTCTTTAGCGTTCTCTTTTTGATTGACATTGTACTGAACTTTCGAACTGGAATTGTTCGAGCACAAAGTGACAGTATTATTTTGGATCCTACTCTGATTGCTAGGTGGAAACTTATTACCTATTTGCAATTTGTAAAAAAACATACACCTGCACATTTGTATTCTGCAGGAATTATTTAAAGACCTGGTTCATCATCGATGTTTTTTCGACGATACCTTATGACACGGTTTTGTTGGTGGTCATGAAAGTTGATAGTATCGACCACGAGAAGCTGGCTATTTTCAAATACATTCGTCTTTTGGAGGTTAGTTAATTTTTAAAATGCCATAAATATTAAACTAACAAAGTATCCACTTTCTCCTCGATTATAATCTTAATCGACTTATCAACTATTTTATCCACAACTTAGTTGCTCAAGATATTTCGCCTTTCTCGTGTGATTCGATACGTTACCCGTTTTCAAGAGGTACTTGCATATATAGGCTAAGCTTGTCACAGTCAGGTATTTTGTAAATAAATAGCTGTACATATTTAACACAATTGTATTCTACATTTGCAGGCTCTTGTGCTGAACAGTTTGTATATTCGAGTGATCAATCTTCACATAGTAATCTTTTTCACGCTTCACTGGATTTCATGCATGCATTATCTGGTTGCGGACATGTAAGTACATCGTAAACCGAATATTTAATGATATAAAATGATCGAAACATTCACTAACTTTATGTATCAGGTTCAATGCAGGCTATAGTCCCCCGAAATCAAACACATGGGTCACTCAGCTCAAATTGTGGCATCAACCTGTATTTATTCAATACATCAATTCTGTCATTCGAGCCCTTTCAAACATGGTAATCTCGATATATGTCAAATGTCAAAAGACACATCTTTTGCATTTATTGCTCTTTGCGTTAATTAATCTATCCAGGCTTGTTTGGGATACGGTAATGAAGTACCACGTGAACCTGAAGACATTATAACTACCATCATGAGCATAATGGTATTACATGTATTTAATTGTCCCAAGTCTGGACAATAATTGTTTAATATATGTTCCTAGGTGGGAGCCACATTTTTTGCATTGTTTGTTGGTAACCTGTCAAGCATTTTGATTAACATGGACGTTGCTCAAAAAAAGTATGCTGAGGTCTTAAACCAGGTGAGCTATTTATAAATCGTTTTTGGTAATTGCCCTTAAAAATGTTTCCAAAACAGAAAACATATATTCCTCATAAGTAATATAAATTAATAATGTAGGTCATGGAGTACATGCGCTTTAAGCAGGTTCCTAAAGAGTTGCAACATCGCGTAATTTTGTACTATGAACAACGTTATCGAAGGAATTTTTTCAACGAAAACATCATTTTGGAAAACGTTTCCGACGTGTTACGAAAAGAACTACAAATGTTCAATTGTCGCAGCTTGGTTGAGGCAGTCCCACTGATGCAAGGCCTTCCGCAAGGAATCATTCAAGGAATTGTTGCACGACTTAAATTCGAGGCAATAAATAATACAGCGAAACAATTAATTAAAATGAACCACTTTAACACAAGAAAAATAATGCATGTCTATCATGGATTGTTTAGGTGTATCTTCCACAAGATATCATCATCAGTTCGAATACTTTGGGTGATTCCATGTTTTTTATTGGTAAGTTTTATTTCATTGAACTAGTATTATGACAAGATATAATTATATATCAACAATAATTCATGTCAAATTGAAATAATGGCAGAACACGGAGCAGTTGCAGTCTTGGCTCCCAGCGGACGGTCAATTGCCACATTAAAGGATGGTGACTTTTTTGGAGAGATGTCATTGATGACTAATGAACGGCGAAACTCAACTGTGGTGGCTACCAGCTTTTGTGATGTTTACCAATTGTCACGACGTGACTTTGAAGAAGTCATTGTGGGATACCCTGAAGTCTACACTCATCTAATTAAGGTAATTTAAATAATACCAAAAGTGTATACACATTGGGAAATTAAATTCATACTATAAAATATAATCAGACGGCTGAGCAAAGAGTGAAACAATTGGGGGCAGAACCAAAAACTGAGGACATGCATCACGTCAAGCATTATCAAGCTGAAGAGACTTTGAAGAAGAAAATCTACAAACGATTCAAGAAGACCGAGTATGATGATTGCTTGTAAAAATTGTATCTGCTCGGCAAAGATTTTTCACTTGTTTTCCTACTTTACACCATATTCCACTGAAACTAACCAATAAAATACAATAAGTCATGAAAATAATAATACATCATTAAATCATCTATTTTGTTTCACTGCTCTGCACTTTCGCATTATCACAAAAAAGGCAACAATCACAAAAAATAGTCCTAACAAGCCATGATATCCTCCGTAAATTTTAAACTGTGATCGTTCCCCAAGCGCAAGTCCGACATCGTCTGCAACGATGAGGGTCAAAATTGTTTGGATTGCCAGTGCCACAAAAGTGTTGATTCCAAAAATTAGTGCATAGCTGTCTTCTCGGATTTTTTGGGCAACTTCGGCACTGGAATTTTTTTTGGTAATTATCATTTTAAATCATTATTTTAAAATTCACTTTTTGCTTACCTTGCAATTGTTATTACAACTTGATACATCATTCTAAAGAGGATGTAGCTTGCATATGCAATGTATAAATTATTGGTTTGCGACATTAGAAGGAGTAGACCTCCTTGAGCCAGGGACACGAGGGCAAGAAATATTTCTCCATATGTCGCCCATGAAATTTTCACGTGGCCCACACCAAAAGCTAGTATTGCACCTATTTTATGAAATTGTGTATAATAAGTGCAACTAAAATTTCACTTTTCAAACTCACTCAGCAAGGTATGAATTGCTTCTACAGCGCCATTGTACAATTGACTGTCCACGGTTGATCCAGAGCTGTTGACGATAATTTCCCATAAGGCTTGAATGTAGTTTATTACTTGTAAATGTCCTGCAGTGGCTATTAGAAAAAAATAGATATTATTATTTTTCTTTCCATGTTCATTTTACATACATTTATTTCAAAAAAGCTAAACGACCAGCGCCGTAAAAAAAATCGTATATACATATGTAGTTCTACTGAGGATGAGAGAAGAACAAAAACGTCCTAAATAAAAAGCAGTCCACGACTTGATTTTTACCAGTTGTTACTACTTTGAGTTTTAATGATGTATTGATGCACTGCTAATTTAGTATATTAATTATTATGAAAATACGTCTAACAGAGCTTACCCACTGCCCACCACAATGACCATTTGAATACATAGCTTGACGAATATGCATCTTTAAAATCTTCAAATAGGTAGCGTCCCGTTTGTTTGATTTTGCTTAACCTTGTTTGGTTTGCACTATTGCCGATTTCAAAAGTATTGTATTCCGTCACAGTCTTTTCTCGGTGAAAATAGATGGATGTATTTACTGATGGAAGTAAAAGTGAGAAAATCACTGCTATTGATACGCACGACAGGGAAATGTAGTTGAGCTCATGATAATTCATGAGATCGAAGGAGACGAGCAATTGAGCAACCACGCCTCCCAAAAATCTTCCGGCAAATATTGCACTGTAAGTGTACGATGTAACTTTTTGGTAATGTTCCCGATTAACTTTGGCGTAAATGTAGGTGTAGTATGCCACCTCTGTTGAGCAAACAATTCCATAGCATACCTCTACTAGCTGCATGAATCAAGTAAATATTACGTATTTGTATGCTGTCAGTTGTATTTTAGGAAAGTAGTAATGATAATAAAAGAGCAGATAAGTAGTCTTTACTTACGATTAGTGATGTCAAACCCTCTCCCCACGTGATTAGCACCCAGGTCACGACGTATGCAATCCCCTCGAAAATAATGACTGACTTGTACCTGAGGAAATCAGTGACCAAGAATATCACGGCTAATGTCGCTAGATAAGTATATGTCCAAATTGGAAATGCAACGTGAACGATCTAAAGAATTAATGTGTACAAAAATACGCATATACATACATATGCATATTATGCATGAAATTAGTTATCAAAATATTGCTCGCATCGTACATCTTCTTGAGAAATTCCTTTGTAATTCATCAGATACTCAGTGAAAAATGGTTCACTTGGTCGAAACTCTGTAATTTCCCGTTTGGTAAATTGATGCGGTATTTTTAACCAAAACAAATATATCTGCAATGGTTCTCTCTTTCTCTTCTCTCTGAATTGTATAGAGACATTAGCAATTACATACGTAACAATTGCACTTGTGAATCATCTTAACCTACAAAAGGAATTTTGCTAGGATTACACAGTGCATCAAAAGAAAAACTATTCGTACCAGGCATATCAAAAAAGGACAAAAAGCAATTGCATGACATCAGTCATGCCTTTTTTGGTATTTTTTTGCTTTAAGATTAAGCCCACTTGAGACAAACGAAGAATATCTTACTGTTGCATAGTTATTGGAACTTTCTTAAACGACCTATCCTATTCTGCTAACATCCGAACTGGATTATATATTTTGGTGAAAAATACCGCTGAAGCATGACCTTTAAAAAGACCAAATCCACACAGAATCAATGCTGTCACTTTCCACGACTCCATTATATTATAATTTTGACTTCTGGTAAGGAAGAGTGGTATAAATAGGTACGAATTTTAATTATGTAGTCTAAGAATACATTTGAAACAACTTAAATTAATTTATAAATCAATGAAAACTAAATCAATATAGCGAGAATGGGACAAACTGAACGTTGGATCAGAACACAACTTATTTACTGCTGAAATTTTATGTTTGGTCTGCATTTAATTTAAAACCTCGGGTAGCGAGTTGACCCTGATCATAACCTGTATAAGTTCAGTTCAAATTATGGTATCACTGATTGATTGATTAGATATTTGCATACAATGGGTGCCACATATCTGTACATGCATAATTTAGCATGCATTTAAAATTTTAAACCTCATTTTGTCAGATACATAGAATTACTTTCATCACATGCGTTAACTATTCATAACTTTTTCAATTCTATTTAATGAAGATGTTCAAGTACATCGGTTAACAATGACTCATTAATAATGAGCTAATCGTGAAAGCCAGTTCATTGATTCGACATCCGCTGCGTGCGTGCTGTGTCTGGATGCTCAACTTGCATGATACTAAACAATTTGACCCTTATCCAGTATGAAATTAATGTACCATTTAGAATTGATTTATTACTGTTACGACTTCCGAGCAAAGAGTGAGACAAGTGGGGAAATTGAGATGGACGAAAAAGGCTTTGACTAATGAGAGAAAGTCGGGAGCATGGATGTGCTGAGGGCATATTGAGAATCCTATAAACAGGAACTTTGATGTTGCGGCTTGTCCAGCATCGCATTTTATTCTTATTTCGTTTTTGAAGTAAACCAGTGTTGTAAATTTTAATTAGTTAATTATATCTATATTATTACGCTCAATCACCTCCATTTACCTGCTTCATGTAGTTCACAAGTGGTAAGTTGTATTGTCCAGGTCCATTAATTAGATATTAAACAAGTATGGGATGTAACGCGGTTTTGATTAATTTCTAGCTCCTATTAGTATTAGTATTTCATCAAGAAGAAGAATAAATAAGAATGCCACCAACAATACAAAATTCTATCGAGAAGCGACCTTCTCGATCAATTGGAGGGAGCGGTAGTACTGAGAGAAGGTAATATATTTAACGGTTTTAACATGTATTTTGTGCAGACTATTTAAAACGTTTCCTTCGTTAATTATTATTGACAGGTCAGAACTGGTGACAAGAGTCAAATATGGCAATACTCTTCCGGACCTTCCCTTTGACCCTAAATTTATCTCGTATCCCTTCAGCAGCAATCGTTTCGTGGAGTATTCGACAACCTCTTTAGAGAAAAACTTTAAATACGACGTACTTTCAGAGATTGATCTTGGTGTAGATGTAGAATTGGTAATTCCCAGCTTTTACGACCCACCAAAGAACGCAAACCTGACTCTCGACCACAAAGACGAAAAATTACTCGAGGATGACAACTTGTTTCACAAGGACAAAAAGAGGAGTAGACATCACGCCAAAAGTGTTTCCTGGTTGAGACGAACGGAATATATTTCAACGGAACAAACTAGATTTCAACCTCAAACCATCGATAAGGTGGAAGCTAAAGTCGGGTACTCCATTAAGAAGAGTTTGAAAGATGACGTGCACTACATGGATAGGGATTCCCAGGTATACATGTTATTTCAAAATTGAAAATTTATATAATTAATTAGGTATTAACTTTGTTGTTTTTGTGTTGTTTGATAATTAGATTAAAAATATCGAAAAAACATTTGAGGACGCAGTTCAGCCAATTGATTTGCATTTTGCTAAACCTGGCGTGGAACCTATCGAAATACTTCCCGTCTTTCCCGACTTTTCACTCTGGAAATATCCTTGTGCTCAGGTAGGAAGATTCCGTACTATATTAATTAATGTATTGATGTATTTTGGAGACTAGTGACTTAATATTTCGAATAATTTCAATTAACATTTTGTGCAACATTATCATCACTGTCATTATCTTCAGGTTATTTTCGATTCTGATCCTGCGCCAGTAACCATGCAAGATCGCCCATTAGCTTCTCAGATTGAGGAAATGTCGCAAGCAATGATTAGGTAAGAAATTCATTCTGTTATGAGACGTTCGTTAATAATACGAAATATACCTGCTAATTTATGATGAACATAAGGCGAATTCGATCGCTTATGATTATAGTATTACATTTGGTACAAGTTGTAGCAAACAACCATTCTTCGGACAAGCATAGAGAATACAATTTTCTGCTTGTCTTTGAGGTTTGTGTATTGTTCCTTTGCCAATATTACTCTAATTGCTGCGATGTGAGACTACAATGAACGGATATCTGAACTAAACCTATAAACGTTAAGAATATTTAGTGTTTATATGGTTCAAGTACTAAAATTTCAATCTACCCATTGTGCTTTGTAGAGGTGTGATGGACGAAAGTGGAGAACAATTTGTTGCATACTTTCTCCCAACGGAGGACACCCTTCAAAAGAGGAAAAAGGACCAAGAAACAGGCGTGGAGTACGAGGATGAGGAAGTTTACGAGTATAGGATGGCGAGAGAATATAATTGGAACGTAAAAACAAAAGCAACCAAAGGTTACGAAGAGACATACTTTTTTGTAATGAGAGATAACGGAATATTTTACAATGAGTTGGAGACAAGGTATATTATCATTATGCAATAATACTTAACTTAAATATTCTAGTCGTTCTCATCACTAATTAATATTTAAAACATCAACAGAGTGCGGTTGAACAAGCGTCGAACACGTGGACCTAACCAACAACTCAATACAAGACTCTGCGTAAAGCACGTCCCGCTGACCGCATCCGATTACAAATTCCAGAGGAATAGGGAGAGGCAGCTTGAACCCATGCAGGAGGAGGAAGAAGAAGAAGAGAAGTCGGATGATGAAAAGTCGGTGAAGTCAGATGACGATATGGATGGTGGTGGGGAGAAGAAAATAGATCCCAAGAAGGAGGAAGATAAGAAGGCTTCAAAACCAAAAGACGACAACGGTGGGTCTGACATTAGCTCTGAATCTGACTCGGATGCAGGTAAGTTTTCAGATGACCCGTAATATGTATGTACTATTTAGGTTTGTAAATAATGCATTATTTCATAAATTCAGGATCACGTCGGTCAAGATCGCGATCTCCATCCCCAGCAAAGAAGACTAAAAATGTCGGTAGTGACGATGACAAAGCATCAAGATCATCGAGATCTGGTTCTGAGAAAGGTTCTCCAAAGAGAAGATCCTCACGTTCTGACTCTGGGTCCGGATCATCTAGCAGAAGTTCCTCAGATTCAGACTAATTATTCAGTTAGCAGAGTTTTATTTTTAGGTTAAGCAGTTTTGTTTATATTGTCAACTTTGATAGTACTGATGCAAAATTAAAATATAAGTAATAAATTCACATAACTATATTCGTTGTTATTATTGCTGCAGAACTTTATTTCGGTAATTCATTTCATTTATTTTCATAATAAATATTGTCGGATGGACTATTGCTTTCCGTTTTCAGTTCTAAATAAGCTTTGAATTCCAGAAGTGTCCACATGCGGACTGATTTCATTCAACTAGATAACACAGTAAATTAATTACGACATTAGTATAAGTTGGACAATCTTAATTTCTGTACACATACTGGTTTAATTTTTTGTGGTTACCTTTTGCACAAAATAATTTACATCCAGTTGAATTTGTAACCTAATTTTATCATCGTCTGTTTGTCCTTTACCGGCATCACCAGACGACTGACTTTGTCCTTTGACTTTTTTCAACCTACGAAGACTCTCCTCCATTCTTTGAACCGACACCAATACTTCTTGTACTTGGGCTTGATACCTGAACACACACAAAAATACTCTGTTTTAACTCCTGTGCCATCTCTACCAGTTGCCCCGCTCAATTAATGTGATTACCTTTGTAAAATTTGAAGACCAATTTTATCTCCAATTTTTTCCCACAAGTCTGTTTGATGGGAATTATAGATGTCATTTTTCAAGGAAGACACGGGAAGTAAAATGCTTTCTACATATTCCAATGGTTTTGAGGGTGAATCTCTATTAGTTCTTCTGAAAAGTCGTGGCAAATCGTTCACTGCAGAAATACTTGTTGAACTTTGGCTAATAGCAATTTCGACTAAATTGGCTGCAATAGCACCCCTTGCGTCTTCCCATAAAAATTGAGACAGGAATTGTACAGCGGAATTAGAAAGTTGTTGTGTTGTCAAATCAGTGTTAAGGTTTTCTTCTTCTAGGCAACTCGAGTTCAAATAACAATCGTTGGTCATTTTTTGTAATAATATTTGACGAACAACCAATTCGGCAAGGTTGAGATCACAATATGCGTTGATGGAAAGGTGGATGGACACAGACTTGTTGGTAGATATTTTCATTTGAATTTCTCGAATGTAACGAGAAACCACTAAGGCACTAGCTTTTAAGAAACGCCCGGAAATTCTGGAAATGTAAACCTTATCTCGATCCCAACACTATAAATTCACAAAACATTTCGATAATTAACAAGCACCGTCAGCAGGTTCTGTAGTACCAAGTAAGTATTAAATTACCTGATTTAGAACCTTGATCATCACCCTCGTCGCATCCAGTTTAAAATCTGTCGTTGAACACGGTGCCGTTAAATCTTCTAGCGCTGATTCTAATTCTGTCGCTATCGCATGGAACCTAAAAGTTGAATTACCAATAGTAATTGCCATGATATTAGTGGATACCATATTATGGATGGATAAATACCTTAGTTGGAAGTATACTGGGAACTGCCATTTGGAATTGAACTCTTTTACTGCATGAGAAACTCGAAATTGCTGCAAGTGATCGATGGAAGGCATACTGTTTTCTAAAGTTAAAATGAACTTATCACATCTCATCCAATTGCTATGAAAGGATTCTGGATTGGATGGGGACCAAATGTGAGGAAAATGTTTGCAAAGAATGTTCAAAACACATGGGAATATTGCCCTCCCAATAAAGTCATATTTTGCCATCCAGGGAAATTCTTGTAAATTTCGCCAAACAAAAATTAATGGAGATTGTGCTAAAAATACTTCAATCGTGTCAAACAAGGCACCTGAAAAAAAAACGAAAACATTTTTCTAGTTTATGTATTATATACATATATATGTATATAAATACAGATTACAGATTGTGCCGTTATAAATGTGTAGGGTATGGACTGTGAGGAGATTAAGTGTGGGGATGAAATATGAAAGGGATTAACTGTGTGGTATGAAAGGTGGGCGATAAAATGTCCGGATATCGCAGAGCTTAGATTTTATGGTTTAACTGCATGAACATAGTTCTCACCAATATTTCCCTTTTTTGACAGCACTAATTCACATTTAGGTTGAAGCACCTCCTTGACTAAAATATCTTCAACCACTGGATCACATTGTAATTCGGTGTACATATAGAGCAAGGATTTCATAATTGTTTTTGAGTCCTGTGAAGATTTGGCAAGATCTGTTTCATTGATGAAATCAATATCTGCATAGGCTTTCAGTAAGTTTTTAATTCTGCTCAGGATAGTGTTGCATAAAACGCCCCATCTCTGAAATTTATGCAATGATTGGTATCAGGGCACATTGCCGTTAGCGAACACAATTATGGGAATAATATGTAATTAGTATAATTCTTACAGAAACCAACTGTGTCTCAAGTTTAGAATTTCCACAACACTGCAACAAAAATTTGGCCTCAGCAACTTCATCGCAAGCATTTCGCAACATGCAAAAGTCCATTTGCGACCCAATCTCTGAAGGTACTTTCTTGATTAGCTTCTCTGATGAATCCAACGCAACAGAGGCCATTCTCAGATACTGCAACTGAACTTTTCCCTTCCGGATTCTCCTTCGGGTTTCCAACTGACTAGACAGGGATAAAATGTTGTCATCCAACAGTTGATCGAAGCCCTGACGTATAACAAAGCATTAACAACCAAAATCTTTAGGTTGGAAAGTAACGAATTTTATTTTGTACCTGCAAGTCGTTCTTTGTTCTTGTCAAGGGCCCAACAATGCTCTGAATTCTCCCATCCAGCCCCACCAAATTGGAAGACAAGTTGACGAATTGTCCATAGTCCTGATTGATGAGCTCAATGAGGGAGGACCGAAGGCACTTTAGATGAGAACCAAGATCGTCTCTTAAAACATCTAAGGGGACAGCTTGACGTTTCCTCTGAATGAAAGAGTCGACGGAGAATGAATCAGCGTGAAATTCTTCAGGTTCAAAGTTCAGCCGATTGCTTCCAGTAAAAAATCCATCGTGAAATCCCATTTTAGTTTTCACAATTTCAATCCTCCTGCTCAGAATTGAGAGAGAATCAAATCGGCCAGATTTATAAAATCTTCAGAATCTTCTGAAATCCAGAATCTGAATGGCACATATGGTGTAACGTGTAACCAACGCGTGTCATCATCCTCTTCTTAAAATCCCCATGCAGTTACGTTACCGTCAAACAAAATAAGCTTGGAAAGCCGGAAAACTAAATTAATTTCCATCAAAACTGTAAATATTTGAGTACTGCAAAATGTTTGAGGACTTCTATGTCTTGTATTGACATTTCTCTGAGTTGGCAACCTCCGTAATTCCCAGTTGCTCTTTCACTCTGCCCCTCATTGACAAATTGAGAATCATATCATGAATCATGCCCCAACTAATTTGGAGAAATCATCGTCTCGTTTTGATACAATATGCAAAAGGATCATATGAGATTTTAACCGGAAATGAACCTCAAAAGTCGTAATGAATCAATTGTTGTAAAGAAGGACCGGATTATGCAAAACGGTGGCAAGAAATGAGACGTTGCAGAAATGGAGCAATGCAGTAGTGGTGGATTGAGGGAGAAAGGAATAAAATGCGAAACAGCCTTGAGTTTTCTTTATCCATTCATTTCTCCAGCAGCAGCCAGATTTCGTAGTAGAGTGAAATTGGGACTTGACTTTGGTTGTTGACGGAAAGAAAGTGGTGCTGGACCGAGTTTTCGCTAATTGGGTGGTGGCGGAGGTAGCAGCGAGGTCTGGGTCGGAATGACAAGGAGCTGATAAATACGAAATTGTTATACTACTCCTCCGAATAAATTACTCGCTGCTTTTTTGCAGTTTGTTGTTGCAAAAGGTAAATAATAGCTACGAATAAATTATTCCACATTTACAGGACCAATAATAAGTAATATTTTAGTAACATTGTAATAATTTGGTTTTATTTACTTTAATATATGTATAATATAACTGAAAGTTATTGTGCGGAAAAATGACCTTTCTCCGACCGACGATCTCAGAATACCTTGTATTTATGTTTGTTTTTATACGCTGTTAGCCAAGATCTTGGAGACCATTAATCTGAAGAAAGAACAAGGTGACCCGAAGGGGGAGAGGCCTTCGCAGCAGCCATGTCCAACTCTGGTGGCGCTGGAGATAGCACTTCGGGAGCAGGGGGCATAACCAATCGAGTCAGTTTGGGGTCCAATTCGTCCTCTTCCAATGTGACAGCAGCCTTAATGGAAGGGGTCCTCAGCAAGGTAAATGAATTTTGAAAATTCATTTCAATCAGTTTATTGTTCCAAATTTTAGTTTCAGAATTAAGTATGTCTGATTTTTTTGCGCATTAGTGGACAAATGTTATGAAGGGTTGGCAATTCAGATGGTTTGTTCTGGACGAGAACACAGGACTCCTCTCTTATTACACGGTAGTGATTAATTTAGTTAGTTATTTACTTCACGAACTAGTTAGTTGATTGATATGCAATAAATATGTTTATTTAGACAAAGGAAAAAATGCGCCGAGGAGGTGAGTTAAGACAGAATAAATTAAATCGTTATTTTGCTTGGACAATAATTCTAACTTCAGTAATACCCTCACATTATATTTCTTATTGGTCTATACTTATTAATGTTTTCCATACAGTTCGCCGCGGCTGCATAAGACTGCAGGGAGCTGTGCTTGGAATTGACGATGAAGAAGATTCTAATTTTACAATAACTGTGGATGCCAAAGTAAGACACAACTTGTTTGAATCTTAAGTGCATGCTAAACGGTTGCCTGATTCTTGCAAATCTGGGGACAAAATTAAAGTCGTACTATTGTTCCTTTAGGTGTTTCATCTGCAGGCAAAAGATGCTGAGGAGAGAGAAATTTGGGTAAGTTTTGTTGAAATGAATGAGATAGATTATAATTGTAATTGTGAGAATAAGTATATGAGAGAAAAATGGTTGTATGGTTGATGTAGGTCCGGGCTTTGGAAGAAACTATCCTAAAACACACGAGATTGCGTCCACTAGCATACTTTCCACATGTTTTCTCAGAGGCAAACGTTGGAGTGGATGAACCACTACACCGGTTTGAACTTCGATTAGCACAAGCGGATTCGTACCTCGCACTTTTAATACAACAAGTAGCAGCAATGGAGTCTAAACCTGAGCTAGCTGAAGTAGTGGGGAAAGCCAACGAATTTCTTGAGGCTGTAAAACACAGCATTGTCTTGTTGCAAATTGCAAAGGTTCGTTAATCGATACATCAATATGTCAACCTTATTGTTTCTTTATAGGATGGGAATTATCACTCTATTGAATTACTACTGGTACTACTACTGACTACTTGTATTATTGTCTAGAACACTGCCTTTCCGGTTGCAACTCTTGCGTCACCTGTAATCCTTCATTATTCAGATCCTGAAATACAGACGGGGATTGAGTACGGAGCTGAATGCACGGAATTGGCAATCAACTCTAACAAATCGTCCAAAGTTCCGCCGATTCGGGTTGTAAAGTCAATGTCGTCATCCATGATTGGGCAATCACCTATATCACCAAATGAAAAAAGTCCAGTCTTTATTTCATATTCAAGTTCGGACGACGAGCAGGACTTTTTTGATGCTAATGAAGAATTCGAGTCTGCAGAAGAGTAAGTATTCATTATTTTATTCTTTTTATTAATTTCCTGACAATGACCACGACGACTTTATTTGCACTGATTTCACTATGCTTTCTCACTGGCAAATTGATAGATAATATTTGTACCATCGGAATTTGATTTGAAAACTAAATTGTAAGCTACCACATTTTGTAATGATAACTACACTTGTTTACCTGCGTCGCGACGCGTCGGCAGAAACTATGAGAAACAAAAGAAACAAAGTTGTTCTTCGAATCCAACTATTTCTCACCACCCTTCTCAAAACTGCATGTGAAAGCAGGACTTATGTATGCCGTTCACTTTTGTTTTGACGGATTTCTCTACAACGCCCACCAATTACAATGTGGATATGTATATGAGTCTCCGGGAAAGGTCAACATAAATCTGATAATCGGAGCCACTTGACAATAATGGCGTGGCTGTTTCACTTGTTTCAACGGTAATAACGTAAAAGGTCTCGATTTCCTGTTTTCTCGTCAATACCAGTAAATCGATAGCACGTAATTAATTAATTACTCTACCCATTTGGAGTAGCAGAAAGATACCCATAAATGACATACACGTCCATTCAATATCCAAAGCTTCACAGTTTGCCACTGTTTTGTAGATCCATTTCATACTCGGCAAATATTTTCCATTTCGTACAAAACTATTACTGCTGAGGTGTTATATATAGATAAAAACTTTGTCGAAATGCATAAAACTATGTTGCGTTTCAAACCATTTAGGTAACTTTTTTGCAGTAACTTGAATTAATTTCAAAAACACTGTATATTGATGAACAGACTTTCATTATCTGAAATTTCAGGAGTGAAACACCTACTAAGGATAACATCGCAAATCTAACGAGTGAGAAATTATCTCTGGAAGACAAGACATTATCATCATCGCCAATTAATAGCGTAAGTTCTCGAGCAGACTCTAGGACAAGAACTGCTCTTGAACCTGGACTCGATTGGGATTCCTTGTATGACGAAGGTATGGTATTCAAACTTGATTTAATGATGCAATTGAATTGTTGTAATTGTCATATCCATACGCTCTGATTCCAGATGTACCTGAAGATGATTTAGGATCTGTAGAAGGTCATGGCTCTGTCTTGTCTCATTTGCTCTCTCAAGGTAACTATAAGAGGGTAATTGACAGTGAGATTAATCCTCCCTTGTTCGCTATTTGTATGTTTATTGATTGCATTGTATTATGTCAACCAATTAATATGTTATATATTTTCTCTTAGTTAAAATTGGGATGGACTTGACGAAAGTTGTTCTGCCCACCTTCATACTGGAAAGAAGATCGCTCCTTGAAATGTATGCAGATTTTTTTGCTCACCCAGACATGTTTGTAGGTATCCCTGATGCTCCCACACCTAGGGACCGAATAGTTTCAGTTTTAAGGTATATACTGTTAAAATGGACTTTATTGTTAATTGTTGATATAATAATAATAGTTACTAAAATATCTGTGTTTATTTTAATAAACTATTTCGATCCTACAGATGGTATCTCGGAGCTTTTCACGCAGGTCGTCGCTCTGAAGTTGCCAAAAAGCCATACAATCCTATACTGGGAGAAACTTTTCAATGCTATTGGCATTTAAAAGGATACGATCAGTCCTTAATGGCGAATAAAGTTTCTCAAGCAAAAGCTCTATGTGCTGACAATGATCCAAAATTAACAAGTGGAGCATCATCATTTGTTGGAGCTGATGGAACCACACTTTTCCCATGGGTAGAAGATCAAAGTAGGTTGCATTGAAAAGCTAAGATGTTAAGTATTAGAGATTTAGTATTATATTATTCGTTAACTTTTTCCCATTTTAGATGCACTGGTATTCTTTGGTGAACAAGTGAGAATGAATAATCAATGATCTTTATCATGTCATATATTATTCAGACATTAATATCGCCATATCCAATGCCATGTTTCAGGTGTCTCATCATCCTCCAATTTCTGCCTTTTATGCTGAGCATCCTCAAAAGAAAATATCTCTAAACGCACATATTTGGACAAAGTCAAAATTTCTAGGACTATCGATCGGTCGGTAAATATCTATTAATCGATTTTCTCTGCCTTTTGCCAGTTATAACAATAATTATCAAATGTTTTCGCACAGGTGTACAAAATATTGGACATGCGACCTTGACTTTACACAATGGGCCACGAGAAGATTATGTTCTTGGTTTCCCAAATGGCTATGCTCGTTCCATCTTAACGGTTCCTTGGGTGGAGCTTGGGGGTCCTGTTACTATTTCTTGTACCCAAACAGGATACAATGCAAGAGTCGAGTTTATGACAAAACCTTTCTTTAGCGGAGATAAAAATAAGGTAATAACAAAAAAGTATTATCTAATTGCTAATAAGATGGTAAAGTAAATAAATTGAGGTCTATGTAAATATATGTATGTTTGCCCATCAACTTAGATAAATGCTCAAGTTTTTGGACCTGAGGTGAGTTATTCAGAATCTATGTCGGAGGCTGGATTAGGACTGGCGTATGATTTGACGGGTGTCCTTCGTCGTTTAAACTAAAGTCATCCCGCTATTTACAGGATAAAAAGAAACCTTTTCTTGTTGTTGATGGCGAATGGAACGGAGTAATGGTTGGAAAATGGGCTGATGGTAGAACCGAACGGTTTGTGGATGTTCTAAGCTTGAAAATAAACCAGAAGCAGACAAGACCGATAGCTCAACAAGAAACTTATGAGTCAAGGCGCATGTGGAAAGATGTCACGAGAGGGTTAAAGTGAGTTTTACATGTAGCATGGTTAACTGGTTGTTCTAATCAATGTTTGTATAATAATTATTAATTTAACAATTTTGAATTCATTAGATTTCGTGAAATCGACAACGCCACAAACGCTAAATTTTTCCTGGAAGAGAGACAGCGTCAAGAAGCCCGTGAGAGGAGTGCCAGAAGTGAAACATGGAAACCTCGAATGTTCATTCCTGCAGGCGATACATGGATCTTTTCTGAGCCATTGGAACAGAGATTGAAACTTATGCAATCCAAAAGCATACAAAAGCCTTCAGAATACTGTAGATATGGGGAATAGCGATGTAATCTCTAGTCTGGACTTATGTTAATCGACATTGTTACGTCCACGCTCTCAATTAAGTAACTACCAAATAATAATACTAACTGAATAATTCACTGAACTAACTAACAGTTTAAACTGAAATCGTAAAGTTACGCGTTAAATTGTTTTACTATGTATGTAGATGCACGATTAGACAATCTGTTCAGGTATTGTGGCTTTCGAAATTCGAATCGTATTGACTTAAGTCAGATAGACTACTACGTATAAGATTTATCTATTTGTGACTAAAAGATGTATCTAAAAAAACAAATTTACTGATGCTTATTGCATGCACTGATAATAACTGTTACTGAACTATCATGTAATGTCCGATTACCGAGTTTATTTGTAACTTCTCACTCATTATATTACACGCAATTACAGATGTGCCACTCATTTACTGGCAGAAATGTTGGGAATAATTATAGCATAATTATTTTATTGCGAATTTGTGGTATAGGTGATACAGATGCCTTAGAAAAACGTGTGGAAAATTATAATAATTATAAATTCGTGAGTCTGTGACTGGCACTCTATATCTTCATTTATTTACCCGAATCAGCACCAGAAAGACATTATGTATTTAATGATTGCAGGTATTACGAGAGTTATAATAAATAAATAAGTAGTGGTAAGTTATATAAAAAAATCTTTTATTGTTATCATGTTTTGGGTTAACCACGTTGAATAAAGCCCGTATCGTGAATTTTGGTTGACAATCGTGGTCAGCATTACAAAGAGGTGACTGTAGTTCTGTCCATCAAGGGCATGCCTAATCTCACTTCATCAAAGCAGTTAGTCACGTCTTGGACCCACTTAATTGATCGCAAATTAATTGTTGTGACTATCCACTTCACCCTAAAAACCGGATGCAATACATGCTTGAGTTAATCACTGTATGCCACAAATTAAATTCAAATCCATATAAAATCATCCCGCACCGTAGGATAGAGTTATTCGCTCAAAGTATTTATTGCAGCTAAATTCGAAACCTAATCCCAAACATCATCATCATGAGCCCACCAGCTTCTAAATTGTTGTCCGTTGTTGCCATTATTATATATGGCGTAGCCTTGAGTGATGCCGCTGCTGCATCTTGTTTCCCAAAGTTTAAAAATGTGGAAATGATTCAATCCGTGGGAAGCGCTTGTGCAAAGACATTGATGGCCCAAGGAGTTAATCTGACGACCATCCCGACTCCGGCAGATTTGGAGAAAAAAAATTGGGATGATAAATGCATGGCCAACTGTACGATGACTGAACTCAAACTGGTAATCACCATGATATGCTTATTACTTGGTATCTAATTACATATGTAACAATATAATTCTAGACCCAGATAAACCTAACTAAATGATATACATTCCTGTTCAGATTTCAAATAATACGTTTAAGAAGGACGCGTTACTGGCCCTTCTTAAGGAAAACGTACCACAGGAAGTTCTTCCAAAATTGACCTCTCTTGTTGACGAATGTGAAGCAATAGCATTCCAGAAAAATGGTGCACCCCCTGAATTTAATGGAATTGGAATAATCCAACACTAGTTTGATTCCACTAATTTGACTTATTTCAGATCATTCTAAGAACAATACGAAAGAGCATTCCAAGGATGGGCAGAACGAGAAAGCAGTAGCTAAAGGTAAATCTGCTGCAGGTAGATCAGGTAATGCAAAAGCAGGAAAGAACAATAGGGTTACAACAGCCCCAACCAAAGCGAACAAGGTGAATGAGCAGAAATTGACTCATCACGATAACAGGATCTGCAAAGAAACTGCCAAATTTGTCCACTGCTTTCAAGAAAAAGGACAACAGGTATACGAACAATTAAGTTGTTAATTCGTATAGAATATAAATTCGATCTATTCTCTTGGATTTACAGGCCTGTTAATTTAAAAAAACATAATTCTGAACGGGAACCTCTAATTTATCTAGATAAATTTATGTACTGGAAAGATTTGTAGAAATATTTAGATTTGAGTGATGAATTGAATAAACTTTCACCATATTATGCAATACCTCGATTCTTGTGCTACTTGCTTCACAAGTACCTATAAAAATCCAAACGTACATAATAATTCTTTGAACCTAAAATAAATATGGCCATCCATCAAACCAGCTCTAATTTTGATTTGTCTCACTATGTTTACGCAGATAAAGACAGTAATTATACCTTCATGCTGATATGTATACGTGTATGTCAACATATGTATTCGAGATGTATATGCATATACCATACCCAATTATTTTTTTCAAGTCAATCAGTCAATATGGTTTATGCGTATCTACTAAATTTCATTTACACAATGTTAACTCATGGTGCAGACCATTTTGCAGATCCGTGGACTATGTGTGCATGATACTTCATCATTTGACTTGACAGCTCGAATGATCAGATATTTACTATATTATTGTGATGATTATTAAATACTATTTTCTTTAATACGCGTTAGTAATAAATATGCTGTACGGAAATTTGATATTGTATTTCACCGGTACAGTTTTGTTGTGTGGCATTCCGATTACAAATGCACAATTAGTATTCAAAAAGGGTGCACCTCATGTAAAATGTGAGAGTGGTTCTTTTATCGGAAGTGTAAAAACTTCCAGAGGAGATCTTCCCTATTATGAGTTCTTGGGTCTTCGGTATGCTAATCTTCGGGACCGGTTTAAAGTAAAAAAAAATCTGATAAACATTTAAATCCATAATTAAATCACCACTTTATTATTAACGTTGTAATGAATTATGCACAAATGTTTAATAGCCAGCGACTTTAAATCGTGGAGAACATCCGGATTTAAGAGAAAATTCTCATCTAGCAAATCATCCAGGTCCGAGATGTCCTCAGCAATTCGGTAAAAACACAATTGGGGAAGAAGACTGTCTGTTTTTGAACGTATTCATCCCAATGGTATAAAGTCGCATAGCTAACGATACTTGTTCAATCGCTTATTGATGTATTGCAATATTAATTAAATTATAGAGACCCCCACCATTTAAAGACGGCTTTCCTGTCATGGTGTGGATTCATGGGGGTATTTTACCATTTTAAAGCATTTTTAATAGTCGCATACATAGATATTCATTGGTACTTTTCCTTCTAATAATCTACCTGTTAGGAGCGTTCATTTTTGGAAGTGGAGACGGTTACGAAGCTCAATACTTTATGGACGAGGATGTCATTTTAATTACGATAAACTACCGGTAAAATTAATTAAGGTCAAATTAATTAAGCTTCTTAATCATCATGTATTAAGCATCTATGTTATTGATTTCTTGATAGGTTGGGGGCACTTGGTATGGTACAAATGAACGCCTTAAAAAAATAATTCTTCATTTTTATTTATAAAATATGAACAGGGTTCCTCAGCACAGAGGATAATGTTGTACCTGGAAATTTAGGATTAAAAGACCAAGTTTTAGCTTTAAAATGGGTACACAAATTTCAAATTAATAAAACATTCCAACATACACAGTAAAATTCTAATGATAAAAAGGTACAAAATAACATCGAATTTTTCGGAGGCGACAAAAAACGTGTGACGGCATTTGGACACAGTGCTGGAGCTGCCAGCATTCATTACTTGCTGCTTTCTCCAATGAGCAAAGGTAACCTTTACAATAAAACCTCATTCGTAAATCTATTCTTCTATCGGCGTGGACGTTTGTAGGATTATTCCATAGCGCCATCGTTCAGTCGGGAGCTGTTAGCAATTTGTGGGCGTTTACTCATAATCCTGCTTCCACGGCAAGCGAACTTGGGGATCTGCTCGAATGTAAGGCACAAGATTCAGAGGCACTATTGAAGTGCTTAAACGGAAAAACTATTAAAGAAATAACTAATGCGCAAGCAAGGATGAAGGTGAATAAATAAATTCAATTATGTAAATTTTTATCTATAAATCAAAAATTAATGGTATATTTCCAGAGGTGGTATATTGATCCAATCGCCCCATTTGGACCAACAGTCGAATTTTATAATCCAAATGACGGCTCTACATTCCTGTCTGAATATCCAGATGAGTTGATCCAACGAAGAGAATTCATAAAAATTCCGCTAATGCTAGGAGTCACGCCGGATGAAGGTCTTAGCATCGATGCCGTTGGTATTTATTAATAGAAACATAAAAAAAAATCTTTGAAATCTTGTCCAACTAAAATACAAAACTTTTGCTTTCACTTGAATTTTGTAGGCGTCATACAAAGCGAGAAATTGACCAGTCAACTAGATTCTGATTTTGAAACGATTGCTCCAATCACTTTCAATTTTAGGAATTGGTTCCCAAAAGAAAATCTTAAACAAATTGCAAGGGAGCTTCGTCAGTATTATTTTGGGGATAAACCTATTAACAAGGAGACACTCAAAAATCTAACAAACTTGTATTCCGATGCCAATTTCATATACGGAGTGTGGAAATTTGCTTTGGAACATGCGACTGAGCAACCTGTATACCCATACGTCATGGCATTCCAAGATGAGTCTAGTTTCAGCAGCACTAAATTATTTACAGGACTTGATGACAAATTTGGTGTCTCACACGGAGGTGAGGTTTCGCTTAATTATAATAAAAATCCTCGGCACTCGTAACAAATTGAATCATTCGACACATTAATTGCAGATGAAATTCAATACTTATTTAAAAGTTTACTATTTGCCGAGGAGATTGCAAGGGACTCTGAAGCTGAAAAGTTTTCAAAAAAATTGGTAAAACTTTGGGCTTCATTTGCAACACACCGGTAATTAAGTAAATAGTTCATTATCGTCCATCTTAACTGGAGAGGTTTAATACGGTTAATGAGAGTAATATTTTTTATTATTCTGTATAATAAGCAAACCAACAGAAACTTGGGGTTCCTCCTTGAAATGGCCTCAAATTTCTAAAGCACAGCTACAAGGCGATGTGCCATATAAATGGTATATGCTGGACAAGGATACCAGCATTTTGGAAAATCCATTCATGGAAAGGAAAATATTCTGGGACAAACTCTTTAAGAAATACTCTAAGAGCTCTAAAGACGAACTGTGATGACAATTTGTCATGCTATGCATTTGAATATAATAATGGTTTAACTGCTCCAATAAATTAAAATTATTTTATTAAGTGCGTGTATATTCGAAGAGTCGGATCATTTACAGGAAAATTTTTTAAGAACATACATAAGTAGATCAGGTATGGTATGCTACTGATGATGTGGAAGCTATCTTTTCAGACACTAATAGTTATCTAAATAGGTATTGTGTAAGGCTAACAATGGTCACATTCGCAAAAAGCACGTACTGCATAGCTCTTGGGAATTCGATCAGATATGACCAGTATTTCTCTTTAATGTACCACAGCACCTGAACTCTGAGTCTATTTTTCACGATTATGGTAAAATAAATATATAAGGGACTGGAATTTCACGTAATCTGCTTAAATACATAATTTCTGCTTTCTACCACTACAATTATCCAATCCTAATCCAACTCATCTGGAGAAAAAATGAAGCAGGGAGGGTATTTATGTGAGATCAATAATATTAATTTGGTTGAAGTTATACAAACTAATATCAAGTATTTATGAACCCTCAAACAACTTACAATTTAGTTTAAGAATATGACTTATAAAACTCGAACAATGGAGCCCGTCAACGGCAGATCACTTTCTCTCTCTGACTAATTCTACATTGAATATGACTCAATTCGATATGCAATACAATTAACAACTATTTAGGTATATTGTTTTGTGTATTATTTAGACTTAAAACTAGAGCCATTCAGGTTTGAACTTTCCCAATTCCTTAAATGACAAACTGCATAGAGTACTAACGTTTCTGCATGAGGACAAACACAGATACTTCTGAAAGTTCACCCAAGGAGCACAAAGTCATAAGGCAACAGTTAATTTCGCAGGTTTCATTGAAGAAGTTTTGTAATTATGGGAATTATTAAGAGAAAAACTCCAATGATAAAAACTGCTCCAAGCACGAGCTTCGAGCGTTGCTGTCTCCACCACATTTTTCTTCGAAGATGTTCCGAAGATTGACGATAAATGTCACTGGAGTACTGCAGCTGTAACATAAGAGAAAGTTAAATATTTTTTTTTCAAACAATTCAGTGTGTGCATACCTGATCTGATAAATCTTGCAGAGAACCAAGGTTTGCCTCCCTGTCTAAAAGTCTGGCAACGTTATCCTTCATCCTTCCAGTGACTTCATCCAACTGATCTCGAACTTTCCGCTCCGGTTCTTGAAAGCGAACGCTTTTTGACCGAGGAAGATTAATGGTGGACGAAGCTGACTTTTGATTTACATCAATTTCTAAAGTCGTACTCGTATTATCCAAGTTGAGAATAGGAGCTTGTGGACCATGTAGGAAAAAATCATATTCAGGGCTGTCATTGGGGGCAATTATTGGCCCCACTCGAGTCCCATTTTCCACGGGTGGCGTGTACGGAGAGGTACTATTGTTGTAGATCTTGTTTCCACTATTCGTGCCAACCTTGCTAGATGCACCCTGGCAAAGAAGCTCATCCATCTCATCATCTGAACCGTTGACTAGATCTTCCAAGGACAGTGTCCTTCTGTATTTTGAAGACATTTTTTGACTGTAGAAAGGTTTTCTTGTCTTTTATAATTTGTTTTGTTTCGTATAATTTATTCCTTTCTCTTAATCTTTACGAATCCATTGCAACAGGAACCTGCAATTAAACAAAGGTATTTTTGCAAATTTTTAAAATTATTTTCACATTCAATAACCTTTTATAGCAATAGCCAAATGAGGTTCCATATTATGATACACGAAAATGCATGGCTTAATAAGTAGTCAATGATTTACCTTAACAAGTATCGAGGCAATATTCTGTTACTGCATGCAACACAATCAATTACTCATGAGATATCACAAAGCATATCCCGTTTCTCCAGTATACTTTGAACAATAAGAAATAATTGTAACAAGTGGAGTTCGTGTCTATTATCGCGAGACATTATTACTACTACATGTTCAGAGGTCCTACGTGGGAAACAAGTAGACTTTCTCCCCCAAAATAATAATAAGACAACTAGACAACTACTAACGAAATCCCATAACTTTCATTATAGAGCTGCTGTTCGTTCTGCCAACTTTTGAAGCAAGTAAAAGTTGTTGGATTAATATTGACAAAACCCCGAAATAGTCTGGGACAGAAAAAGGACGAGAAAGCCTATTCGTGCTAATACGATATAGGTATACAGAATAAGTACGTGCGAAAAGAGTGTTGGTGGTCGGAGTAAGTAATGGTTGTGGTGGGTAATCCAGGCGGAATGACTGGACCTTTCCCTTTCCCTTTTACTGTGCCCACCGAATAAGACAGGGTTTGTTTGTGGGAGTGAAAAGAGAAATCTCAGGTCGTTTAGAATGCTGCCAATATAATGAAATGAAATGTTGTTGGACATGTGAATAATTGAATCAGAGCCTCAACCAACCACCAAACAACAATCTCGACACATGGTTCAGTCGGAAAACCAGCCAAATCTGCAAATCTCTGGATGGAGAAAGTCGGCGGCTGCTCTCTCTTCCAGCAAGGAAAGTTGATGCAAATGCTCTCGGGGGTGCTGCTGCTGTCGTATGTATGATCTTCTTGGGGATTCTTTAGTATATCCACCCGCACAGAACAACATCTCACTCACACACATTTATAACACGATGAGAGTGTGTCCTAATAGGATCCCCTATTAATGCTGGAGGAGAAAGCGAGAGAGAAAGCAAACTTACAAAATATGAGGACGTGATAGCATGTCAAACCCGGCTTTAGAATCCTACATGGCTATATATTTCACCGTTGGCATTTGATATGAATAGCTAACTTTCTCCGTTAACAAGTATGCAGTGAATTAGTCAAGAAAAGCGAGCAAGATAAACCTATTAATCGTAAGTGTACATGCAACTGAACCTGTTGTTATTTACCTTGCGTATTATATCAATATTAATGATACCTGATTACGAAGAAATTATCTTGATGACCAACTTCACTTCCGACTAAATACTTGTGTATTGCATATACCGGCTGGACAACGACTGCCATTTCTTATTAAAGAGGGAGAGTTCGTGAAGGTCAACGTGTCCAGCAGATTCATTTTCTTGATGTTTTACTTGCATACACACTATTTACATACTATTTTGCATGCCTCATACGTATTATACTGATTCAACCACTTTATGTATGCTCTGTAGCATTTATTTACTTATTTAGTACAAATTGGTCAATTATCATTATTGGATTCTTATGTAATATACAGGCTTGGGCAAGATACTTTGTTTTAAGAAACAAGATACAAGATAAAGATACTTTTAGAAAAATTCCAAGATACTAGATACAAGATACTTTATTCTCTGTTTTTGCCAAGATACTTAGATACTAAGTAAAAGATACTTTTTAGTATTTGTTAAGATACAAGATACAAGATAAGATAAAGTATCTTAAATATTTAACAAGATACAAGATACTTTTAACTTTTTTTAAGACTGAAAAAAGATAAAACTTCATATTTTTTGCCATTTAGGTATCGCCAGTAAGATGAAAGTCTTACTTTTGAGTAATTAGGCATTGAAAAACACCTTCCACTAGCAAAAATAAAACGCATAGTTTCTTAAAAATTACAATTACTACCTCATAAATCATAAGAAAAGCGAACATTAGATGTCGCGGGTAACATATTTTGCAAAAAGTATCTTGTATCTTAAAAAGTATCTTAAATACTTTCCTCTGGATATAAAATATCAGATACAAGATACAAATACAAGATACTCATTGAGGATTTTCCAGATACAAGATACAAGATACTTTGAGCTGAAGCGGCTGGAAGATACAAGATACGAGTAGTATCTTGTATCTTGTATCTTGTATCTAGTATCTTGTATCTTAAAGTATCTATCTTGCCCAAGCCTGGTAATATATAGGAATTGGAACGGGAAGCTTTTTATCTACAATAAACGTCAACTCCATTTTCATTAGCTAATTTATTAACAAGACCAATGGAAATGGAGATGCTGCTAAATTTTAGGCAGTATTAGTCACTCATATGATAAATAATGCTAATAATAATGGGTAATAAACTTTACATGGACTATTATTATGCCACCCTCATGTACCAAAACTTACTACATAACAACAACATTTAAGCCTGGGAAGAGCCCCTTACACGTAAAGTACTGTGGATGAAGTTCTAACCCTGCAGACTTATTACACCGCTTTGTAGCATTAATTTCACGACGTCACCGGTCAAAAAAATTTTTTCCTCCAAACTGGTCCAAAATAAAAGTCTAGCATGGGAATAGTATAGAAAAATTATTTTTAGCGTTCTATGACCCCTGGGTCATGAATTAAGGGCCCCTGAAGGGTCAAATAGCGTTCCCTGATAACCCCATGCAAATGGGGTATCAAATTAATCCCCTGGACCAGGGGAACCAGAAAAATATTTTTATAAATTTTTATGACCCTTGAGTCGTGAACTAGGAGCCCTTGAAGGGTTAAATATCATTCCCTCACAACTAAAGGCAAGTGGGGTATCAAATTAATCCCCTGGACAAGGGGAACCCAAAAAATATTTTTCTGGATTTTTTTGACCCTCAGGTCAAGAGTTAAGGGCCCCCGAAGGGTCAAAATAGTAACCATGGTAACCCCATGCAAGTGGGGTATCAAATTAATCCCCTGGCAAAGGGCAAGCATAAAAATATTTTCCTGAATTTTTTTGACCTATCGGGCAACAGTTAAGGGTCCCTGAAGGGTCAACATAGTAACCATGGTAACTAAGGTGAATGGGGTATCAAATTAATCCCCTGGACCAGGGGAATCAGAAAAATATTTTTTGGTTTTTGTGACGTATAGGTCAAGAGTTAAGGGCCCCTGAAGGGTCAAATAATAACTTATTGTATTTTACTAAACGGGACATTATTTTAAAGTTTTCAGTTTTGCAAGAATGTTAAGTAGAGAGGGGTAGGCATATTTTTGAAAATTTCGTACAAATTTAATGAATAATAATTCTTAACACTATGTACAAATCGGATTCACTATTTATAATATTTATTATGTATTGAATCCATTGAAGTTAAAATCTAGGTTGATTCTGGTGGGAAGGTTAATCTCCTCCTAGAAGTTGCACATTCTTCTTCAGGCAAGTCTTCTTCTTCCCCAGCCTGTGAGTATTCAATATCATTGTGTATTTGCATTCGGAATCTATCAACTACTTCGTCAACATCGTCAGGGTCCTAATCTTCGTCGTCAGACACATCATCTGCTGCTGTAATCTGTATATTATGTATAAGTTATGTATTTTTTTACTAATAGTTTACTGTCACCAAGAACTCACTCGAATGGGGTTGGCTGAAGCTACACGTGTTTGGAAGTCATCAAGGAAGTCATCAAAATGTCCATCATTTTTCCAATACTCGTCCTCCAATCTATTTACAATAATAATGTAGAAATTGCGAATTATTCCCATAATAGCGAATCTTGGTTTTACGAACCGGTGCACATGTTTGATGTGTTTCTGCCATTGTTCCTTTGTGTATGTTGTCATAATTCTCTCAGCCTCAGCTTGTGCAAACTCAGCGGTCCCCTGTGTGTTTGCAGCCCTAACTGCGTGCTTGATGTCTTTCCACACGTACTCAATTGGGTTCAAGTCGCTAAAAATAGTTATTACATGAATATTCTTATTACCGTTACCTATGATTACCAGTTCTTACCAGTTATATGTGGGTAATCTGGAAAATACGTAAATACAGTGTTTAAATAAATATTACAAATTATTAGTAAATTACCCATGAATAGAAAATAACTTTACCGGACAACAGTGTTTCCATATTTCAATGCCTCCTTATCCACAATGTAATATTCATTTCCGTTTTTAAGGTCTTGAACCATTTTCCATAATTCAGGTCGTCTCATTTGCTTTACAGGTTTTAGTTTCAGCTTTTCAGGGCCCTCTAAATTATCATTCAGCCAGTCGTATAGCTCTTGTTTTCGGGATGTAGATTTTGGGGCTTCCTTGGTGCTGTGATACGGAGCTGACAAATTTAAATAAATGAAATTCAAATTAAAATGGAATTTACAAATACAAATTATTGGATGATATTACCGTTATCAATAACAATTATGCATGGACCATAATTATCTTTTATCTTTTGATTAAGATCCTTCCACCAAGCCATGTAAGCGACACCGTTAACGTTTGCGTGGTAATCCATCTGGACTTTCTTCTTTGATACTGGATATACCTTCATAGCGCCAGGTACGAATCCATCCTCTCCACCTGTGAAGATAATTATTATTTTGAAATAATTTCCTATTTAATGTGGATAGTTGAACTGCACCTGCATGCATCACAATGATACGTGGTCCTCTAGAAATTTTCGGGTTTTGGAAGGAGTATAAAGCCGCTTCATGAAATGACTTTGGTGAATTAATAACCCAGCCTTTTCCAGTTCTAGCATAACTATCGACCCACGTTTCATCTGAATAAATATAATGCATTAATAATTATATTAAATTAAATTAAAACATTTTTGATATTTAATCAGCCAAACCTGTGTAGACAACACATTTTGGGTTCTCGGACTGACGATTTTTAATCATTACGGACAGATATTCATATCGCTTCTGCACGATGTCTGATCTCATGAGGATAACTGCTCGCTTATCAACAGTTTTGAATCTAAATCCTAATTGCTTAATGAGTTTTCTTAACGTCCACTTGGAACATTTGAACGCTGTAAGAGTTTCTCCTCGGGCTATCCGACCATCTTCTTCTTCCTTGACTTCCTCCATCAGTTTTGTGTATACGTTATGCATTGTTGGTGCTTGATTATTAGCATAGAATTGATGAATGATTCGTTTAACGTGCTCAGTTCGGAAGTCGTCAAACTGATCCATCACTGGCGTTGGTCTAATACGTTTCTTACCAGGTGTTTTTATACTATTCGTTTTGTAATTCTCCATTGTCTGATAAACTGTTCTCTCTCCAATTCCTAGAATCTGGCTAGTTTTGGTGACAGAGTTTCCTGTTAGTATTTCACACTGTACCTGGTTACTGTCAAAGAATACTTTGGCGTTGACAATTAACTTTTGAGCTGTCGCCTGTAGTGAAACACCAAGTAGTTGGAATGGGAGTTTAGTATTTGGTTGTTTACAGTCGTTTTTCGCTTTCGGTGTTGCTTTCTCAATTTCAAAGGCTAATTGTTGCATAGGAAAACTCGTAGGACTGCACCTCGAAAGACTAAGGTAAGGTTTGGTTCCATCATTCCGTCTAGGAACATCAGATAAAGGAATTCGCATTTCACCTTCCCCCAATACCTGTTCTTTAGCTCTGAGAAGGGAATAGAAATATCCACACTCAGAATCCGGACAAGGAGGACCAACAATTAGGACATCTTGAATGAACTCGTTTATAAGGTTCATCTTTTCGTCGTTTATGGGGGTTGGGAGATAGCCTACCGTGTCACTGCCGGGTGGAACATTTTGGATTAGTGAAAAAGATTGAACTGCTTGATGAAATTGCCCTTGATTGTGTCCGAAGTGAAGTAAAATTATGCAGTACGTCAATGACTCGGCAGGTAAGATTCCTTCGAGATGGTCACTAGTAATCTGGCTGTCAGAAAACAATATATCTGGTGCAACTTGTTTCGATCCGAGGACAAAGTAGAAATTTTTTATTTTGCGTTGCGTAGTTTGTTTCTCTTGTATGATCTTGTTCTGGAAAGATGCGTACATTACTTGGTGGATAGTCATCCCGCCCACAAGGATTATTTCAACGAATCCGTTAAGTGAATTAGTTTTTGGAGGACGAGCGCCTTGGGCAAATACGAACATGTTCAATAAACGAAATCTGGTTATCATCATTCTTGGTTGCAAATTCGTTCAAAATCATCCTACATCCCCCTTTGTAAGGGGCCGTTGGGTAAATGTCTGTTCCCACACATGTATCTTCACCTTCTGTACTCTTGGATGCATACTCTGTATTTGAAGTGTCCATTGGTGATTCACCGCCAGGAGCTGACCCTTCCCCTAACTCTTCACGTTGTCCACAGTGCCCACGTTCATCATCTCCATCACCATCCTCCTGTATTGATCAGAACAAAAACGTACATGAGCTTGTTACTACAATAACAATTTCACGATGTCCCCCACAACATCCGCGGTCGCTGCTATTTATAAATATGTTGCAATATTTCTCACAAGTGCGTCTGCATTGGTGTCCATTTCATCCACATTTGAGCATGGCATGACGAGGGAATTCATGTCAGACTGTTTTTGCTAAAAGTGATAAACTTGTATGAAATGCGTCTGTGCTCTCAGACAATAAATCGATGAATCTGAGCTAGCATTAATAGTGCAAAAATATAATCTTACATCGATATGCGGTGGATTTACATTAGTTTCTGGATCCACCGTGTAGCAGCTCCCTAGCCAAATATTTTGCAGAATACTTATCCACTTTGACTCCTGAGCTTGGCCTTCCCAGATGGCACGAGCAGTTGTTAGTGTTCCTGCTGAAGTTTTATCGTACACCGTTTCATGTGCAAAATGCAAAGTTAAACTGGGATAAAATCCTGCTGGGTAGAAATATAAGAAGGATGTATAGGACCCTCCAATTTGACTTTCGAAATATTTTTTGGCACTCATTGCGGCCGCAAAAAGTGGGAACAGATCTTTTCGATGTAATTGCACAGTAGTTAGAAGTGCCTCGTCTGCCTCTGATGGTAGAACCCCTAGCAAATAATCGACGTCATGTTTGCGGCATGCTGCATCTGTGAATAATATCAACACAAAAATTATAAAATTAATTTTCACAAATTTGACTTGGTTAGTGTATGAGCATAAATTGGGCAACAATTACCAACAGCATTTATTGGGCCACCGAGATCATCCTGCTTCTCAATATCGGTGGCAGGCCCGCAATATCTTAATTAATACCAATAATAAAATTATGTTAATAAAGAATCATTTCATAAAGATTCCAATCGCAACTTCAAAAATAAAAAAACTCATCCAAAATAACCAATTACCTATATCCAGGGAGATTGAAAGGTAATCCGCTTGGCGCCTTTTTAACTTTAGCTTTCTCCACGGAAAGTATAATACCACGTGGGCGTCGGAGAGATCCAGGATGGAAAAATGCATCTTGACGAAGATGAAAGCAAGATGGCAATTTACCTTCGTTGGTAGGAATAAACGTGTGCTTTCTGGCAAAGAAGGCTGAATGCAGGAGACTTGTGTAGTTGAACCTGATGCATGATATTTGGTTGCACAGAATTAGAACTGTGCATGCAGAAGGAAGAGGAGTAGTGCCTTGAATAGCTTTAGTTACTGCTTGCTTGGTGGTACAGTTCTTCGTTTCAGCCGCTATATTACAATAAGTGTCACTAATTTTTTCCTGAGTTAAGTCGGATAGTTTATTGGATGGAAATGTGTGGTTGGCGTTTGAAATTGTGATGTTATTTAGTAGATAACGGCTGGCATCCACGAAACTTTTAAAATAAAAAGTTACATAGCTTTCACTTCCCCATACCCGTATCTTTTTATTTTCATACTCTACTTCTTCAATTTTGATAGTGTCACTGAAGAACATAACAGTTTCATTAATTTCCATACACATCGTTTGATTACATATCAGAAATCCACTGCAATTGGATGGTAATGTCTCCTTGAACCAGATAACCAATCCACCCAGGTTATCCGTCTCATCACACACAACTTTAACCTGTTTATCTATTTCTATTTTATCGACATTCGCGCAACTTTTACCACAAACACAATGAACTATATATAACACATACAGTGTTCCATAAATTAAGTTATGCAACGTCATCTTCAATTTTAAAAATTAATAATTGAGCGGATACCAGTAAGTACAAACTCCAAAACTTAAATTTCAAAATGTCGACTGGAGAAGCCAGCAAGGATAAGGGGTCTCCCATCACCTCATATATTTATAATGCATCAGTTTTTAGGGGATATTCATCACCCCAACCATTAACCCAATCCTTCCCCAAACAAGATGGTGCATAAAGATATGTATATGAGAAAGGGACCAGTTTATACAAACATAAGTATGCTGCCTGAGACAGGCTATGAAGCCTGGTTACCATGGTTACTATGTTGACCCTTCAGGGACCCTTAACTCTTGACCTATAGGTCAAAAAAATTCAGGAAAATATTTTTATGCTTGCCCTTTGCCAGGGGATTAATTTGATACCCCACTTGCATGGGGTTACCATGGTTACTATTTTGACCCTTCGGGGGCCCTTAACTCTTGACCTGAGGGTCAAAAAAATCCAGAAAAATATTTTTTGGGTTCCCCTTGTCCAGGGGATTAATTTGATACCCCACTTGCCTTTAGTTGTGAGGGAGTGATATTTAACCCTTCAAGGGCTCCTAGTTCACGACTCAAGGGTCATAAAAATTTATAAAAATATTTTTCTGGTTCCCCTGGTCCAGGGGATTAATTTGATACCCCATTTGCATGGGGTTATCAGGGAACGCTATTTGACCCTTCAGGGGCCCTTAATTCATGACCCAGGGGTCATAGAACGCTAAAAATAATTTTTCTATACTATTCCCATGCTAGACTTTTATTTTGGACCAGTTTGGAGGAAAAAATTTTTTTGACCGGTGACGTCGTGAAATTAATGCTACAAAGCGGTGTAATAAGTCTGCAGGGTTAGAACTTCATCCACAGTATGTGATGTTTCTTTTTCTCTTCATATCCTCATTCCACATCCAAGCTGACAGATTACATTTATACAGTCAAAACAAGACAAAGAAAACTTTTTATATTAAAGTTCTACTAACACTAATTTGAAACTGATGTTCATAATTTTTAACTAAATTTCTACTCTATCTTACACATAAGGAACATATCGTGATTGTTTTGGGATTTGTATTTGTATAAGAAATACACAAGTCAATATTGATTTCGTTAGAAGTCAACAATCAAACCAGTACCATTATTATCAACACCAGATCCAGTGCTCAATCAGTTACGATACGAATACGAAATAGATTGATAATATCACTTTCAATTCTAGATAACCCTCAAGAGATAACCAAGGCTGAACAAGTAGTCCACAACAATTTCATTTTGAAGTATTTAGCCCAGGATCAAGGAAGTATAAAGTCATGAGATGAGCTTATTTATTCAAGATAAGTGTAATCGTTGTCGTTCTCAATTATGTGCGTGGTGCGTGTGTGGACAATTTAATAAGTAAAATGTGACAGCGGAGGATAACCAGACCGCACAGGGATTATATTTTGTTGCTTGAGCATAGTTTCTACATTTCTGAATTTATGACCATTTTGTAACCTACTTTCTGAAGAGAAATCAAACTACAGCCATCATGTGGACGAAACCAGAAGAGATCCTTGTCGCCAATGCATTCTGGTAAGAAGGTTTAAGGATGGCTTGCTTCATGTTGTAAAAAATATGCTGATGGCCGATTATTAAATAATATGATAACCATTTTTTGTACACAGGGTGACTGAACGAACGAATTTGTATTTTATACTTCAGACGCGAAGGGGTCACGGGACGGCAAAAAATAACTTGGTATTTTTAACTTAATTTTACCCTATAAAAATGCATTGAGAATCTCAATTTGAGATTCTTCGTTTTGAGAAAACGCATTTCATTTGTACGTATTTACAGGCGTCCTTGATCGTGGGTACATTTGATAATGTTTTGGACTCCAAGGTACACATATGTTGATTATAAGTTGTAACTAAATTGCAACTTATTTATTGACACTTGACATCGATTTTTCTTGATTTACAGCCACCTCCGTATCGGATCCTTCATCAAACTCCAAATTCAGAAGTTTACTACTGTACAATTGTTATCCATTAATTGATAATGTGTTCATTGGAGGTGTTGTATTTGAAAATAAATATTTGCAATTATTTTTAGTGGTAGCTGTGTCAGTAAGCCAAAAGGAAATATGTGGAGATTGGGAATGGCTTGAAAAAAATATGATGTCGACACTTGCAAATTTTGATGATGAAGATCAGATTACAGATTTTGTTAGATGTAAAATCGAAAGCCTTGTCGCCCATTCACAACCAAGTGCTACAGCTGATGGTATCAGTTCTTTTACAATTAAGTGCAAGTAACAATCAAGCATCAACTATATCAAGTAGTAATCATTATTTACAAAACTTCTTCAGATACAGAAACGGAAGCGTTTAAAACAGCATCTCAGAAATTTCAGAGGCTTTTTGGCATGCCACCAGAAGAGAAGCTAGTGAATTATTACTCTTGCGGGTACAACTTGTTCTAGGTTAATATATTTTTAGAAGATTTGGAAAAAAAAACTTGAAAATTTAAATAGATACTGGAAGGGGAACTTCCCACGACAAGGGTGGCTGTACCTCAGTGTTACACACATGTGTTTTTATTCATATTGGTTGGGAAAAGAGTTCAAAATTCTTACACGCTGGACTGATGTTTGTTCATTGGAGCAAACAAATTCATTCGTATTTCCTGATTCCATTAAAGTTTCTACACGGGAAACTTCGGTAATAACTTCGTTTTAATTTTTTTGTGTACACTTTGGAAATTATAATGTTTGATTATTTTGCAGTATCATTTCTCAATGTTCATGCACAAGGCTGAGACTTTTAAGTTGATGTCCCAATTGGCAAATCTTGCGATGCGACAGTAAGACATTCATCACTTTTCCTTAATAGACTCTAACTAGAGGCGTACATGGGTTAATGTTACGCATTAATTTTATTTAGATTAATTGATCAAGAAGGGTTCCAAGAGGATCGAGATCTCATTTCGAAGCTTAGCAAAAATGTACCTAAGAAACCTTCATATCTAAAACGAGATTTTGATGCAAGAGGTAAGGATGATATATGATAAGTATATACTAATAAATATTTCAAACGAGTTCCATTTTTTCCAGCTCATTCGGAAGCATTCAGATCATTTTTTCGTCTCCCTGTTGATGAAAAATTGGATGGCACCCTTGAGAAAGTTGAAATTTGGGACCCTTCAAAGAAAAAGTCTGTAGCTGGAACTATGTACCTGTCCAACAATTATGTTTGTTTTCAAAGCAAGGTATTATCATTTATTTTAATTTATGATACTCATACATATATAGTTGAAGTAAATTTAATATCGCATTACATTTGTTATATTGTTGAAACAGGTGCCCATGTTGATAAATGTGATAATCCCTTTACGAGATGGTGATTTTTCTAAATTTATCATCTATCACACATTTAAAATGTAATATTTGATGTATTTAATATATAGTGATTGTGATTGAAAATGCTGCATCGCATAGTCCTGCTGAAAGAGCCATTTTATTCACTACTAAATACAAGTCTTCCTTCCTGTTTATGCAAGTGGATGACCGAGACTTCTTGGTCAATAAATTATCTGAACTACTGTCCAAAACCAGTACATGTCGCAGATTGACGTAAGCTCTAATCAAACATGCGTATATCTTAACTATAGTTTGACAAGTGGATTTGATATGATTTTTTGACATTATTCTGTGTATAGAGAAAGCTGTGGAGACTCGACTAGTTTGAGCAGCTCATCAAATAGTTTTGTACTGTTGGAATCACCTCCAGAAGAAGTTAAACTAAGTCGCCTACAATGTACGTGTAGTGTTCATATATAAGTAGCGTTGATTTGGTACAAAGTTTAAACTTTTATAATTGTAACTCATGGTCATTCGATTGTAGCTGAACAAGTTTTGACTCAACCCCTGATGGAAATGTTTCCTATGCCCATACATGGAGACCTACAAGAGAGAGAACTTTCCAAATCTAAAAAGTGGGAGCAACTATTTCTTGATTATGGTATTTGACTTTGGTTAACTAGTATATCCGCATTATCTATCAATAAGTATATTACTAACTACTAGAAACTCAACCAATCTTTAATTTTGTTTACAAATAATAGGTAGAGGAATTTCAATGTATCGGACCTATGAGACGGCAGAACTTGTAGTTCGAGGCATTCCAGATAAATACCGTTCAGAGATTTGGCTGATTTATTCTGGTATGTTATTAAACATGACAAGTCATATACCTACACAAAGGTCATATATCTAGTTAAACAATAATTCGAAATCAGAGCACGGTAAAATTTCGATTAAAGCTCTACACTCTCTAAGAACATACAAATCTCTGAATCAACTCAAATCAGAAGCTGTTGGTTGTTTATTTGTTTAGGGAATATGAATGAGTCATGTTGAATTATTTGGCAGACATAATTTTTAAGGCAATTTGAATTTAGTCTTGATTAATTTTTAACAATTAGGTGCGGCCAACGACTTGGCAACACACCCCGGCTATTATGCATCACTGGTGGAGCAATCAGTAACTCGGCGAAGTCAAGCTAACGACGAAATAGAGCGTGATTTACACCGTTCCCTTCCGGAACATCAAGCCTTTCATGAGGACATAGGTCTAGATGCCCTGAGACGAGTCCTTTGTTCTTATGCAACACGAAATCCACACATTGGATATTGTCAGGCGATGAATATGCTGGCCTCCGTTTTTCTGTTGTATTGTAACGAAGAGGAAGCGTTTTGGCTGCTTGTTGCTGTTTGTGAAAGATTACTACCAGATTATTACAACAGGAGAGTAATAGGAGCCCAGGTTGACCAGCGTGTTTTGTTTGAATTATTGAACTTGCATATGCCAAAATTGCATGGACACCTGCAGAAATTGGGTCTGATTGGAATGATCTGCTTGAGCTGGTTTCTTACACTGTACTTGAGGTAAAACGCATAAAAAAATCTGATTACAAGTTAATGAACATGGTGAAAATAATTGAGATCTAATTAGCTATTACTTTAACTGTTTGTCTCAGTTGCCTATCGTATGATTGTGCTGTCTTTATAATGGATTGTTTCTTTTACGACGGAGGTATATATTTGCACATACATATATTCAAATTTATTTGGAATTTGCTAAATGTGGTTGTTTTATGTCTATAATTTCAGTCAAAGTTGCATTCAGCATTGCGCTTACCATGTTGGATGCAAATGAAGAGGCTTTGCTGAAATGCAAAGATGAAGGTATGTTGATTTTTATCATTGTTCAACTTAATGAAACTTAATCAGAATTGCGATTTTTGTATATATATCTTATTATTTTATAAAAACATGATTTATCATTTACAGGAGAAGCAATGCAATTGTTAAATGAATATCTGTCTGGGATTTTTCTCGTACAAAGTGATATAATTGATGGCGATGACATGAAAGATCTGAGTCGAACTCCGAGCCCTCAGTTGATGATGACAATTTCTGCAGGGACACCGGTGGGTCCAAAGTCACGAATGGAGACATGTCACAAGAAAAGCGTCTCTATCACTACTTTAATTTACGAGTCCTACCGCAAATTTGGGACACAAATTACTACCGAAAGAATTGATAGAATGCGATTGAGACATCGTGTGAAAGTTGTTCAAAGTTTGGAAGATGCCGTTTTAAGGAACGCACTTCGCTCCATTCAGAAACCAATATTATTTTCAGATGAAGAATTAAACGATTTATTTTGGCTCGTGCGTGGGGACCACTTATGGCAAGTAGCATGTGGATTTTACCACAACGGTGGTGGACAAACTGGCGAAGATCATAGCCAAGGCGCACTAAGAATAGATTTGGATCAATTTCGGTCTACATTCATGGCCTTTAGTCCTTGGGGGAGTAATGGAAATCCACGAATGCACGATTTGGCGGACAGAATTTTTAAGGTAATTTAAATTTATTCTTTCTTGTTCAACTTTAAAAATCAAAAGTGTAATCGAGTGTTTTGTTTACTTATATAGCTGTTCGATGCAACTGGAAATGGATTCTTGACATTTAATGACTTGGTGCACATTATTGCTCTAACGGGCAAAGCTGAAGCTATTAAAAGGTTAAGATTCTTGTTTATCCTTCACTTACCTCCGTTGTTGGATACTAACTTGGAAACTCCTACAAGTACGTTAACATAGTGAATGATTCGCAATTTATTTTATTTTTCCTTTGACTGTTTTTACCATTTAATTGTTGTTCTGTATGTAGCACATCCTCAAGACAGTTCAGCAGAAATGGCAACGGATGCTTCCGAGTTTTTTGCAAGTGTTGAAACTTTGAGGTCCAACATTGAGACGTTCGAATTGAGTGATGACTCTACTTCACGCCCTAGTAGTCAATTGAGTTTATCCAAAGGTGAAAAATTGTAGTTACATTTCTATAGACTTCCAACCTGTTTTCAACGTATTTTTTTTAGAAAACCTTTTGGCGACATATCGGGATGCTTGTTTGTCTGAATCATCTTCTGTGCCCCTGCCACCTATGGATCAGCCACACTTTATTGCCATGTGGAGATCTTTTTACGATATCTTTATTGAGCACAAATATGAGCAAGATGCATATCATTCAATTGTCAGCGTCGGAACTCTATTAATTTCTCTGGGTGACGTCGGGAAAAATCACAAAAATTGTCCTTCACCTTTGCAATCAGGAAGCTCGTCTACCTCTAGAAACTCAATGTCGCCTATGTCTAGGGAATCCTCTCCCCCTATAGACGTAGAGAATGCTAGGAAGGGAGTTGATAGACCGAAATCATTAGCCTTGAGAATCCCAGCAGCAGATCAGCATTCTGTTGCAGATAAGGTAAATTCATATGAGAAAGCACACTAAGGTTAAGTCTACAACTGACCTTAGAGTACAACTAATGAAAGTTTGCATGGCGCAGAAGTAAATTGCATTTGTTTCTTTCCAGGATGAAGTTGGAGATGAGTGGCACATCACGTTTGAACAATTTCTGGCTTCGATACTTACGCAACCAGTGCTTGATGAGTATTTCAATGTGAAGATAGATTTGAAGAACCTCATTGAGAAACACAAGGACAAGCGACTTTTACGTCAGACAAGTCTATCGTCTTCCCCAGAGTAAACTCAGAGTAACTTTTAAAATTATCTTGATACTTACACTTGGTTACATTTAAAAATATTTTCAACTATGTATAATGACCGGCATTCATTATTTTTTATATACTTGGACTCGATTTATTGGACCATTTTTCTTATTGCCACTTTATTCGAGAAAGTATCGTAATTTTATATAATCGGGAAAATTTTCATTTTATTTTGAAGACAAATTTCTATAAGTCAGACATCGTATTTTAACTATAGTTTCTTATGTAACGCATAAATTCATAACTTATACTAGCGCTTATCATCTATTTAGATGTAAAATGAAAAATATAATGAAAAGGTGAACGATGTTTTTTTAAAGTACGCCATGATACTTTATCATTCCGATCTGATTTCGCTAATAAAGGATACACAAAAAAATGTTTAATATAAAACAATATCTTGAAGGCATGATGTGGTCAATAGTGCCATTTCATGTGTGTATACAGTCGGTACAAGTCTACATAGATACATAGATATGTGTAATCGGAATGCAATGTGTACCTGGGTTGGAGTCATAATGGTGGTGCTGATTAATTGAGTCAATATTGACCGTTTCACAACTTGGATGGTCTTACACAGGATTCGTCTACATTCTTTTTTGAAGCAACCGGAGCTCAAACATGTACCATTTACCACATAACAATCATCATTTCCTTAGACATTCCCAGACCACAAGCGTTATGCATAGATTGAACGGAATGCACCTTTCTTCCACCATTAAACGATTTCAGGGACTCACGGAAGGATCACCACACTTGTGAATCCCAACTATGTCCGTGTTTTATTTATGACTCGAGAGTCGAGATTTGATCACCATCGTCCCACCTGCACAAATCTTCACAAGTTCACAAACAACTTTAGAGTGCAAATAAAGCCACCCTCGCTCAATCTTCATCATTGAAGTGTCTAATAAGTACATATGTACAATAGAACCATAATAGCGTTTCAATCCCCTCCGTTTAACCCATGCCACACAAGGCAAAAGGTGAAAATGACTAATCGAAAGACCACCAATATGACCACCAATGACTGCAATATGCCTCTTTCTCTCCTTAATGTGTTATGTCTCTTCAATCTTACTTTGCATCTTGAGACACAAGACGGTAATAATGAGATACGTCGAGATATTAAATATTATGAAGGAGTGTGTGTGTCTCATCTTCTGGGTCATTCATCACTCGTGTTAATCACAAACGGAACAACCAAAGCGACCTTTGGAATTTTTTTGGTAAACAAACCGAAACAAAGTTGTTCACGGACCTTGTGTCTGTTTGATCTTCCACTTGTTAAAAAATACGTTAACTTATTTAGTTGAGGAGGATGAGCCAAGTCAAGACAATAATTCTCCAAATAGGATTTCTGGGATTGGTGGCACTACACATTTGCTATCCTCGCACCACATCACTTTTCATATGCTTTACACCTTCACACATAGTGTCTCAGAGTTTGCTTGGTTTCCTAAATGCTTACCCAATGCCGATTGCATATTATGCTCACATTTTAAATGATGGACAAGAAGAAGAACCCAACATCATCGTCAATATCTTCATAATCATCTTCTTCATCCCGTTGTTGAGGACCACCACGCTGTTTTAATATCATTTAGCATCTCCTAACTGCTCTCCAGTCTGGTTTTGTCTTGGTGCGTCGAGGTAATAGGCGTTCTACAACTACAGTTTAACTCTGATCGGTAGAAGATTTTTTGTCAGAGAGCGGATTGCCAAGAAAACGGTGGATCGTTTTTAAGGCAACGTTAAGGACCTGGTACATTCAACGGGTGAGTGGGTGGGCCAGAATCAGGCAAGATGTTGGCATAGCTGCTTCCTTGATAAGATCCTCCTTATGATAAGTGCAGCTGTGCTATCATCAGGCCATGGTTCTTTTCCCGACTTGTCATCATGAACGTTGACCCCCCAACCAAACCCTCACGTCATCTACAGTCGGTATCACATTCGACCCTCAGACTTAATGGCCGTAACGCAAGCAAGGTATTATTACTCTTACTTGGATGTGTAACTTTAAATAATCAAAAATAATTTCTTAACTGTGAGTATTTACAATTGACCCATCTACGTGATTACTTCAGAAACCCAAAATATTGTCTGACCTTTTTTAGATGTATTGTGGATGCCATGCCGCACTTATGTATGTGCATCCATCTAGCACTATTAAATAAGTCTCCTACCTTGTTTTTGAGCAGATTCATAATCAGTTATCAATAATACATTTATTTATCACCAATTTTACTCTAGATTTTTTACATCATTCTATATTGCGTGCTAATTGATGACATTTCTTCTGATAAATACACGTGTGCAAATGAGATATGATTATACGTAGGAAACTGAAGGAGACAATCGTTTAAAAAATAATAATTGCACTATTAAGTAAAATTATGAAACAAGTGGAATTTTAAATATTCAATAGTATTTCAGATGACGAGTATGTATATGACAGGAAATACATATTTATTTACTTACACAGGTAAAATATTTGGATCAATCAACAAAACTTCCTGCAAAAATATTGTTAAACCACATTTTGTAAAGATTTTTCGTGATTGCATGTTGAATGAGTGCTCTTAATAATTTATAAAAAACCTTAAAATTGTTGATCAATATTCGTTCAATAGAAACTTATCTTAGGAAAGAACTATAATCCTTAATATCTTTAGGCGTGACGAATGACGAATGATCTACTTGTTACACAACCGGTAACCGGAAGGATCATGATCAAATATTTGATATTATGAGATGATCATATTTTTTACGCGTGTTAAAAAACCGGTAATCAACAAATCAGATTGGTTCATCTTCTATTCAAAGAATATTTTTGGGATCCATTGATGAGGGCATATGCATGTATTTACTTATTTAGTTATTCCACTTCACAATTTATGCAATAAAGATAAAAGTATACAAAACAGTTAATGATTTGTTATTTAATTTATATTACCATCAATAAACAAATCTTATAACCCGTTTGAATAAATTTTTGTCAAGTAATAGTTGTTTTATTATAGCAAACTATAAATTTTTTGTGATTTCTTAAGGAATCATCGATATTAAATTAATTATTGTAAGGCTATTCAACGTAAATATATGTATATGTCATATGTATGTACATATTATTTACGTGCAAATTTTTGCCCATGTTTTTGTAAAATCTAGCAATAAGTTAGATATTTGTAATTTAACACCTTCTCGTTTAACTTTTAATTAACTGATTTTGTTTGAGCAATCTTTGTCAAGAGGTTTCATATTGGAAAATAATTTTGGTCGTCAATCTCAACTATCTGAATATGGTCGACATCATGCAAGTTGTCATCAACTAATCAATCATGAATTTCTCCGTGTCATGACAGGAATAAAATCGAAGAAGCTGCACAGGCACAAGAAGAATACACGTTTATGGACATAGAGTATATCCAACTAATTGTAATGTGCTACTAATTGATGTTATGTATGAATCAATTATATTTTATTTCAACGATTTATTGTTTTGCAATACCATTTAACTGTATAGGTATTTCTATATGCGGTGATTCATACATATGTACGACTCGCAACAAAGTCACTCAGGCTCATCTTGTTTTAATCGTTAAAAAAGAATAGTCATCAAAATATTTTATTTAAAGTGCTATAATTCTAGAAGATAGAGACGACGAAACACTATTTTCGATCCACTAATTAATTTAAGAATATGCCATCAGTGCGTTGAGAATGAGTTTCTTCATAACCGGTTCATCTTCATTGATGCTCTATTTTATAATTTTCTTGATTACCAGCAAATGTGATTGTCGTAACGGGTGACACTTGAACTTGTTAATTTGTGTCATAATTTGTCTTTGAGTTCTTTTGAAAGGCATTTATTTATATTGTACCCTTGGATAATGAACACTGACGGTACTTTAAATGTCAGGCCTTCTAATTATTCATTTTTGACACGTATGTAGCACATGAAATCATAAACTAGTCAATTTTAGTCTTTTTGCTGGGCTTTTAGTCTAGAGATGATTTGTTTTTATTTATTGAGCATACGGCGAATCCTTCACAAAAGTTTTGAAATGGGTAGAAATTAGGAAATCAATAAAAGTGTTTGGCAAATGTTACATTTTTTACCATTTCATTTAAGGAAATTGGGGCATTTTTTGCGACCAATCAACGGTATCTACGTACCTGCACCCATAAGATAACATAAGATAACGCTGATAAATAGCAAAGTGGCATTGCTCCCATATCATATTTTCAACTTGAAGTATCTTCTCATACACATTTTTTGATGGATCAGTCAGTATAAAGTATGAATTTATAATTAATTAAAATAATTGAATTATGCTCCTTATTCAAAACGTGTGGCAGGTTATGAAAAGTGGGAGACATTTTTACGGAAGAAGTCGATTAACACCATACCCACCCTATGAAGTAATTGCAATTCCCATTACTGACGATGACGTCACCGCCTTTACAAATTATTAGTTCACAATTGGAATATGTGTGCGTACATATGTAGGGTGGAAACGTCTTTAATTGAATCGTGAGAATTATTAGTGTGCCAAAAAATCCAAGATCCTCTTGAGCAATTCGATAGGTGAACACATCTGAACAAAGGCAATGGCACAACGTAATGCTTAAATTGAATTTAATTTCATGGAGTCCATCCAAATGACGATATACTGATTATTACTGATATCAGTATTTACAAGTACATAATCTTCGACAAGGAATGACATAATGAGTTTGTTTGAGTAATTGACCAACAGAAATATAATCAGGTGCATCGTTATTATCATACTTACGTACTTACTTGCATACATGTGCAATTTTGTGAACTTTATTCTTAATTTCGTGAGAGTCAAATATGAGGATGACTTAACCGTTTGTCACGACACGACACTTGCACAGTTTCCTTCATTCATACTTCTAGTAAGATTAGACGACTAGGAAAAAGACTATCTGCTGAAGTCTGAGTATCTGAGTCTTTTGAGACACGGTATTCACCATCATCGTCTCGTAATTACAATAATAATAACGAATGCACTTTTCAAGATAGCAATAAAAGGTAACTTTTTATGAGGTTCCACCCCATCCTCATTGTTTAGGTTTTGGCTTCTGCTTCTTCATTGGGACAATGCGAGCGATATGTAATTCATAATAAACGACTACCTACATGATTCATATATCACTTTTAACTGTGATGTTGTAATAGACACGAATTGTTTTGGTTGTTGTTAGCTTGCATGCATGCATCGACACTTCACTTACCGGCCAATGGTGAAGAAAACACAACAACAATTACTTGATAACACATCTCTTCATCTTGGAAGTCCTACAATTAAATAGATGATGCGCTTAGCTTACAGCGTTTGCAATAGTAAGCTAACAATTGGTCAATATGTATAATGATGGCGTATCGTATCTTTTATACGTTGGACACTTGTAGCACAAGTAGTCAAAAATGCAAGAAGTCTCACTGTTTGGATATGCAACCTCATTCCTCATGCTCCTCATCCCTTAGAATTAAAGTTTTTCATTCAAAATTATGGGGTGAGTATAAAATGCAAAAGTTGAGTGTTGCAACGGTTTAGTTGCATGCAGACTGAGTCGACATGTTGATATTGTTCCGCTGGTGGTGTGTCGTGCTCGTCTCCCTAATTTGGGGGGCGACCTTGACATTAACTCTGGATCAAGTGATTAGTAATACCAGTACCGGTGACAGTAGTGAGTTTGGTAAAATTGAACAAAGTGTGAGTGGTAATAGTGGTGCGTCAATAGTTCGAGTTCGGAAGGCGACGGACATAATGGTCAAAGTTAAATTAAACAATGGACGTTACCTATACAGGTTCGAAATTGGATCCATTTTTTAGGGGTTTCTGCACGCTCATGAAAATTTGAGTGGGCTATGAAAATATTTCTGTAGAAAGACGTCTTCATCGGTCGTACCAACTGTTGCACCGCCAGGAAAAACCCGTGTAGCGAGAGGATATGGAACTAAAAAGAGGAGGAAGGGGTACAGTTACAGGAAACCAAGTGGGGGTTATGTCTACACAACCCCGTCGACGACGACGACAACCACGACACGGCTTCCACCACTGTCTGTGGTGAGTGAAGTGGAGAACGATTCTTCATTTGTGACACCAGATCCAGATCCCGAAGGAGGTGTGCATTATTTTGTATAATTATTAAACATTATTTCGTTATATACGTAGTAATTTACAATTACAGTTAGACCGGACCGAGACTTTGTTACCGAGCCACCGGAACCTCCAACGCGTCCTCCTTTTGTAAGAACAACTTATTCTAAGAGTTTTGACATATAGAATTTCGTCTAACGATAATGTTCACAATCTTTCAGGATCGCAATGACATTCGGGTATTTGTTCAGAGCTCAAAAGCTAAATATTTGCATTTCGTGTGAATTTCAAGTTTGCATATTCAGGATAACATCCCAGGAGAACCTGGATTAGACTACAAAGTGTACAGCAGCATTCCAGACACAAACTTTTCATGTGAAGGGAAGACTCCAGGATTTTATGCAGATCCCGAGACTGGTACCATGCTTAAATAGATGTTACCTTTCGTCGGATGGGGCACGTAGTTTACTAATCAGCGGATTGGTTTTGTAAATCATAGGCTGTCAAGTGTTCCATCGCTGCACAGATGACCCTTGGTACACAGGGCAGGTCAGAGTGACCATGGACTCATTTCTTTGTCCGAATGGGACATTGTTTAATCAGCAGGTAAGGTGACCTGTAGTCTGAAAAGATGCTCTTTACTAAATCATTGTCTAGTGTAGATATTTGTGTGCGACAATTGGGCAAATGTCGAATGTGAGACTACCAAAGAATTTTATCAATTGAACGAGCAACTTGGGCAACTGGAAGAAACCAATGTGAGTGCGTTATTTTATTATTATAACATATTTTATGTCATCAACTGTCATCAACTGGCATTAATCCGAAATTTAAAAATTACTTATGATGAAGCTGGGAACTATTCAGTATGTTCGCTTTGGGGGTGTCCGCGTGCCACCACCACCAGGATATAAAAGGAATTCTCCCAGAATTGTGCCAAAATCTCAACGGAAACCTTTGCCTGATCAATACAGGACGAAGCAAACGTACGATGAGTACGGGGACCTAATTCAAGAAAAGGGCAAAAGTGCGGGTAATGGTCAGGGCCTAAGTACTAGCAACAATAATAATGAAGATCCGGAGAACCTCGCCAATAAATTTTTAGAAGTTGATGGCAGAGGTTTCTCGGAATTCAGTGCAGGTCGGACACGTCCACACGCACAAAAGGAAAAAGATCAGGACGATGGCGATAAGGACGGAAGCAGTCAGAATATTGAGGAAGTGTCGGCGAAACCTCCAAAAAGTAACAGGAAATCTACGAGAAAAAATCAAAGGAAATCGAAAACCAGTACAACGACAACCACAAGCACCACTACCACCACTCCGCCCCCAGAAGAAGAAGAAGCTGACGATGAGAGCAATGAAACAGAGGAAAACGATGGCGACGAAGAAGAAGACGAAGAAACAGAAGAAGAACAAGAAGAGCAACCTGCAGCTACCAATAGCAAGGACAATCCTGCTAGCTTCATAGTGAATAGACCTCATGGACAAACGGATGCGGTACTCACAAAGCTTACAGTGATCCACATACTAATTTTAACTATTTCTGTAATCTTTTTAGGCCACGCCCCAAGGAAATCTCCCAAAGGAAGTTCTAGAGCCACCATCCTTTACCGGAGACCCCGTCGACAGTGAAACACAACGAAGTGCAGAAAATGGGAAAAATGAGAATCCACCTTTACGACCTTCGCCCGAGGATCCCACGTACATTCCTCCAATGACAGTGACGCCCAAGTCGGAGGGATATTCCTATTCGAAACCTACGCAAGGAGACACGTATCTGCCTCCAAAGAACGAGTATGGACTGCCTCCTCCTACTCCCTCGTACTTACCACCCACGACCCCACAAACGGTGAGAGATTTGTTTACTTTTATTCATTATTATAATTGATCTTGATTAAATGATACGAAATATGGAATGTAGAGTGGCTACCCCAATACTCCACCCAGCAATCCATACGGACCTCCTCAAAATAACAATGCATACGGGTCATTTCAGCAACAGCAAAATTACCAACCACCCCAAAGTAGCAACAATGCAGGATATTTGCCCCCGTCAGGCCAGAACAATAATGCTTACCTCCCACCCCAACCTCCACAACAACAACAGAATCAGGCATATGGACCACATCGGCAAAACAATAACGCGTATTTGCCCCCTCAACAGCAAAATAATGCATACATTCCTCCCAACAACACGTACTTGCCCCCACAACAAGGACAAGGCTATAACAACAACGCTTACATTCCACCACCAGCTCAGCAACCATCTCCTCCTCCGAATGGTTATCTTCCTCCCCAGCACAGTACTCCATCCCCATACGGACAGCCACCCACAAATCAACCTCAATATCTGCCTCCCGCACCAGAACAACAATCCCAGTACTTGCCCCCATCTTCGCAACTAACTCAACAACAGCTCCAAAATAGGCCCATCATTGTTTTACTACTTTCCCCAAAACAGGATCACGCCAAGGAAAGATACCTCCCCCCTCCATCAGCTCAGTACAACAGTAACGGGCCACCCAATTTGAACACTAATCATAACAATGATTATCAAGCCTACGGCGCCGGTGAAACTTTCATATTAAGAAATCTTCAGAACATGGCAGCCCCTCGCCCTACGGCGCAGTACAATAGAAGTCCAAGTGGGAAACCTCCATCGTCGACAACTTTTGAGTTTGTTAACGTTCCTCTAGTTTCAAGTAGTCATTCTTCGTCAATTCAGCAATCCAAAATTATAAGTAGATAGTGTTTCTAATCATAAATAGATTAAAGATTTATTAAAGTGTTCCATGAATGCTAGAAGATATTTTTGTTACGTTTTTTAATGCTGATAATACTATTGTCCTCCAAGACATAAAATGCACAAATGAAATAAAAGAAGAAATTGAACTATTATTGCTTTTATTATTCAACTTCTAAATGTCGAATAATTACAAAATCTTATCAAAGAAAGTCAACGATATCAACACTTATTAAACTAACAAGATTGCCCTTTTTATAGCTTTCTCCTTCTTCTTACGCTTTCTTTTTCGCTCTCCAGCCAGCTCACGGAACATTTGTTCTTGTTCTTTTTCACACTCATCATCGTACAAAAATTCCAGTGCAGCCTTGTTCACAAGAACCATTTTTTCTAACTCCCTCAGTCTCGAGGATGTCAACGCAGTAATAGAGCCAAGTACCCTTGAATCCATTGAGCGGACCGTTATCAGATGAAATTTAGTTAAGGCTGACAAACAACGGACTACTAATTCTACAGAGAGAGGATAGTTTTGTAAAATGGAGTAGAGCGCAGGGATCAAATCTTCGACGTAACCCATGGGCAACATCATCAAACTGTGTTGCAGTTCGGCCGCTTTGATTTGGGACAAGTTTTTGTACAAAAATTCTTGACCATCTTTGGAATGGTAAGCAGCGAGGAGTGGGTTACTGGCAGCATTTGGATCCTTGTACACATCTATGGCTTCAATTACTTTGTCTGCCTGTATGCAGATATCAAGAGATTAGTCATTGATTAGCGACGCAAATTATACATTATGTGAATATGGACTAACCCATTTTTCTCCTTCCACAGTAGCAAGAGTGACTAAATCTGTATCTTCAGCTTTAGTTTCATTTTCAAGCTCTTGCTCCCTTTCTTGTTCTCGTTCATCATCTAACACAAGGATCTACAAAGCATTCATACAAAACCAAGAGATTTAAGACACCTTTACATGGATAAATGTCTTAAAACTTTGTAATACATGCATATTTCTATACCTCTTGGGTTCTGTTAAATAATCTAATGGTTTGATCCCGACCAGCAGATGCAATGTAGAAGCTTTTGGATCCCATACATGTTGAGCTACCGCCAATGTGAGCCTGAATAATAAATGATTTAACATTAGCATAAACGTGTCGTTGTTCTAAATAACTATTATAAAAAAGGACCAGAGTTTTTATTACCTTGATGGTCTGAACACGTGTGTGGCTATCAGCATCATAGATATTTAAACTGTCTTTTGCAACAGAGCACACAAGATGAGTTTTGTCCAAGAAAGAACAACCAACAAGCCCATCCGTGTGAATCATGGAGCAATGACAATCCCCAAAGTCTAGACCCCAAACTTTTACAGTTTTGTCTCCAGAACAGGAAACAAGTAGATTATTGTCGTAAGAAATATCCAATGACACAATTGGCAGTGAATGACCGTACATTGACAAGTGAAATTTTAGGGTGTCCAAGTAGAAAATCTGAAACAGAGGATGTACTGGTCAGTCAGCGGTTGCATATTAAATTTGAAATTTCAAAATAAATGCATCCAAATTTAATATTTATTTAATAGCGCATACCTTTATAGTAGAGTCCAGCAACCCAACCGCTAAAAATTTCATGTTGTTGCTGACTTTCAGACACAGAATATTATCTTGGACGTCCAATTGTCTTGTTAAGTCAAATCTTAACTTTCCTTCAGCCATGGAGAAATCAAATATTTGTGCCAAGGTTCCATTGCAAGCAGCAAAGCCCATGTTGGTATTAAAAATGTCAATGGCCCACACACTAAAAATGACACATTAAATAAGAAATCGCAATAGCATGAGGTGATTTACAAGTTTAAATTAATGTTACTTTTCACTTCCACACGATTCCACCTGAGTAATTGTCCCCGTGGATATGTCTGCCAGAATTATATGTCCGTCAGTAGACCCGGCGATAAAGTGTCTGTCCCCAGGGCAAAATTTGCAGCATACAACAGGATATTCATGAGGGATATTTAGTATGCAATTTAGTGATGCCCTGAAATAAAACAAAAGAAATAATTCAATAATTAATCAACCAATTTCTCCCATCCTTACTAATGCAAAAATATTTAATATTACCTATTCCAAACTTTGAAGGAGTCACCTGACGCTGAAAGTATGGCTGTCTTATCACTGGAAAAGACTAATCCTCGAACAAGCTTCTTATGTCCATCAAATTGCATTAGAGAAGATACGAACTTCTGGGAATCCAATTTCTGTCCATGTTGCTCCAATTCGGGAAAGGATATACATTCCAACTGATTTGATGGCAAGCAGCACAAGACCTATGAAATCAAATTTGTTTCAGGTGACATAACTTGCCCAACAAATCGAAATACTGAGATAATTGTATTATAAAATTACTTTAATCATTCCCTTTTCATAAACTGCAGTAATTGACTTGATCTTTTCCTCGGAGGCTTTGAACGTTTCTCCACGTCTCACAATATCCTTCAGAATTAATGTCTGCTCGTCTGCCGGATTCTTCTTTAATCGTTTGGCTCTTCTTTTTGCAGCCTGTTCATCAGAACTGAATCGAAAGACTTCTATAACAGGTGACTTGACACCAACGACCATCATCACTCCTGTTCCGTCAATAAGCTGGGTTCTGGCAGGGCGATCATGGGAATGACGTAGTAAAATTCCCATTTCATCTGTTTGCCACGCGTCGTATGATTCTTCTGCGTTGTACGTTACTCGAAACAACTTTATATTGGCTTCAGCGATGATGAAGACATCATTATGTATTTCAAAGTCTCGAATTTGAATTGTGCAAGGTATGGTGTGCACGTTCAGCTTTGTTGCAATGCTCCAAATTCTGATAGTTGTGTCAAAAGAACTAGTCACAAGAAACTGTTCATCTTTGCAATTCCAATACCGAATTCTTGTGATTATTCCCTTGTGCTCGGTGAACTTGAGCAAGCCGGTTTCACTGACGACATCCCAAACGATAACCCTGCTGTCCTTACTTCCAGATGCGACCTGACCCTCGCTTGGATCCCACGACAAGCAAGTTATTTCGCCTATTGAATATATCAAAAATAATAATTTAATGCCTGCCCATTTAATAATAAATAGTATGAATTTATTTACTTGTGTGTCCTTCAAACGTGACATCAGGTTCAGGTGAGGCATCCTCACTGAGATCGGACATATCGTAAATGCTAACACCTCCATTAAAATGACCCACAGCGAGTTTTTTGCCACTTGGACTTGGTTCAACAACAACTGCAGGAGATTCGCACTTCAGAGTCCTCAACTGTTAAACAATCAATGACATTTTGGCAATTAACACATTTATTTTACACGATCGTCTTACATATATGATATAAGAATGAGTATGTGTTCGCCTATCTCTGCTATAAAACTTACCCGTCTTTGGAATTTTATATCCCAGACATTAACAATATTAGCCCCTCCAGTAACGACAAATCTATAGGGTCGTTTCTGAATGAATGCTGCATTACACGTTTTTGACGCCACAACTCCAAAAATCCCTTCCTGGGAGTACCGAAGGTATTGTTTTGTAAGCCCCATTTTGTTGTTTTATGCACAGCACGAAATAGATTGTTCACTACTGTTGTTTGACTTTTTTTTAAAGAAACGCAACTAATAGGTCTCACTAACTGATTACTACATTAACTACAGTTTTACGATACATCAATAATATTAATTTGAGTCGAGCTGATCACTTTCCCTGTTGATACTGTGCCGCGAGAGCTTCGTTCGAGGCGAGTTGTGCTTCTTGGAAACGTTGTGACACGCGTTGATTGGCTTTGAGGAATTTTTCCACACAATGCGACGTGCAACGGTCTTCTTGATCTTTCACGGTTCTAAAAGATTTAAACATTTTAATTATTAACCTGTTGTTGAATTTAATAGTTATTTGTGTAGTTTGAATCGGCTTTATTGAAAAAATTATTATGGTTATTATTCACTGTTAAATTATTAACTTACCGGGCCGTAAAATCCCAAACACAGGCTCGGAAACAAAGTTCTGAAACGCGATTAAAATTGGTGAGGAATTCTCGAAATGTGGCCACTTGGCTCGTGTCCAGCGACTCCAGGTCAACACCCTGCGACATACTTTCCGCACAAATTAACAACACACCACCACCAGCATCCAGTTAATTCTAATACAATAGAATTTCGATTGCAAATTGATATTTTCGAATTATTTTTCCAACACCCAATATTTGAACGGATTATTTCCTCACCACCAAAGCGGCACGTGTACGGCGTGAGAAGTGCAACCGAATTCACTCTGCGCCGCTCACTCACTCAATGTCCAGCCCCACTTTGTCGTCTCACCTGAAAATCATAGCGTTCATTCCTTTGTTTCATACACTAAATCAACGAGTTGTATTTACACAATAAGAATATTACACGCAAATGGAATTGTTTCATAAATTTCCTAATTGGAGATTGGAATATGTCACCCTAGATATTTGCACAGGGTGCGAAAATGGTTTCGGGTTTGCCAATAATGTCCACTATTTCTTATGCATGATCTTTCTAAACCGGTATGACAATGCCTTCCGGCTATTTTAGAGATCATCTTCATCTGTTTAGAGATTGTTGTTTTCTTCATAGCAGGGGGATCAAGCAGTAGTGTGACCATTCAATAATAATAGACAGCCATCTAAAATAAATTTCTACGACCAATTTTGGCACTAATTGTAATGTTTGCCTGGATTTGTGTGCTACTAGTTCTCTTTTTCTACGTTACTTTTGATGTCCACTACTTCGTCCGAGTTGCAGTGACATGTGTCTTTGCCAAGTTCTTCAGAAAGAAAATCACCATCACGGATGCTTCGGAAATCTATGGTATAAGTCAACAGTTTTCTATTCATCTTAATTAACATGCTCCTCCCTAATCGGTCATTTCTATTGTTCAATTCAGGAGTAGTACTTCCATCAGACACTGATTTTCTGCTGAGTTTTATGACAAACTCTAGATATCTGCGGGAATACGACTTTGCGCGCTTTGAGCATGCGACGAGGTCAGGACTGATGGAGTTTGTCATGAAAAGGGGAGGAAGTTTCCCTGTGAGTGCAATTCACATGCGTTATCGACAACCAGCCATGATATTTTCCGCCTACAAGGTAAACCCTCGGAAACTTAGAGCTATGGAAGAAACTAGGCATTTTTGAAGATAATTAATAATTTAATCGTGTATTTCCAATATGTGCATATGTAGGTAGTCACTCAGCCCGTTTATTGGGACTCCAAGTTCATTTATTTGGATCAAAGGTTGATCACTTTGAAGGATAACGTTGTTAGAGCTGCAGGATACGCCAAGATTGCTTGCGTTAAATTCGACGGAGATGAAACCATGAAAAAATTGTTTCCGAAATCTATTAAACCTGAAATCCCTGCCGATCTTAAAATTTGGAACGATGCATGCAGTTTGTCCGCAGAGCTTATGAAAAAAAGCAAGTAACATATTTCAGAATACGTACATATATTATGTGAGATTTTTGTGGAAATGTTAGATAAATTATATAGAGTTGTATAATAAATGATTATTGATAAAGTGTCCACACTAAAATGAGTACATACTCACGCGTATTTATAAAATATGCATATGTATATGAGTGAATTATTTTGAATGATTTAAGAAAACTTGCCAGAAATGTGTAACTACATGCATGTTTGTTTCACTACTTTTATGCTAAAAGAATAAAAAATTGAAGACAATGCGAAAATACTCACATGAGATACATGAGTGCAATTACGTGCATACCATGCAGTCACACGCAGGCATAATATTACATATTATGTTTGATGAGTGCAGTGTTTCTTTACCACAATCCTCCCCAAAAAATGATAAAGTTAATCAGCATATCTTATTGTTAACAGGATGTCATATTACAACGTACTAGATACCTGGATTAAACCTCATATATCCAGGTGTTGTACATATAAAGCCAGGTGGCCGAAAAGCATAATGATCTACTCTTTTCTCTACCCATTGTCTTATGTTGCACACATATATCATATCTCTTTGGATGGTAAAAACTTGTGAAAAATTGCCCGCAATTTTTATTTGCATACGAAAACATCCTGATTATTTTAGTGATACACACCAATTTGTTACCATTTTAATTAAAATGGATTTTAATATATTTCTGTTGTTTCTGGCTCTAACTATTCTATTCCTCTCGTATTTCTTACTAGACGTTAATTACTTTATAAGAGCAGTATTCACAATTTTTATGTCTAAATTTTTTAGAAAACCAATAAAATTTTACGGAAAGTCTGCAATTTACGGTGAGACACCACTACGACTCGTTTGTTTATCTCGAAGCGTATGTACATACATATGTAATTCTGTTGGTGTTAAGTAAATGTCTCAAATTATATACAGGAATTGTACTTCCAATGGATGCAGATTTGCTCTTCACTCACATGAATAATGCCAGGTAATAATTTTTTCTTATACAATATCTTATTTTCTTGTCCGACTTGGATGATGCTGGCTATGGAAAAAATGTTCATAAGACTTGTAATTTTATGAACTTTGAACTTCCGGCCATCGCTCAAGTAAGTCGGGGAAGAAAACAAGTTAAAACTAATTTTCGAAATAGGGTATTTCGAGAACTCGACTTTGGACGTTGGGATCATTTGCAAAGGAGCGGTCTTTTAGGAATCCTTTACCGGACAAAGGGATGGGGTGTGGTCAGTGCTCAAACTTGTCGCTACAGGAGAGCACTGCACATGTTTATGATGTACAAAGTGCGTATGCAGATACATTATTGGCTCTCTATAAGTTTGCATATAAAACTCGTCAAGTTTATGTTGTTTTATATTTTTTTCAGATAGAGACGCGACCCGTGTATTACGATTCAAATAACATTTACTTTGAACAGAAAGTGATTTCCATAAGAGATGAGATTGTTCGGTGCTTGGCCCACGTCAAACTCGCTGTGAATTTGGATCTGGACAAAGTGATAGCCAAACATTTTCCAGACACAGTGAAAGTTCCAGCCCCGAAAGATCTCGAATTGTACATAGATTACAATCGAGTCAATAGTGAAAGATTGCGAGTAACTAAAAAGCGTTCAAAATCATTAACCTTGCAAGAAATCGAAAATGACGATGTTAATAAGCAAGGAGAACAACTTTTAGATACATAAATATTTAGTATCTATATACATGAACTGAGTCACTTAAAATGTAATACTATTTAATATGCAGCTGTTTACAGATTTCTCTTAATAAATATATTTTGTTATATTACATAAGTATTCGATTTAGTCTGCCTGCACACCTTGTACGATACAGGTTGTCCTAATATATTGCACCCGTGATTTGGCTTTTGGAACGTGCAAAACCCGGGCACCGGCTGGGGTTTTGGTCGAACCCGAGTTTGTCATACACTTTTATAGTAGAGCTGCTTTTTCTATTATAAATGCCATTCTAGTAATTCATCTCTTATAATCTTTGAAATTGAGGGAATTGTAAGATAACGAGGACTTAAGGTAAATTAAGTTTATCGTCGCTGACTTATTAGTTTGTCATCATCACGAATTACCCCCGGTTTAGACTTCACGTTAGCATCACGTCCTCCTCTAAATCCGATTTTTTGATTGGTCGAAATTTTTAATTGTCTTAGTGATATTTTTGATTAGCCAATCAAAAAATCGGATTGGGAGGAGAACGTGATGCTAACGTGAAGTCTAAACCCGGCGTTACAGTGATCTCGAGGAAAGCGTTGTTGTGAACTAGTTGTTGGTTGAGGAAATTGAGGCTGACATTGAATTGCCATGTATACATAATAATATGTAGCCTTGATCCTCGCCCCGTTCTTCGATCCGTCAGAGAGAAAACCGGGCAACTATATGCACACATATCCGCAGTGGCCGGCGGTGAATTGACTAGTTGACTTTCTCCTCATTTCTCTTCATTTCCACAAACTATCATTTCTTTACTATAACGGACACAAAATGGCCATTTGTTAATTTGGTATATTTTCAAAATCACGTTATGCGTAGGATAAGAAGTGTTGCATTTGACTAACATTTCCTTCGTGTACAACCTCCACCCTCATCCATCATTTAGGACAATTTCATATAAAACTCTACCTTGAGTGAAAAATGGGTCCGTGTCTGTTTGGAATTGTGTTGGGAGCGTATGTGATGACGGACGTGCATTACTATGTCAGGACTCTCTTGACCTACTTTTATGCCAAGTTTTTCCGCAATCGGATCAGCATAACCGACCCAAGTGAAGTTTACGGTTAGTTCACATCGGATTTAAGTTTTGGACTAAATAAGTACTGCATACAAAATAGTATTTTACTGTAAAATATTTATAATTCTGGTTTTAGGATTTGTGCTGCCAACTGATGCTGACTTTATGTAATTTATCTCTAGCATATGTACATATACACTTTTCAACATAATTTTCTGATTAATTAAATTGCCCCCCACAGGCTGACACACATGAACAATGCACGCTTCTTGCGAGAATGTGACTTTGCAAGGTTTGACCATGGAACTCGTTGTGGGATGATCGAAATGATGTTCAAGAAGCGTGGAGCAGTTGCGGCGCATACAATTCGATACCGACTGCCTCTCATGATGTTCTCGTACTACAAGGTCACTAATTAATTCATGGTTGAATTCCATTTCGTATGAATATATGAACGGTTCGCTACAATTACAAATATATTGTAGATTGTCACTCAACCTGTCTGGTGGGACGAGAAATTCGTATATGTGGAACAGAAAATCATTACGATTGCAGATGATATCGTTCGGAGTGTCGGATATTCAAAAATTGCAACAAACTTCAACGTCGAGCAGTTTGTGCTGGAGAAATTTCCTGATATATCCCGACCTGAAATGCCTGAAGATATGCAAAAGTGGCTCGAATGCAACGAGTTGTCAAGTAAAAAGATGAAAAACTACCTTTCCAATGGAGAAGGCACCAATGGAGTAAAAAATGGAAAACAAAGTTAAGTGTTGAGTAAATTAGTATCAGTTTTGATCATGATCTACTCTAAATAAATTGTGATGGCTGTGAGCGTTGGTGTTGATCATCGTGTGATTAGTCTCGAGCCCCTTTAAAAATGCTAGTCAATCGGTTCTGTCTCAAATTTTATCAAACAGTATTTTATTTTCTCACGTTGTCAGTATTTCTTGAAATGTTGTTTTAACTTTTTGCTGTATTAATTTTTACAATAATGCAAATTAACAATATTTGCACTTATTACTTAAGTAAGCATACATAGTAAATGTGAATCCTCGAAAATACTTATTTCCTGATCTCATGTATTTATATTTGTGTTAACCCTTCTGCCATATTTATCAACGTAAAATCGGTTAAGACTTATTGACCTGCCACATTCTGTCCTGTATGTTATTAATCCTCGTTTTTTAACAGACTAAATAAAGGGTATATAACTTTGCATTTTGTTTTTGTGGACTGAATTAGCCAATCAACTTGTACGATTTACACATTGGACAACAATATAACGTGCTACTAATCCTAAATACTAAATCAGACTGTGCATGTACGTAAATATCATCACTTTATAACCTACCCCTTCTAAATCAACTGTCTTATTTGTTACAAAACTTTCCATTCTAGAGTTCATTGTCTGTCAATCGAATGGTATTCGAATTGTAAATCTTGGTGTGAAAACACATTCCATTATTTGCTAAATAAATTCACCTCCCACAAAATACATATTTCATAAAATATCTCATATTCGTTTTAATTCAATTTACTTACTTTGCATCTAAGAATAATCTGTGCAAATTCTTACCGGTTCACACGTAATTAGAACTATTTTTACTGACCAAGTTAAGTAAAAGTATGATTGATAACTGGAAATTGGCTGTCGGGGCGTCTGCTGCTGTGGCATCTGGCGTATTGGCCGGTGCTTTGATAGCATCCAGCTTGTCCGACCGGAAGTCTAAAGTATCACCCATTAAGAAATGGGTATGTGTTGGAAGGGTTAGCAAATTGATTCTTTATCCTGTAAAAAGCTGTCAAGGGATTCATGTAGACGAGGCTACAGCAACAATGATCGGACTCAATGGTATTACTATTAATAAATTGTATTCCAAATTAAAGGAGTGTACTAATTACTTGGATGCGTATTGATTTTAGCAAGGGACAACCTGAGAGATCGTGTTTTTATGGTTGTGAACGAAAAATATGTGTTTCAAACCCAACGGACAATTCCAAAAATGGCATTGATAGAGACAAATGTGAATGGAAATCAATTGATTCTGAGTGCTCCCAACATGGATGAAATTTCAGTTGACATTCCTTCAAACAGCAAGGCCACAACTAAATCTTGCAGGTAATAAGTTCGAAATAATTTAACATGATGTTGAATATAAATAAAGTTTGTAAAATCACCAATTTCAGGATTTTTGATGACTTCGTTGCTGAAACCTTAGACTGTGGCGACGACGTCGGAAAGTGGCTAGATGACTTTTTAGGGAAAACAGGGCTGCGAGTCGTGTACCATTCTCTTGAAAAAACGCAGCGACCAATGACACCACTCCAAAAAAAGTTCCCCACTTTTGTTCCTTCAGATAAGGTATATAAATACTCTGATACATATTGCATTTCAATTTAAAATATATTTCCCCAATAAAATTAGCATGTTTATTAATCATGAATTCTAATTTATGTACCCGCAGCCAGCATTTCATGACCAGACCTCGTACATGCTCATGTCTGAGCGCAGTATCGACGAACTCAATACAAAACTGGAGACTACACAAGTGTCACACAAAAATTTTCGCCCGTCGATTTTAATAAAAGATGCTCTGGAACCTTATGCAGGTAGGATTCAACGCATCTAAAGTTGCATATTTGGTATAAATATCTGAAGGAAAAAGTTTGGGTTAGTATTGATCTGATCCATTCTTGAGTCGGGTATTCAAATTGCCATGAATTTGTGGTACACACAGGTTTTTTAATGCGTTTGAAATATAAAATCTGCATACCCTTGCCTACGTTAATCTACATTTCATTTAATTCTAGAGGACTTTTGGTCGTATTTAAAAATTGGGGAGGCGGGGCCCATTTTCAAAGCTGCTAAACCTTGCACCAGGTTTTTATTAAACTTAAATTTAGCATGTGTATTATACTTATTATCGCGTAATAAATCGCATTACTTATCTAGATGCAAGCTGACCACAGTTAATCCAGCGACGGGCGAATTTATTCCCTCAGGCGGTAAGTACATACATACTTATGTACATATTTGTACATAGCTGACAAGTTTTATAACTGTATTTGTAACAATTCGTGTTTTAATTTAATTTCCAGAACCACTATCAAAATTAACCACGTACGTTTACCGAGAAAATGAGCTTCTGAACCTGATTTACAAGTGTAAAATGTATATTTTGCATTTTTTGCAGAATAACCAAGTCAAGGACTATGGGTGACGCAAAGGTGGACGCATTGGTTAAAAATCAAGCCATCATTGGACTCCAACTTGGGCTTTTTGAGGGGGAGGGACGACCACTCAAAGTTGGCGACCCCGTTTACGCTGCAGTCCTGTAAAATGCATTTCAATATTGTGTACATATTTATCCATTTTATTTTATTCTTAGTGGTGCCGGGTTTAAGTAAATTGTTTGTACTGAAAAATTCAATAAAGTAGCCACTGGTTGATTTTAATAAGTAATTTAGTCTGAATTTTGTTAAGCCATAAATGATAAATGCAATGCTACAAGTCCAACAACGTCGTGACTTTGTCCCATTACGGGTATCAGTTTGTCACTTGCTGACGCACATTAACCTTAACCCTTGCTTAACTTAGCAAGGTTAAGGAATGTCTATTTGCTTAACGCTTATATTGGTATGTGTATCGAGTGAGTTTACTCTTTGAAGGCTTCGGGTCTAAACGAAAAGTGATAAGTATTGTTGAGGGCCCAGCCCTGATCATGACAAAGTTTCAAAATTGCATAGAGCAACTGTGAATTACGTACTAAAGCATTTTGTAGCGGTGCGTGTAGTAGATTGTCAGACGCTTTGTTTAGGAAAAAGTTACACGGTTTCCAGTTGGATTACTTAAGACTATTAGTAAAGAAACTGGTCAATCATGTTTTTGATTATTGGATTAGTTGATGGATACACTAATCAACCGATATGTATTTGTGATATTGTGCTAGTGAGCTGAATCTCAATTTATCAGTGTTTGACAGAATGGTTAACCAGAAATCATGTCCACATGTCGTTTAGGAATTTTTTACCACAATTTTACGAGAAACATGCTTGATTTGGGAAAACATTTATCTATCATATCTCATGCAACGGATTTGCATCGCTTTTTTATTTGAGTGGACTATGAATTCAATAGTTTATTCGTTCATATTTCACTAAAATATATGACATGTATATATGTATGTAAAATATATGCATATGTGTATAAATGTAAATGTACATTTATATGTACACTCATTCATACTGTTCGTTTAGCAGACAGAGCAAACGAATTCATGGTTGCTGAGTATCCGGTTTTATTTTCTTATGGTTTAGTCATGGGTAAGTGTCACATATGTATGCATACTACAAAATCTTGATGTAAAGCTTGTCATCAAATTATTTGTTTATCGAGGTCAAGGAATCTCCTGAAATATCATAATGTCCCTCACACAAATAAAACACGTGACTAATTAAGATGGGCTTACAGGCAGGCTAAACTAGAGGAAATATATGACATTAAAACAATGCGCAATTATCTTAAAAAACTTACATAAATGCCACCCATCTTGGAATTGCTGTACATAATCTTTTATGTTCTGGTCTCTGTAGAGTTGTAAATTCTTGTGATCAACTCTGGAGGTTACGGAGAACTTCGTGTTGCAAGGTTAACCAGAAACCAGGCTTTCAATCTTATTCTCTAAGACAATGACGATAAATAAACATTATCCCGTGACTCGAATCCATGAACTTCTTCCAGAATTACGAACTTTGACAAACTTTTCAGCGTAGAAAACACATAATGCCTGGAGTGTGCATCTTGATAGTCAGAAGCTCCTTGTCCAAATTTTCAAATAATCATTGCTCAGGCAGGCATTTATCAGCACTAAGAATTCATTAGCTGACAATATATCTTTGTTACATAACTAATACCAATGCATTGAGTAAAGTAAAGCAAACATTTGTTGTTTGGATTATGAATGATGTTGATGATTGAGCAGACAGATAATGTCTAAAATCTTTGGTTGTTAGCTACTGCATCAATTGACTTATACATATGCATTTTATGCTCGTCTCTTCTCCACAAACAGGTCGTCGAAGAATATCCACCGATTTGAACAGGTATGACTGCTTTGTCTGCTTCTACTGCAATAAATATTTCCAAAATCACGAGACCCAAACAAAAAAGAGAAGCACTGCAAGTTCTTCACAGGAACACGAAAGAAGTGAAATCACTCAATCCTGAACCACTATCGATTTTGTCACCATGCCTCAAGATTTACAAATATATTATGTGACCGCGTTTGCGGTCACTACTTTGGTTGTGGGAGTGGGGGCCTGGTTAACTTCAATAAAAAAGAAATCGAGCCCATCAAAATCTGAGAAACTTGAGAAACAACGTCCCGAGAAATGGTGTCTTGTAGGAAAAATTGCAAAACTAATAATTTATCCGATTAAATCATGTCAGGGGGTCATTGTTCAAGAAGCAGTTATAACAACCCTGGGCTTAAAGTGTACGTTTTGTTCAATTTGGCTTCTTATTAATAAGTTTAATGTACTAACTTCAATTGAACTTCTTGCATACAGTCCGCAATCACAATATTAAAGATCGCGACTTTATGATTGTGGACAAAAATGGAAGATCCGTCACAATGGTGACTCACCCAGGAATGTCATTTATAACTTTGGAGCCTTCGAAGGAGAAGGATCACCTAATCATGAGTGCGCCTGGAATGGATTCAATCACTTTTACGTATCCAACCAAAAAATTAGAGGAGAAGTTTTGTCGGTACAGTGTACTATTTTTACACAAAAATGATTAGGCGATTTTATAGATTTACATATGTGTCTTTACATGGAATAAACTCAACAGCGTGAAACATGACACGAAAGTAAAAGCGTTAGATTGCGGAGATGAAGTCGCAGAGTGGATTCAAACATTTATTGGGAAAGAAGGACTCCGTCTTTACTACCATCACATCCAACAGACCCAGCGCACTTTCGAGCCTTACATGTATGAATGCCCGCAATTTGAGCAATCTGATATGGTAAAACAATTTTATATGATTTTTAAATATTTGATATTTTATGTCATCTTGGTGTGAACTGGTTATCTTACTTAGGGCGCGTTTCATAATGAGACGAGTTATCTAATGGTAGGTCAGGAGTCCATCGAGGAGCTTAATGCACGAATAGAAAAGAAGTCATCTTGGAAGAACTGGAGGCCAACAATTTTAATTGACAACATGTCAGAGCCATTCGCAGGTATGATTCGAATCACAGATTGAATATTATACATTAAGACTTAGATGACGATACCGTTTTTTTTTACATTTAGAGGTTAACTGGTCATTTGTAAAAATTGGAAGTGAAAACGCAATTCTCAAGGCTTCAGTACCGTGTTACAGGTATGATCAACCTTACATAGTATTGAGTTACATGCGTAGATTTAATTTTGTAGGAACACTGACTGATATTACTGTTTATTTACGTATGTAGATGTCCTTTGACTACTGTCGATCAGGAAACTGGGGTACTTCCAAAGGATGGGGAACCATTAAAAACATTGCGAAGTATGAACAAAACTGATGCATTTGCAGACCGCAAACTGGCTGAGTTATTAAAAAATAAGGGAATTATGGGGCTTCGCCTTGGTTTATACTTGCCTGCTGGAGAGGGAGCAACGATTAAAGTTAACGATCCAATTTATGCAGCATTGCTATAATTAACTAATCTAATAAATACTCGTTCACTTAAAAATAAAATGAAATTATGTTATTTAAGGTATTATTTTTTGCATGATTTCACATATTCCTATATAGTACGTAAGAACAATATGAACAGTCAAGCACTTGAAATTTTGAGCTAGTTCACACACAGTCTTGTTTGCTAAACTTTTTTTGTAAAAATCAGCAACCCGTTCATCATTTTCATTAATTTGAGAATATTCTTTACGTGGTTCAATCCATTCGCAATTGTGGCAACTAAGCGTGGATCTTTTCTCTCAGTTTGTTTCATGCGTTTCATCAGAGATTTAGTTTCAGAAGATCGATCACAAGTTATTTTTGCCAAACACGCTTCAGATGCAATCGAGTGAAACAGTCTGACTATCAATTTGTTGACGACGATCAGTTTTTCTGCTTCGAACAGTAGCTTGAACGGAACGTGTTGCTTGAGGTGGTTGACGATGACGATGATTTTCTGCTCACCAACAATTGTCACCTCAAAGCCTCTGGGAAGTTGTATCCAAAATGGATCTTTTGATTCTTCATCGTCACTCTCCACAGATGAATCATCGTTTTCAGCTTCCAGTGTGTCCACCCCAGTTGTAAATACTTTTGCGAAACCTTTAGAAGGCCTAAATTTGCAGAGAAATTATTTTTTTATTAATCGATTCATGAAAGTTATACGAGATACGTGTGATGCCCACATGGAATTTAGGTGAATCGGGAGTTCCTGGAAAGAAGCATGGCTGAATATGCTGAGCGACTTTTTCAGATAACGCTTGACTTTATCTCGCTGCTCGAAAATCTTAAGAAGCATGTTCCTCAAATCTTTCCGCTCCCCCGTATTCAAAACTTCAAACACGTGAGATAAAGCGAGGTAAACCAAATTGATCAACATTTCCATTGTTTTAAAATCCATTTTTGAAATATTCCACATGTCTTGTATGATTTCAGCAATGTCGTGTGATCTATCAGAGTACATGGTAAAATCATACGTCTCATCACTCAACTCGGCTGTGGTGATTTGGTCCACAAATCTATAAGGTGGAAAAGTTACTCTAATAGGTCAAAGCATAGCATTAATTGAATAGTCTCATGCTGACCGTATTAACAATGGATCCTCTATTTTCAAAGTAATCTTATCCGCCTTCGGAAATATTTTCATCGAATACTTCGAATCCCTTACAAGCATCTTACAAGTTTTCCTATGTTTGTCAAGTTGTTGCAGCTGAAGACGAAATCTGCATATCGTAAACATGATATTTTGCCACAGGAAATCAAATTCTCTTTTGGATTTGAACAGTACAGCTCGTTCGTGTGGCAGTAGCTGACTCGGAGTAATTCCCTCACATTTTGCCAACTTTTCCAAACGAAACTCTGTTCTCAGAACAATTTCTATCCGATACATGGAAAGAATGATCAACTCTAGCGCTTTTCTAGCGCATGACATTAGAGACCGGAGAAGTCTGAGTCGGAAACTGTCACTCATTTGGAGAAGTGTCACATTGCGAACGTTGTTGTCTTGAGTATCAATCCACTGAATTTCAAAACTCTCGTATGGCTGAGAACAAACAGCTTTAATTCCAAGGCGCGAAGGGTCCCCTAAAACAATTCGCCAGTTACTTCATAACCATTGTCTCAATCGTGCATAAGGCATGAGTATAGTTTTGAAATCTCTTCTGAAACCTGGTGACTGGCAGTACGACTCTTTCAGGGGAGTCTCATCTCGTTCTATTTTCATCCATTTCTTGAGCTTACTCTCATCTGCATCAGCAAATCGTTTTCCTGGATCTGGTGAAAATTCCTCTTGGAGGATTTCCATTGCCCTGTTTGCCTTGTCCACAACCGTGTGGCAACAATCTAAAGTAGCGGCTTGTGCTTGACTGATGAGGTGTCGGAGGTGACGCGACTCTCTGCAAAAATCTTTCCAAAAGCATTTTCGATTCATTGTTTTCCAATCGATCATGTTTGTTATTTTTTCAATCATGGTAAACATCATGGCCAATACTGCAAATACGAATAGTGTCAAACATGAAAGAACGACTACGGCAAAAAGATAACATTTTATGTAAATTATGTGTAGTGCATACAGTAATGATCAAGGTTTGGTGGAGATTGAGACAAGTATGCCATTGCTTTCTTCTGCACATTGATCAAGTCATCCACAATATTATACAACGGTTGTCGCATGGCTGTGGTAGCATTACAGTAATATCGAACTTTGTGGTTTTGGACGGTAAATGTTTCGATAAATTTTCGGTGATTGTTGAGATAAAACTCTCCGATTTCTTCTTTCGTGGGCGCGGCATCATCATCGGTTTCTTTCGAGGTAACACTTAGGGCTGCATATGGACTGGCGGAACTGCGGATGTGTTAAGTTATGCATGTCGCAATTGCAGTATTATATACACTGACAAAAATATGTATACTAACAGGCTTTAAGTACTTGTAATTAGCATACCTTGTCCTGTGATACATTGTCTGATTTGTATTGTATTATGACAACACGAGCATAATTTAGAAGAGGTTTAAAAAATATGGATAAATAATTTGTTAATTTGTTTGCATTTGTATTATTTCGTCCTGTACGCAAAATTTTTAAATTAATTATTCGAACACTCATGAAATAACGAGATAAATAAAATAACTTCCTTGTGTGACCTTGGAGTTGAAATTAAAAATTAACCTTGGATTAATTTTCGAATCCGGTGAAAGACAGTGATCGAATTTGACGGTAACCGTGGGCCCCTTTGCATTGTTTTTCATTTATTATAATGCAAGATGCTGGGCCCCCTTATTAGATAAGATATTAATAATTATTTTTAGTTGTGTGGTAACAGGTGATGCACATTTTGGAATATTAAGCGAAGGAGTATATTTGAAGATATTGGAAGCGAGATGTCAAAAGCCGATGTTAACTTAATTTCATAACGACGTTTACTTGAATGTTAAGGATCATATTTATAATTGTATACAATATAATTTGTACATATAACACAGATATTATACACACAGATAGTATACACATATTTATGGAGATGCATAAATCACAGGAAGATTGTAACTCGAAACTGTTGAACCTTGAAACCTGAAAAAATAATATACAATATTAATTTTAATTTTAATCACCCTCCATGCATTTGCAAGTACGTTTGGGATTTGCCAACTACGAAATCAATCATAGTACTCATGGGTTTTCCCAAATTCTCCCGTACTTTACAAATGAACTAAAATTGTTAATCATTACCAGATTTGACGTGCATGCATAACCTTAACTAAAAATAGTGTAACCAAAATCTTCGTCTTAGTTCTCCGCCACCACTTCCTTGGAACGCCCCGCGTTGATAATTTCCAGCTTCCGTTTCCGCACGTTAATTGTAACTGGGTTTTGGTACCTTTGATAACCCAAGTACCACAGCACCTTTAATAATACGACAAAAATAGCATTTATTTATATTTTATAAAGTTGAGGTTTTTTATATAAAATAATTTTAACTTACCGTGCAAATATGTGCACAACAGCCCATTGTCCGAGCGCCTTGTTTACATTTACAATAGAATTATAACGACGTCTTCGAGCACCTAACTTGTTTTTATTGCTGCTGAGATCCAAAATCCACTGTGCAAGCTCTTCATCCGACATCAAGACACCATGTTTAGTTGGGATGATCAACTCTATCGCCTCATCAGTGAACAATTGTCTCTCGAGGTGCATAGCGCAGCAGCGATTGTCATGTGGTATGAATATTTCTTTCTCGGTCCAAACTTGAGTGATGGCGGATTTCGGAATTCGCTTTCTTCCAGAAGGGTTATTACATATAAAGCATCGCTTCTGCGTTGATCCAACAGAGTCGATAGTTGGTAGTCGCCGGGATTTGGTAGACATTGAGCTTGACATCGATATTTGAGAGATGCATGATCCGTGGGCCTGAGAAGAAAGAGCTGACGCCTGTGAGTCATTTCCGGTAGTGGTCATAGTGATAATAGTTCCCTGAGTGCTCCATTGTGATTCGATTTCGCTTCTGCTACTTATGGATATAGCCATTGAATCCTTGTCGTGCCATTGAGAAATTGCGCCATCGTCGAGTGCAGTATCAATATCTTGTCCACCTGGTAAATGATAAGGTAATTACTAGGAATGGGTAATCCGATCCGAGTTTAAATGGTCGGATCGGATCGGATCGGATTGTTCAATGCTTTAGTAAATACTCGGATCAATCCGTCGGATCGGATTACCCATTCCTAGTAATTACGATATTATTGTCATAATTTAACATGCTGGACTCACCGTCTAAACGAAAGTCGTTTAGCTCCATCTCCAATAATCCATACTCGAAGCGGTCAATCTCTTCTCCCCCAGCATAGTCGTCGTGAGCCCCACAAAAATAGTTGTCGTCACCTCCATCTTCACAACCCCGACAGTCATCTTTCTCAGTTCCACGAGAACTATCTTCATCACTACGATCTTCCTCCTCAGCGCCACGATCACTGTCTTCATCACCGCCACGACGATCTTCCTCCTCAGCGCCACGATCACCGTCTTCATCATCGCCACGACGATCTTCCTCCTCAGCGCCACGAACATCATTCTCTTCTCTTCTCATATTTAACCTGGTTCGGCCAGGTAGAATGACACCTTCGTCCATTACTTGAGGTTTTGACCGTCGGAAGTGCTTCGTCGCTTCATCTTTCAGTTGTGAGCGAATCTGCATAAAAAGTGGAAATTAAATATAAATATTACTAAACTAAATTAAATATTGATTGTACCTTGACGTGGCATGCTTCGCAAATGACCTCAGTTTTGTGCGCCTCCTCCGAATTATCAAAAAGTCGACTGTACAAGGGCCAAAGTGCAGGAGCTCCAAGTCGATGGCGTTTCTGATTTGACTTAATCCGTCTGTGACAGTCCTCCAAAAAACAGGTAGTGTGTGGCATGATTGAAAAAAAATCAGCAGGATTTGTGGAAAGATCGATCGAGTTTTTTTTATTTTCAAATAATAATAATGCAGAAATATGAAAATACAACTCCGTTTAGTTACCTCTAACAACGGTGCACAATGCAATAAATTAAAATGCATGGGATAGTATGGCAAAAGTGGTGGTGGTTTGCCCTAAAATAAGTGATGACTGCAAAATGTCCCATTTTTTGTTTAAAGTTAAATTCAATCGTCAGAATGTGCAGAAAATTTTAAAACACATTTCAGAAATGGGACATTTTGCAGATATCATTTATTTTGGCTCTAAAGTTGCTCATGAAATTCGATCACTGGCTTTTTAGGAAATTATGAAAGATGCATCATTTTCCGGATTCGTTTTTAGTTTTATTCAACAAAACAACATGTTTATAATATGTTCGTTACATTCTGTCAGCTAATCTTAAGCATATATGTATGTATGTATGATTGATGAGTTTTATACGAAAAATGTATAATTTTGAAATAGTCATTGACAATAGAATTTTATTTTGAGTAATATATTCAATAATTTAGGTGAATTTGAAAGGAACAAACCCAGGTTTAATAGCTGTACCCTGTCGTACTACGTAAATCTCAACTCAAGAGTCTTGCAGTTTTCGAAATAAAGAATTGTTGTAAAGATAAGTTGTCATAAATTCTGGGAAGTCATGCGCTGTTACCAACTCCAAAAATATATCGCATGATGTCTCTAAGTGTTTCTGGTTGTAAGAAACCGACCCTTGATTAGGGTTCATAAGTTCAGCAAATCCCCTCCAGACCATTTGACTGACTAAAGTTTTTGTAACTTTTTCTTGAGATTCATCTTCCAATTTCACCTGAATATGATCAAAATATTAAGACAATTAAGTTTATTCAAAATATCTCAAAGTTGAATATGTTTGATCAGACCCCATGATAAATCCACTGCCAAACTTGTGATCTGCTGATCTCTGCCGTTGCCGAATCTTAAATGATCAGTGGCGTGAATTTTTAATTACCCATACAAAAGTTTGTAGAAAATTAGATTTTGGTTAATATGCATATACATAGGAATTTAATTTTAAAGGAAACAGTGTTATATAATCCTTACCTTCTACACACCCGTCCAAAATAAAATGTCCTTTCCCTTCTGCAATCCATGAATAAATAAACAGCGTTCCAACTCGAATGTTTTTTACAAGACCGAAATGTGTAACTCCACCGGCCGGAATCTATACAAATTAGCATGTAAGGCTTTACTAAAAACTTTTCACCCAGATATATCGAATCGTATATAATTTTTCATTTACTTTCAAGAGATCTTGATTCGTAAAAATAGCGTTTTCGTCGACCGAACAAGCTGCTGGCACGGGTGGTGGTAAGTCTGGGTCACTGGAATTTGAAAATAGTGATCCTTGAAATATTGGTACACTTCCAATGTCATAAGTCAGGAACCCGTTGATGCCCATTTGTAATTCTTTTCGCTTAGTCTTCATTATATTAATCAATATCTTGTTTCTATAAAAAGTAATAAGAAACAAGATGATAGCGGGCTACTGATATTAGTCACGATTATTATTATTATTATTTAGGTAAGTCATCCATACAAAAGCCTTACTTTTCAGCGACATCGAACGAGTCCAACATAAACGGAACCATTCCACCAGTGCTGTTTTTTATAATCTTTAACATGTGCTTAATGTGTTAAACATAAAAATATTAAAATAGGTAAATACCATGGGGCTCCATGCTTTTGACACACCGAGATTACCAACCTCATGTAGTTTTGAAGAAAAGGCTGCATAAATTAAAGAGCATGTGTAGAATAGTAATTATGATGATTACAAAGATATCATTACTTTTATAATGATAATTTCTAGCGGAGATTATGTACCTGCTCCAGATTTACTTACTTGCTCAAGATTTACATACTTGTTCCTATCGGGTATTACAAAATCCGGTTTTCCTCCTGTTTATTAATATATTTCATGAGTATGTCTTTGTATGTACATATGTAAAAATTGACACCTTATGTCATCACTATTTGTGCTTACCAAGTTTGTTTATTATGGACGCTGCATAATCCCATACGCCGCAGTTTAATCCGAAAGAGTGATGTCGTAACTCGAAGAGGATTTTCTCTGCTTCAAATGCTGCCAATATGTTTTCGATGAGAACACACGCCTTTATAGCTCCAAAAGGTAGGTCAAGTGACTTTTCCGACCACGTGAAAATGTCGTCCCATAATTTTGCTTCAGCTGCATTTTCCAGTTTTGGCAAATAAAAATAAGGTCCAACTCCTTTTTCGAAAAGACTTTTTCCAATGCTAGATATCAATATTCCAAAATCCATCATTGGACCTGGAAAAATTAATCATGGTTATACAACTATACAACTATAATCCAATGTAGAATCAATAAGCTTATTAAAATTTAAACTTTCGCGACTTGTGCGATAGTTTTATTTCTAATTCAGCTCATTTATCAAAAAAGTGCACTTAAATTTGTTACGCGTGTATTTAATACATGGGCGCTTATATAACTACAGTTGTGCAATTTCATAATTCATTGTGCCTGCTACTTTCCGTCATAATTTAATAAATTACCAGGGACTTCCTTCCCATTGATCTGTAATTAATGAATTTTTGCCTTTAATAAAGTCGTTTAATCAAAAAATGATTCATGATTTAATTAATCAAAAATTTTAGATGCAAGAAATCAGTATTTTTATTGTTTAATAGTAATGGCCTCACCATGAGGTTATGCTCATTCATGTTCCACGCCCTTGGTCGTAGAAGTAAAAGTGGGGACTGTTCAAGTGAAGGGATTTCATTGGGGAAGAAATCTCCTTTGATAACTTTAATTACATTGGCAATGCCTGATAATTAAGAAATAGATGTACTTCAACCAAGTAAATCGTACATAAATAACTCGAAACACTTTTATAATTTTACAATAATGTCTTTGTTACCCTTAATTTGATTTGCCCAAGACGGGCAATTGCCATCATCAAAATCGACCTGAATGCCTTGGACATTGGCTTGAAGCGCATTTTTAAGCAAATTTGAGTCGTGTGGGGCGACATCCCCCAAATCAAGCTGGCGATTCTGATAATAATCATATTGATGATAATAATTAAATGCATAATTCAGTAGCAATTCAATAATAACCTGCAAGCGTTGAGGAAGCGGAGAAATTGTCCACCCTGCAGATTCCCCAGGAAAATCCAGTGATGAGAAATCTGGGAGGACATTTGATATCTCCAACTCCAATTTACGAAGTTTTCTTTGCCTTAAAATCTTTAAATAATGAATAAACCAAGTCTTCAAAATGTTCCAAAATACATAGGATATGCCCATTTCATGATTTTATCTACTTAAAAATAAATACCTGGTCAACCCTGGGCTGAAATTCTGTCACCAGGTTGAATACAAATGCTACAGATTCTTGAGTGAACACACTCTGATATTCTAATTCCAATCCTTGTGGGCTCAAGGAAAGTTCCATGTTTTTAACAATTTCAGAATTCATTATTTTTAATAAAGCTGATATATTTTGAATAAGCGAAAGTAAAAACTACTTCGTTTCTCACACAATTATTGCATATAAATTATTATGATACACACACGATACTGACTGAATGAGTATTGAATTTAAGACAGAAATACATATGCATGCATATGGACGACTTATGAAAACTGTTGTGTATTAAAGTTAATCCATTTTCCAGCTGCAGAAGAACATTCTAATTCCTAAATCCATATTTGCTCAACAATATTTACTTGGAATATTTCAAGATCATGAATGGCGTCAGCCATTTTATTATTTAAAAGCAATATAATAACATGTTTTGTGCATATACATTACCCAATCTTAATATAAATGCGGCTAACCATAAGTAGGTACATAAGTATATATCAGTCATCCTGGGCCACAAATTAATCAAACACATTACACAATATTACACATATTTAAGGATCCAGTCCTGTTTAAACGAATTACAAAATAATGAACTTGTATGTAAATATAAACTAAAGTCTATTGTACTCTTTGATTTTTTATTCTTTAGCCAAAAAGCTGCTTCTTAGTCTGGTCCAAAATCTTTGCACGTCTTGACGTGATCCGTCAACTCCTGGCCATTCCAGGTAAGTTTTTGTTCTCATCAAATAATTTAGAACCTTGGTCCGCAGATTTGATGGGATCTCCTCCAAAATAATGACAACGAATGATTTTCTTCTCGATTCTACGAGACGATGATATGCCAAGTTCATTTCAAAAGTGCACCACTGTGACTCGAGATATTTCTTGGAAACGACTATAACTACTTTTTTAGAACGGTCAATAGCTTCAAGAATATTTTCTGTGATCGGCATCCCGGCTTCAAAATCTCTCTCATGCAAGCAGACTCTAAATCCAGCGGATTTTGATCCAATTTCCAAATCATTAAGATGATCCGGTGCCTTTGTTTCCAATCTAAACGAAGGGTCTTCAACCTCTGGGAGAAACTTGTTCTGAATAAAATCCCGGTCTTCGTTATGATATGAGATAAATATGTCAAAATCATACTGGATAAGCTCCGCAACCGACGTTTTCGCTTTGCGTGGGACAGAAATATTAAGCTGAGCTCTAAAAATCAAATATCTGATCTGGGCTCGCTGCTTATAACCCACCGCAGCTATTGCAATGACCCCGGCGAAAGAAACCGTGCTGGCAATTACGATCGTAGTCCAGTTGTTTGAACTTTCACCCGATGTTTCCTCTGGTAGTGGGAACGATTTGTCAAAATATGTGCACATTTCATTTGTGACATTGACAAGATTTATCAAAACATCAGAATTTGGATCTACGCAACGGTATGATTCCTTATTTGTCCAAGTGACGTTGTAAGGAAATATTCCACCTCCATCCGGCGTGCTCATCAAATCTCTCAATGCACAAGCCCCTTTGTCACACATGAATATGTTGGAAGATAAATCCACTACGTAAGCTCCGAAGCTGATCAAGTCTGAAGGAATTAATCAGTTAAATAATAATCATTCCACGTACCATATTAAGGTTAATTTTGAAAAAAAATCTTCATATGCGACAAACCTGAAATCATAGCGTCTGTGATGAAACTCAATTTGTTGACTGAGAGGGCGAACTTTGTGTTTTTATTTAGATCAATGAGACTGTCTTCGTTCATGGCAGCTCTATTTTGGGCATATAGCGTTGATAGAAGCGGAGTATTCCATGATTCCAACTCATTTCCATCAAACAAGAGCTGGGTGAGGTACATATTGTTCGAGAAGAGTTCAGGATACATGTGCGTAATGCTGTTGTTCGATAACTCAAGCTTTTGAAGAGTTGAAAGAAACTTGAAGGGTCGGAACTCGTCCGGAATCAGACTGGGCTTTGAGTCATTTACGGTGGTAACTTCACTCGGTCCCATCGTCGTCGTCTCATTGGTGTCATTAATCGGAATATTTTTAAATTTTATTTGACAGTTGGCCAAGTAGAGATACTTTAGATTTTGTAGCCCGTAAAATGTCATGGAGTTGAGGGGTGAAATTGACGTAAGTTCCCTGTTGTTCGAAAGGGTAAGTGATTTCAGGGCATCCAAGCCGGTGAAAGTTCCATCCTCGATCAGCTTCAACTCCGTATTGTCCAACACCAAGGAGTCCAATTTGCTGAGCCCGGAAAACGTATTTTTTGGAATTTCCTTTACATTTGTGTTTGCCAAAAGTATTTGACGAACTGAACGAAGATTAGTAAAGGAATTTTCCGTAATTATAAATCTCCGCTGGGCACCTGAACCATACAAAGAATAGTTTAAGGAATATTTCATAAAGATTTTAAAGAAATGTAAACGTTAGGAACCTCCGTTGTTAACATCAGGGGCCGGAATGATAATGTTGTTGCTCAAAGTTAAGTAAGTCAAGTGTGTGAGGTTAGCCATTTTAGGGACACTTTTAAGAAAATTATAGTTTAATGAGAGTGTCAATAAACTGGGCATCCTATCCAGCGTCCCATCCTGAATATCCATTAGGTAGCAATTTGCGAGATTAAGGGTCCGAATCCTGATAAGGTTTGACGGTATATCGTCCGTACTTAAATATGCTAGAGGATTCCCTGAAGAAATGTTGTATTTTGATTATTATTTTATTATTACGACAAATCGTATTATTATTGAGAACAATCGCATTTTTAGTAACCTTACCGGACAAATCCAAGCTGTACAATGTATCAGCAACTATCGATATTGCCTCAGTTGGGAATCTATAGACCATTATTAGGGGTTAGATATGACACTTTTTGATAGGGAGTGTACATGCCCATTTAATTTATAGCTTACTAACCTGTGCAGACCATTGTCGGACAAGGCAAGATTTTCAAGCACTCCATTCCTTAACCCTTCGAAAGCGCTGGCTAGCGTTGGCATTAGTCTCGGGTTATTTATCAAATACAATGTCTGCAGTCGGGGTAGGAATTTAAATGATTCTGTAACAATAATTTGAATTTCTTTTAAGCTACAAAAAATAAAAGTTTATCGTTTTTATTTTTTGTGCTTATGTTTAGTTATTTACCGTGATGAATAAATTCTAAAGCACAACTGCTCATGTCCAACATTGTCAATTCACTTTCACGAAGACCTGCCCACATTTGTGCAGGAATTATCTGGAGCGGATTTCTTCTTAACATGAGCACTCTTAATTTTGGCAAAACCAAAGGTATCTCAGAAATATCTGTTCGCGCAGAACAATTTTCGTAAATCTTAAACGATATTTGATTTCCATCCAAGTGAAGAGCCATTACGTCCTTCAGTCCAAAATAAATGTCAAACGCCAAGTATGATAAATAATTGTCCATAATTTCCAAGGTGTGGATATTATCAACATTCGAGAAAGCCCAGGGTTGCATGTCAGTTATCTCATTTTGAACAAACTGGATATTTGAGATGGACACATGTCCGAAATTTGTCCTGTTAACTTGCTGGATCTTGGTACCACTCACATGCAGTCGTTCCAAATCTCTTGGTAGTCGATATGGCACTTCTCTCATGTTCCTGTCGTTGCACACGAGATATTTCTTCCATTCATCTTCATAAAAACAGCCCAAGGGGGCAAATCCGTCCGGAATGAAGCGACTCTCTCGCAACTCATCGTCGCGCCCGATGTCCTTGTGTCGAATGTTGTGCATTATACCGCAAATCTGTTCCTCATAATAGTTCTCATCAAATTTTTTGGGTGTCGTCGAAGAACTTTTTGTAGTCGTTGGTGCTGTTCGCAAATATGCCATTCTTTGCTCGACCAACTGATCCAGTTCGGCTTCTCGCCCAGGTTCCTGATATCTTTCATCTTCTTGTAAAATTTTGCGATAATCAACTTCGTACTGGTGAAGGGCACTGGCAGATAATGATAGATCCGTTTCTGGTGGTAGTGTGTCCAAGTTGCTAAGATGTTGAGACAACTTACTCCGAGTTGTATCGACATCGTCAGAGTTTATTTCAATCGCACCACAGACTACGCACAGTCTGATGAATACGGAAAGAGAAATGGTGGCTCCGAGAAGAATGACACTGTAATTCATCATTGGTGGCAGTTTTGACCTTCAGATTTATGTAGATACCGGGGAAGCCCCTGAACTAATTTAATTTGGCAGTAATGTAACAATGGGCAATCGTTTATGCCCTTGAATTTTACTAAAATTATAATTGATGAGGGGGAATAAGATTTCGTTTAGTTGGCTATCCCAATAATTAATAGAGGATTATTGTAAGCAAATTAAGAGCTAGTTGGTGATCTGCTGTTGAAATTGATGCAGACGACATTATGCAATATATGCAAAAATCACATCACGTATGGATTGATTTGATTTCAAATCAAGTTTATCTAGACCTTGACATCGGAGTTTGTTATCGCAGACCAGCTCTTTGACAGGTTCAATTTACAGAACAAAATCATCCAATAAACACCTCAGTATTCTGTATGACAATTATTAAATGTTAAGTACTTCAGATTATGTAGAATATTCCAATCGTTTTCAAAGCCTTTCTTATAAGAAAATAATGTTTGTAACGTGCTAAGAAAATTGCTACGTTTCATGAAAAACATGCAAATAAACCTAATCCATTCCATCCTGTCCATGGAATGTGAGGATGAGCGAAAAAAAGTGGGCTCGCTCATAAAATCACAACAGGAAAGAGGGGAATATGCTGTTAAAATACAGACAGAAAATATTCACGGCGACAAATAATGCATGTATATCACTATTCCTTAGATAAACAATTTGTTGTTCACTCGAGTATTGTAAATCGATAAGCAGTCGTGGTTATCATCTATTAACTTTTGCAGTGTTTAGTTCAAGGGTGCAGTATCAGTCATTCGTTCTGAATCACATAGCGACACTCTGTCAACCGTGTGTATTACGTAAGTATTTATGTACGTGATGAAATATGCATGTGACGGAATGATCCGAAAATAATTGTCTCAATTCGTAAAAAGAATAAATAAACACCTGCGCATTTACATAGATATATTGTTACATAATGAAAATTTTATCACCATATTAATCTAGATATATTTAGACTGGACTGTTAACGTAATTATAAATTTCTACATACAATTCTTGATCTGCCATCAATTCGGGTCAAAATGGCATTCTTTTATATAAAATTCACATGGATGACTTGTGTAGCTCATTGTACTGAAGCAAACTTGCTGTCATCACTTTCTATAAGTTTGCATTGTTGTCCTTATTATCGTGACAAAAAACTGCATAGATTTCGAAGTTAGAAATTCTACGTTGCCCCCTCTCGATGAATAGGCACATACACGAACAAGTTATTAAGTCACGCCAGATTAATAAAGGTTCATGAACTCGCGTTTAAAATAAATAGATGTAAAACTAATTGAAATCAAAGTAATGTGTGGCTAGAAGGATCGTCCTTACCCTCACGCTCGGAGGAGAAGTTGGAGTTGGGGCAGTCTTCCCAGTTTCATCCTTCTCTCTCGCTTTGCGTAATACATTGAATCGCCTATCTCGAAACTTCGCATCGACCCTGTGGGGGGGAGGAGTCGACCTCAGGGAAATGCATCCTCCGGTGTTTAGAATTTGGTTTTCTGCGTCTGATGGTATTTTTTTCAAATTTTTTGGACTGGCGCAAGGTACACTTATGCCCCTTACCATCAAGTGATGTAACCTTATGTAGACTGGTAAGTGGCATAAGTGTACCTTGCGCCAGTCCAAAAAATTTGAAAAAAATACCATCAGACGCAGAAAACCAAATTCTAAACACCGGAGGATGCAATTCCCTGAGGTCGACTCCTCCCCCCCACAGGGTCGATGCGAAGTTTCGAGATAGGCGATTCAATGTATTACGCAAAGCGAGAGAGAAGGATGAAACTGGGAAGACTGCCCCAACTCCAACTTCTCCTCCGAGCGTGAGGGTAAGCCTTAACACATGCAGAAACATGAAGTGACAATCGGATCTCATTGTTGCATGGTCACACACCACGTCGCACATGAGGACGTCAACGCATTGTTGATAGAATACACAAAAGTACGTACATACTTTTGTGTTTAGCTCCTATTTTTATGTGACACATATGTGGATGAAACATAAATCAGCGAATTGTGGTTACACTGAGAGGATGAGATACTTTAATTGTTCACTTTATGATGCAGCTTGTTATTTCTTATATTAACGCAATGCTCCGTGGTTTAAAATATGTAACTTTCTCCGGCAACAAATGCAAAGTGAGTAAACGATTACGTGTGTGTACTACTGTTACATTTACAAAGGTAATAATTTATTACATATTATCTGAGGACACTCGACAAATTTGACGGTTTTAAAAGTCATAGTTTCTAACTGCAATATGATTTCGATATAAAATCAACCAAGAGTTACTATTTTCTCGTTAGTGATCTCAAGGGCTCTAATCCGTACGAATTGAGTGTCGCACTTGCATACTGTTCATCATCATGGCATGTAAAACATGGGTGGTTGGATTTATTCTGGTCTACTTTATCATACTTATTCATTTGAGTTTAAAAACTGAAGCGAGTCAAATTTCTGGAAGGTCAAACAGTGTTAGTTTTCACTCTAGATGGAAACGGCAACTTCCGTTTTTGAGTAGTTGGTTTGGTGGATCTCACTCTACGAGCAAACCGGAATTGAAGAGAAGTCGATATCAACAGCAAAACCATTACACAAGAAAAAATTCTCGCAATTCTTACGTGTTATCGAAATACGATAAGCTGCCGTCTTATCATCAAAATCAGAGCAGTAATAGTCACGAGAATCAAGTCGCAGAAAGAGATCCCAGATGTGAGAAAAAGTGCATACTTCGTTGGTCAATATTTTAATGAAATACTGTGATAATTTCTTATTTCTTTCTGAAATTTGTTGAGCAGTTTTGTCACTGTTCTCGGTCATCAAATTTGGGAATGCAGAATGTCTCTCTGCAAGTGGGGACAATGGTACTTGTTATCCACAAGCAGAATGTCATAGGAGAGGGGGTGCAGCAAATGGAAGGTTATCTGTCGATATGAAAAGTTTTTTGGCCATAATGTAAATTTTATCTAATATATTCTTGTATATCCCGTAGATGTGCCAAAGGGTACGGAACCTGCTGCGTGTGTAAGGAATATTTTTAGTCGTAACAACAACCAATTAAATTCCAAAGTTCAATTAAGCTGCACTCTCGTGAGTGCAGGATAAAGTGCAGGACGTTGTAACACCACTCATTTCGGAAAATGAATGACATTTGAATACTTATGAAACTGTCACAACGTGTATCACTTATACGTTAATGTCCTTAATCAATCACCCTCAAACCTAAGCTTTTAGTTTTGTCACCTGATTTCGTTTAAATAGTTTCATGCAAAAACATATCCGTTACACATCTGTATGTACACACTTAATGATCCAATTTATTTGATAATATGAAATTTCAGTCTCGAAAACGTGTGGGGCCTCAACAAATCAGAATTGCACATATTTCACCCACAATGGCAACAACCAAAATAGTCAATCTGGTTTTGATGGAACTGGAAGTTGCCAACTAACGATGTACAAATGTGCTCCCGATGTTTGTCAGTTGAGGTTCGATGATTTTCTTTAATTTTTAAGGCATTTCTAGGAAAATCAAGACTCAACATAAATTGTGTTACATGATGCATAATTTGCACAGGTTAGAATTTGACTCCTTCAATATAGCACCACCAAACACGAATGGAATATGCCAAAATGACCAGTTCATAGTTTCCGGAAGCACAACAGCCATTCCCATTGTAAGTTTATTTCAAAAATGTAATTACTTTAATTTTTATAAGTTTAAAACTTAAAGGTCTGCGGGGTCAACACAGGAAATCATAGTAAGCAGCACATTCAAACCATAATGTTACATGTTCTGTTAAAAGTGATGAACATATTTATTTCGAATTCCAGTGTACGTCGATGTGGGAGTAGATAACAGTCCAGTCACATTGAGTATGGTGACGTCGGGTCCTGCATACTCCCGATCCTGGAAAATCAAGATAATCCAAGTTAGATGTACGGACCTTGGAAAAAGTACGTTCATTTACCAGTATTCTTGTACTCAAGAAAAAATATGGAAAATATTAACTCTCATTAAAAACCTTAATTATTATAATGAATCAATACAGGTCCAGAAGGATGCTTACAATTCTATCGAGGTGTTAGCGGAATGATACGTTCGTACAACTTTGATTTCGCCTCCGGTCAGCAGCTCTCCAATCAGGATTATACTTCCTGTATCCGGGTTGAACGAAATTTCTGCGGGATTCGGTATACTGCTTGTAATGATAATGGTAATAAATCCATCTCTGCTACGACATTCTGATACATTGGACACAAATTGACTACATTTCTATGCGTTGTTACCCTTATTCATAGCTCAATTCGGCAGTTTACAAGCCACGGCTGCTAATCAAAGGACGAGATCATTTTTCCTGAACGGCCAGGGAGTGAGCACGATCGGAACATTAGTTGGTGCAAATAGTTGTTCGACTGATTGGATCACGATACCCTGCGCCACAAACACTGGTAGAACCACTCAGGCTGGAGGTACCGTTTGCCAGGACAGGATTTGCGGCGACGTTTTTAATTCAGAAGCTGGCCAAAACCCAAGCTCTGTTTATAGTGAGTTGTGAATAGGACGTCATTCCTAGAATTGCATGTTCATTTTGTATGATTGATACATATTATGTTTTTGCAGGTTATGTAAAGCCATTCCGAATCCACTACCATACAGATTCGAATGAAACTAACGACGTCGGAAATCGAGGCTTCTGTTTAAATTTTATTCAACAACCATGCTCTTCAATTTAAATTCACTAACAGTTCACTATTATAGTTTTATTTGATTCACGTGTTTTGTACAAATTACAGTTTATTATTCTTGATACATTTTATACATGTTACACACATTTCAACGCAACTTGTTTAAATTGTCTGTTTTGCATTTGTTAAATATGTACAATAAATCTCGCATGATTGAGTATTTCTGATATTATTTTAGTTTTCAAGAAAGTAATCGACAAGTAATTTCTAGTACCAACATGGTGGTGCACAAGTGTCACTACTGCAACTTAACTGAACCAAAAAGTACGGAATAAAAATCATAACCGAAAATATTGCGTGATCCGGTTGGGTTATTTTATTCCCTTTACTTTTCTTCGGAAATCCAAACAAGGCGTGAAATTTTTTCTCGTTCCCCCCATTCGCGTAATCAATTGCAACACTGCATTCCTGAACTTTTCCGTCCTTTTTAACGGAGTCAAAAGCTTTTAAAGAAATCTTCCCCACGCTTAAAAGATCTGAGTAATTCGCAAGCTGCAATTTTCGGATGTCTGAAGCATTGCACTGAAATTGGGTGGTGGATTCCCCACATCCCTGTTTTGAGATTTAAAAATAAATTTTATTCATGAATTAATCAATTGATTGATGCATCAACAGCTCACCATAATAAAGAAAGTAAGATTTCTTAGCAAATCTCCAAATGTAAAGTTTACTGGCCCTTGAAAGTTACTATTTTTTATGGACCTCAAAACTTCAACTTCTTCACTTGGTGCCACGGTTGGTGTTGTGACATTCGTGGCGTCAATGGATTTGTTGGTTTTCGTTAGTGTCCCATTTTTGAGGTCAGAAGCTGAGCTGTTGCCAGTTTGCTGTTTCTCGAGTTCCTGTCTCATTTTGTCGTTCTCGTACTTTACTGTCCCATTGTCAAAGGACCACCATATTTTCATTGGTGAAAGCTGTAAATAATTAGCCCAGAAAATGCTCTATTGTTTACACACCATAATTTAAATTAAATTACTACCCCAAAATGAACGTCCTGTACATCGCACGTCTGCCATTTCCTTTGAAAGGTAATAAAAGTACCAAGAGTATTATTACTTTCTAAACCAGACAAGATCCATTTGTAACTTTGGGCATGATCTTTCAATAAAATTCCATTCCTTTTGTTCCAACTCCAATCCTGTTTTAAACATTTTACGACCAAAAAAGCGTTATGTGCATGTATGCAATGCATATGTAAACTTGTCCCTGGACAAAATTAATTGATTGTCTCAACTTGCCTCAATTCTGTTTGATAATGAAACCTGAGGTCCATCTGAAGAAAAAGGGATTGAAACAACATCCACATTGTAGTGATCATTTTCCAACGCTAGTAAAAGTCGTTTAGCCGTTCCTGCAATCTTAGCAGAGGACGAGTTGGAAATTATGACTGACAATTCCACAAAGTTATCCAGAGCCGTGATATTAAGTTTGAGACGTTCTCCGTCCAACAGGAGCTGGGTTGAGGGTGGTTTAATCCCAATTTTTTCAACTTCCTTCCTCGGAATTTTAGTTAAAGGAATTCTTGTAGTTGTTGAGGAGGGGTTGATGGTGACCTTTATTGAAACACTCCCAGGCGTTGGTGGTGGTGCAGATATCGTTGTTGAAGAAGTTGCTGCTAAAACTGTGGAAAGATCTGCAGATGGTGTTGATGAGACATTAGTAGTGACGATGGGGTTGAACAAATTAAAAATTAACAAAAAAATATATAGGTCTGGAGAACGATCCATTGTGAATGGGTCTGAATGGGCTTGAATAGACAACTGACGCTGTTTTTCGCAAAAGTAAAAATAGTTTAAAATATGTGTTGTGTAATCAATACATAAGGATTTTCGCAGGAAGCCGAATGATGGATGGATGGATGTTTGTTTCGCACACCTTAAACAAAAATGCAAGTTTCACACAATAGTGTGAATGTCAGCCGAGAAGGAATGTGAACAATTCAGAGACATCGCAGAAAATGAGATGGACGTTGATGAGCCAATTTGGCAAATGGAAGATAGTAATAACGCCAATGATGATAGGATGTAGTAAATAATGAAACTTCACGGGGTTGCTTTCACTACTTCTCCAGTTTTTTTTACGTAATTTGAGAATAAATGTTCCATATTTTTATTTCCTCATTTAATCGTACGTATATACATTAGCTAAGCAGCCCTACCTTAGAATACATGAATAAGGCTCAGGCATCAAGCTGCTTATAGAATTGTTCTACTTCCCTAGTAGAAGTGGTCGCTGTTGTAATATTTGCAGGAGGGAGGGAGGTCTGACAGCAGGGCGCACAGGGCCAGGAAAATAGATTGGTGCCGTTTGAGGTAACTGTGAAGGTAACTGTACACCCCCCACTCCTCCGCCAACTAATACCTGTCCACCTCCCAGTCCTCCCCCAACTAATACCTGTCCACCCCCTGCTGGAAATGCGACCTGACCTCCGACTCCTCCCACTGGACCAGCCGCTGCCGCAGCAGAAGTGCCAATGCCACCTTGACCATACAATCCTGGAGGATATGCAGGTAGCATCGCAGGAAACAGCCCAGGGTGGCTTAGGTGATTCAGGTGACTTAGCCCAGGGTAGTAGGGTGGAGGATACCCAGGATATTGAGGGACGGGGTAACCGGGGTATATTTGTAGGGGATTTAAAGTGGTTGGTCGTGTAGTAGTGACTGCTACCGTCGTGGTAGGTGGTCTCGTCGTGATAGTCGTCGTAACAGTCGCCGTAGTAGCAGCGGCAGCCGTCGTTGGTCGAGTGGTTGCCGTCGTAATTGCGCTTGTTGGCCGTGTCGTCGTCGTCGAATTGACGGGTCTAGCCGTGAGGTTTGCGAAAAGAGTAACAAAGGCAGGTCTGAAGGAAAGTCCACCACCACCACCAAGACCTGCTGGTCGGCCACCTAAAATTGCTTGCTTCCAGGCCCAAAGGTTTTGTCCATTTAAACCTACACACAGTTATATAATGGATTTATCACGCCGTGTTAAGTGTGTATGTAAATTCAACGTTGATGATGCGTTACATACTCAAGAAAGTTGGCGTAGTTATTAGACAGCAAGAAAGAAGGCACAATAATATTGTCGGAAATTTATTGGAAAACATGACGGATTTGTTGTCCGTCTAATAACATGAGACTTGTCAGAGCGGAAGCTGGAGAGATAATGCAAAATGTGAACAATAATGTGATTAACTGACCTGATGAAGGTTCAGTTCATAGAGTCCTTATTCGAAACAGGAAATTGTAAGTCGTAATTTGGTATATTGAGTATCAGCAGAATTTAAGACTCTGGAACGGGGTGACCCAATTGTCATACGGGATCGCTTAAAATCTTTCGAGGCTAGAATGATTTCAGAGATTTTTGACAAAGGGTAAAGTACGAGCGTTACAAATTGTATTGGACGATGACTGAGGTGAATGGATGAATCATCAAAAACATGAAATGCAGTGGATGCATTGGGAGCAGTATTATGTCAAAGGATTTAGAGATCATCGTATGGATTTCAATGTATGAAATTAAATTAGTGTATTTTTATGGTATGAAGGTTAACGAATTACGGGATGGTTCGTGCATTTTTTCACTTTATTTTCACGTATATCAATAATAAGTAGTTATATTTAACACCAAAGTGATCACCACATTTCGTTTATGGGATACATATTTTATTAATATAAATAAATATCTGCAGGTATGCTAAAAATTATGCATCAAAATTAAAAATTATGCATGTATCTCAGTCTGTTAAAATGTATGTCAACATACAAGTTTCACGATAATGAAAGAGCTAACTCCGAAACAAGGCATAATCTGAGTATAAATGGTAGAACTGAAAACTTTTGAAAATCTCCTCTTGTGAAAGGTCCAACCCCCCTTTCCTAGCAACCCATTTGCCATCCCCAGAAGCCACGTCCTTTGTAAGGACAAAACTTTTGTCACCTTCCGTCAATCCGGCTGACGTTAAAATATCGATTGAGGAACGAATCTCTTCACCATCTGGTGACGAGTCCCACTCAAGCCACCCACATCCAATTTCTACAATGGATTTTATTTGCAGCACCTTGGACAGCAATTTTGAACTCACTTTGTGTCCAAAAAAGCACACCTTTTTAAGGCTTGGGAAAAATGATGGAAAGTTGTCCTCGAATAAGTTATCATTGTCCCAGTCACATCTAAACAAGAAGAGATGCTCCAGATTTTTAAATGCAGCAACAGCAGTGGTTTTAAAGTTTGCTGTTCCAAGAGCGACTTTCCTTAATCGATCTTTTGATACCAAATCCTTACTCAGGTCCATTATTTTCATGTCTTGCGACAAAATACACAGTTCCTTTAAACGCCTAAATTTACGAATAAATACATTAAATTCAGGAATTTTATCTATTCTAAGTAGCACCAGTCTATCCAGGTGGGCTGGGAATGAATTAATATTTCCTGGGAATGATGGATAGGAGATTATGAGACTTTTCACAAATGTGTCATCCTCGAAGCTTTCCAATACCTTATCCAAAGCTCTAAAGTTATTAAGAATCACCAATTTTTTAGCGTGATCAACCTTGAGCAGGGTGATCCCATTGATGGTAAACAATATGTTGACCCCCAGAGACCATATGTCTGAAAATTGCCACTTTTTCCCTACTTTGATTGTAAAGAATAGATAATCTTCTAGACTAATCTCACTAGCAAGATTGTTAATATCTTTGTGTTTAAGAGATGGTATTTTAATGTCAAACTGAAAGTCTTTCAGTTTGGGAAGTCTCACTTTTTTTCCTTGAAGACGGTCATAATCGATTAAACTTACTCCACAAAGTTTAATCGATTCAATTTCTTTTCTACGAGGATTGCCGTTACATTCTTCAATAAACTGGTTAAGTTCAATTTCTCCATTCTCTATTTCTATTGTATTTTCTAGTTCAACCGATTTACGCTTTGTAAGTTTGTCCTTGTTTCTTGGAATGACATCGCCAAAAAGAGATGAATGTCGCTTTTTTGATGTCGGAGAATGAAGTGGTGATGGCGGCGACCGATGTCTCTTGCTTAGTATTGATGTGCTCAAGGTAGAAGAGAGGCAAGAGGAAACCTGAGAACTTGTGTCTTCACTTTCGACCTCAGTAAAATCTGTCGAGACGACAACATATAATATTAAAGTTGTGCTTAGCTTTTCGTAGTAAAAATAAACCAACCAACCTGTTGAGGTAGATGCCAGTACAGGTTGACAATTCGGACTCTCATTTTTAATTTTCATTATAACGGAATCCTCCTTGGAATTTATTCTGTTTAAATCATAAGAACGTCTCCTGCAGTTGAATGACGTTGGTTCCAATAGTTCTCTTGCTGAGGTGTCCGTTAAACACAAATATTTAAAAACTTGCACTTGCTCCTCTGATGTGAGCACCTTTAGATTAAAATAGTCCAATATAAGTTTAAATAGAACAAATGCCAGTCAAGTCACCATTAATTACAATTTGTTAATACAGTTATGATTGTAAAATTGAAAATCCATAAGTTAAGTAAATGTAACTGACCCACCTTTAGTGGGATAATCTCAAACGTAAACTGTTCAGGTGTCATTAAGGGAAAGCGGATTCTGTAGATAATTTCTCCTAGAGCTCCTCTTAAGTTGTTGGCCACAGGTTGAAGGCCACGCCTTCTACAAAACTCGTCAGCCCATCTACAAAAACCAATCAATATCATATTACCAAAACTTTGACAAAATGTGTCATGGCACAATTCTAATTTATACCTTAAAACAGACTTAAATATGGAAATTTCATCCCATTCCAAGTCATCATGCTCTATGAGGAGTACCATATTTTTATAGCTGAGATCCATAAAATTTGAGGAGTAAAAAATTTTCTTTGGGTTCCTAAAGCACATTCAAATTTTTTAAAATTTATTCTTAAATATGTATGTAGACAATTATGTAAATGTAAAGTTAACCTGCACATGTACGCAATTGCTTTATCGCGAAGTTCCAAATCGTCTACATCTTTTCCCATTTCACACAAGGAGACAGCAGTGTCATCATTTATGTGGGTCTTTAAAGCTTGAATACACAAAACGACGAGATCCTGTATTTGAAATCTTCTACTTGCGTGGAGTATCGCTGCGATTTCGGAACATTTTAAACCCTCCGTACTAAAGTGGTCAGTGTACATAAACTATGCACAAAAAGAAATTGTCTGTTGTTATAAAAACTGTACCTAATTTCCTTCATGGCATATTCATCATTTTCAAAGCAAAATAGTATTACATGTAAGATACGCCTAAATGGCTGTGGCTCTACTTCAGGGATCTCGAGGACATCTGTAATTGTTTCAGGGTCGGCCGTTCTCACGTCTGAAGATCCGGTCAACCCTTCCATAATGTTCTCAAAGACAGCCGAACCGAGTCTGAGGATAAGTTTATGTGCTGAGATTCTTTCTATTGCGTCCTTCCCCACGATAAGGGTAACATCCTTGTAGAAACTTTCATGTTCCAAAGCAAATAGCAGCTTATCTCGAATGCTTCTCCCTCGACATTGGTGTCGCCACTCCCTCCAGCGAGACAAACCCTGGGCTGGCGTTGGTGCATGGCTGACAGACATGGGGACAAGGGCAGTGGAGGAAGGTGGTCCTTCAGTTTCGCCACCATTCACTGGCACCATCAACGTTTGTAAGCACCTGAGGCGAATGTTGCCTCTGTGTCCTTCCGGGGAGTCCCCACCATCACCACGGAGAACGGTTTGCGTGGGGGAGGCAGGAGGACTAGAGGTCACCTCCTCTTTAATTATCACACCGTCAGATGAACCCTGTCGTTTCGGACTCTTTTGACCAAGATTCGTCGTGCAGTCGGTGTCTCCCATGTTAACAAATGTTTAATCAAAATGTAAATCACACAGAAAAGTCAGGTATTATTAAAGATAACTTGTTGTACATCATTTTGTATTTTTTTAAACCTAATTCTTGTATAGTAACCATTTTATTTGTTCATTTTAATATTAGTCTGGCAGTTAGTAATTTGCAGTTTTTGTTACATGATTTGTACAGGTAAATCTATGTTAAATTCTTGCTCATGCTTTGTGTTTACATGAAAAATGGATTTGTTTTTAAATGCACCAAAAAATAAATGTTAATACGTATTTTATATAATCACAATAGTGTCAAGAACTACTCCCGATTTTCGACAAAATCTTTCCCATCTACTTTAACACTGTACACAGATGATAGATTCTTCTTTATTCGGTTTGCTTTGGTAGGCTTTCGTGCCACTACTGAAATGTAACATGTTCTCAACCCAAAAGTTCAGTCAGTTCAGTCTGTTGCTTTCTAAGGTGAGGTTCGAAGAACTCACGTCCTCAGATTAGTTTTCAACTCCAGTCTGAAAAAAATAGTTTCTCTCGTACCAACCGGCCTAAGGATGCGTTTCCTCACAAGAGGCAAAAAAGTTAAATGTATGCCCAAGTATTAATTACTAAACGAATGATACCATTAATTAATATCTTGGGCTGTTGATTTATTACACATAGGGTAATACAAAAATAAGGGCTTAAATATAGAATGCAATGAATTTGTAGTCAACCTTTTTGGACTTTAGAACTACCAAAATTTTCAGACACCCTTACAACCTGAGCTACGATGTATCGATTTTCATGTAAACTCGACTTCGTCAAACCAAATGACTAAACAAACACACCGAACAAAAACTTCATTGACAATCCAATTGCCCATTAAACAATGTTGGCTCATCTCATTTGGTAGCAGTATATTTTGCTTTTATCTTCAATTTGAGTAATACTTTCCATTCCTCACCTCAGATATGGAAGTTTTTAGCATAATACGAGACGTACTTGTGCGTGTAAAGCATACGTAAAGTGAGAGAGAAACCTTGTGACACTTTTACTCTGCTTTTACTCTCCTCCTCCACGCTGTGGGAGACGGCCTTGAAGATACAACATTATGCAAATGTTTCAAAATTAAACAATGTATTCCACAATTCTTGGCTTTACATGTTATTTTATTAATGTAGTATATCAGTCTTACTAACGCTTAACATTTGACGATTTACACAAGTCACACCTTTCCTCGTCATACGAGGACGAATCGTCCATGAACCCGGAAGTAGCATTGCTTACTTTTCTCTTGGCCTTGGAGATCGTTGCGCATCCCTCCAACCTCAATTTCCTGAACAACTCGGACACTTGTGAAGAAGTTAGTATCGTGTCAGAGGAGGACTCTTGCTTTAATATAGAGCAAATTTGGTGAGGAATGCTCCCGTTCGCCCACCGTTCGGGATTATTTCCGTATTCGTGATTCTTATAGTCAGACCGAGGAGTGAAGGGACACCTCGTTTTTGTCACGGATTTAGGATCCTTTATGCATCTTGTGGCTTCAGATGGGAGTAAAAACCAGCGCAATGGTCTCAATTCCTCGGAAAATGCTTTGGTATCGTCACCAGTACTGCTGTGAGGACTGTCCACCTGTTCGGGACAGAAATAAGGATATAAAATCAATCATCCATCATTATTGTGTGTATAGTATTTACCAAATGTACAATTGACGCAACGTTCTCGGCATATTCTAAGCATTCAGAGTAACTTGGGTGATCGTCTTCGGATGTTTTGTCTATTAGTGAATCTTCACTGGGAAGATTGAATGAATGCAGTTTGTTTGCAATTACTTCCGTCTAGTAAAAGTGTATCAATTATAGTATAAAATTCTTGACCAACATATAAATGTACAGTATGCAAAGCATGTATTCAAAGTATGCAAAGCGGATGGTTATGAAATACCATTGAAATACTCACCCAGCACGGGCCTTCCGTGAATCGGAAGGTTCCATTTTCAATATTAAATGAGTAATAAGGCAAAAACTTGTAACCATGCTTGGCGACAAACTTTACAGCGTCGATTGTAAAATCTATATCTTCATCGGAGGCATGGAAGGGCAATGAAATACGAATGAATCCAGGTTTGAAAAGCATGTTAAATGTTTCAAGGTGTTGAGAGTCTGATTTTCTGGGTAATTTTGAGAATTGCATAATTATCAAAACTGGCCAAATTAGTAATTGACAATTACAATTACAATTACAAATTACAAATTAGTAATTGTAATTTGTAATTTCAATTACTTCATTCGAGAAATGTAATTGTAATTTGTAATTGAACTAAATGTAATTGGTAATTTGTAATTTGTAATTGCACCTTTCAACATGGTGTAATTGTAATTCAATTACTTCTTCAATTATAATTACTAAATCACCGTCTATCGTGATTAAAACAAACCAAAAATCCCTGTTTTTGTTAAATCGACTGTATTTCGCATGCGAAAAATTTCACTGTCTTTCATTTCCTGGATTAAAATAAACATTATTTCGCAGTCGCGAGTTTTTTTTATTACATTAGAATTAATTACTAGGGTGTATAACATATTGAGCCTTATGCATGAAAATAAGTAAATGCTACAAATTATGCAATTGAAGTTTAAGATAAATTACTAATTATAATTGAGATTTTGTTAATGATAATTCATCATTTAATGTTTAAACAATTTCAATACTTGTTCACTTTGAACAATATACATACATACTGATAAATGCTTTTACTTGCAAAATTTTCCTCGTAAATTATTTTTTCTAGGTGGAAATTTTGATGCAAAGGCATTTACGTTGTAAAAGTGAACAAGTATTGAAATTATTTGAGTATTAGATGATGAATTTTCATTTAAAAATCTCAAATGTAATTGTAATTTGTGATGTAATTCAATTACGTAATTTGTAATTTGTAATTGTAATTGAAGCAAATTTTTTAGAGAAGTAATTGTAATTTGTAGTTAGTAATTGAGTTATTTTGAGTAATTGTAATTTGTAATAACAATTGTTATTGAAATTACAATTACTAATTTGTAATTGTAATTGTCAATTACTAATTTGGCCAGGTCTGGTAATTTGTAATTTGAGTTCCAAGTAATTTGGCCAGTTCTGATAATTATTAATTTGAAACTTATTCCACATGCATTCAACTTTACCTTGGTTGAGGCAGGATTCTTTCATATTCCTTAGCTAGCTCTTCGTTTATTCCCAAGAGACTCTGTCCAAAAGGGCCAGCACTAGATGGGAATTTGCGATTGAGGATAAATTGTACACAATCTTAAATTACTATTATTTTTACTAAGTACCACATGCAACCTCCGCGACATTGTATTCCGAAAAGATCATTTAGTAAGCCAACGACAAAGTCGTGATGCAAGAACATTCCCTAAACATTGTCATTTAAAAGACAAGGTCAGTAATTTCCGTGCATAATAACGAGGTGGTGAAAGCTTGTGTATTACCGTTTGTAAATGTTGAATGAGCAGCGAAACAATGGGCAAGCGAGGCATTGAAGTATATCCCAGGATTTTTATTTCCGGAACTGCACTCCAAGCTTCAAGTACTTTTCTGCATTACAAAATAACCGAAATTATATGTATGAAATAATTTGTTATATGCCAAAATTACACTGCTAACCTCACAAAATTGTTTTCTCTTCTGACCACCAACGGTGTTCCTATATTATTCTTCAACTGGAGAACAAGACCTAGCCGAATTGACCCAATAATATTTGGTGTTCCAGCTTCTTCTTTTTCAAAGATTTCCTTTTTCCAAAGGTTTGATTTAATCAAATTGTGAAATCATGTAAGAGTTAGTTTTTCTACTACCCTTGCAAAATCTTACATGTAAATATTGGTGGTGAGTTTTTGTAACGAAAAGAACTGTGCCTCCCCCACCGCCACCGTCAGGCACCGGGTTCAAAAAAGCATACTTTTTCGCCATCAAAATTCCTGTATACCAAATGTATTATGTCACGACCCATGATTAGATCAGCCCATATCAATCATAAATTTAAACCAACCTGTCGTTTGTGGGCCTCCGGTGAACTTGTGTCCCGAAAAGAAAATTGCATCCTTCTTTGCAGCCTTGTTTAAATGTTCGTATCCTGTGTCAGGATTCATATCAATTGTTACATGTGGAGCCGCAGCTGAATAGTCCCAGACTGAAAATCCTCCATATTTATGCATCATAATTGTCACAGCAATGTCATCGGTCACAGCCCCTGTGACGTTGGATGCCGCTGAGAAAGCACCAATTACTATGCGATTTTGAAATACTTTGTCAGCTTCAAGTTTCTCCAACACTTTCTCCAAATGCTTAATGTCCAGTAAGCCATGCTCATCTTCCGGAATGACAATGACCTGCGAATCGCATAATTTATAATCATGTCGGTTTGTTCGTAACGATGAGCCAGAATGTATACCTTGTGAGCCACATTTCTCCAAGGAAGGATATTACTATGATGTTCAAATGGGCCCAGAATAACAACTGGGGATGGATCCCTCTCTTCAACAATGGCATGAACCAACTTATGAATTGCTCCTGTACTCCCTGATCCACAGAATATGACGACGTCATCGTCACACCCACCACAGGATTCTTTCACAATATTTCGAGCTTCTTCCCTGGTAAATAGTTCAAGGAAATGTTGAGCAATTGTATACACTAAGGATAAGTTGAATCATATTTCAAATCAATCAAGGTATCAGCTTAATTCTTAATACCGGTATTGAGAAACTTGCGAGGCACAAAATGATGTCGTACTGTGAGTATTTGCATATATTGGAAGAATATTTTGCATAACAAAGGTCTCCACGCTTTTCAAAGGTTTGCCACTGGCAGTTTGATCTAAATACAAACCTAGACAGGAAACCAATGCTAGTGTAAATATTCGTGCATGATATGTATCTCTGATTAGAAATACCTATTAGTTGGCATTACTTACATTTTCTGGGCCCAAATGGTCCTTGAAATACAAAGTCTTCTCCTATGATGTCTTTTTTCATGTCTTCGATAATCTGATGATTGGGAAATGTTAGCTCCAGTGACCCCATTGCTAAATATGCAAATAAGTTGGCACTTTCAAACCAAAATTACAGAGTTCCACAAGTAAAAAATATGAACAAAATGTAGGAATTAGTGCACTGTCTTAATTTGGCCACAAGATCACAACTGTGAGACTTGGAAAGTGCAGCACTTACTTTTATTTGTCTACAAAGATGCTTTTGATGACGTGCGAGCAAGCGAGTAGCTCATGATTTCTCATCCTCAGTGCTTGAATGGAGAAGATCCGTAACGGTTCTAACTTTAACGAGTCCACGTAAATTGAGATTAATTCAACTCGCATATTGAGAGCATGTTGGTAAACATGATATCAGCATGGCTATGGCTAACTAACAACTCATGGATGGCATTAATACTCCGACTTTTACATAAGTCATTCATTTATGTAATAACCTGGTTATTCAAGTTGCATACATACATATGCATTCTACAAGTTGCTCGACCCAATGTGACGTCAAGTTTGCCTCCGGCCAGATATTTGGACATGACAGTTTCGTCACGTAGACTTATTTGTTTATTTATTTTCACCTTTTCTCGTGGTACGTTTTATTGTGAGAAGCTGCAAAGGGTGATAAATATGTACGAAATGATCATGATGTAGAACAATCTTGAAATAAGCTCTTGAAGAATTTTTTTATAAATACTTTATTATTCATTCACTGACTCACATCACTACATATCAATTTCTCATCCATACATCATATTAGTTATTTCGCTTGTGCATATTTAATTTTCTGTGACAAGTGACATAAACATATTTTATCCTTGTGGAGAAATATCATTAAAACTCAAAGTACTGTCCGCTCAATTTTAATCCATGCTCTGTGCATCCAAATAGAAGGTATACATGTAAGTACACATCCGTAAAGTGTTATCTTGTTAATTGTAACATAACTCTCACCAACCAACCCAAAAAAAGCTCAAAACATTTATATCTGTACACTAAACAAAGAATTACGAAATTTGAAACTAGGAGATGAGAATTATATATTATTTGTAGGCCAATTTTTGCTTGGAGAATAACTCAACTCAATAAATTCCAAAATTCTTGCATATTTAATATGTACAATCTGACACGAGTTTGCGCTGCTCTTTGGCACTTTTAATTTTCATGCAACAGCATATACGACCGATATGTATATAACTGCTAGTCAGTAAAATGTATGTTCAGGAAATGTTGAATTGGTGTTTTTTCGAGAGTATATAAGTTCAATCTCATTTGATTCAAATGCTTCTTCTTCTTGACGCAGATAGAAAGTTGTGCTTAGATATTTCATAGCTACACAGCATTCATGGTGTTAAAGCATTCAAGTTTATAATGTGACAACTAGTGTAGACTTACTCGATTAATTATAATTATTGGACGGGATCAAGATGTATGTTTATGTATCTACGTAGATATTTATGTAATATTAATCTCAAATTGATTGACGAACTGGTTTATATTACTCTACTCACAGATCTACATAAAGCCCTACAGACTAAAAATGTTAGTACAGAAAAAAACATCTCAGAGAAGAAAAGAATTTGATTATCCGACATAAAGAAGACTCGTATCAAAATATTTAAATTGGTCGTGTGACCAATTTAAATTGGCCGAGTAAAGTTGGCTGGGAACATCCCCCTCTCCCCATTTTCCTTGATTCCCAACAGCCATCCTTCCTCCTGAAATAACAAATCAACAAGCACATTGTGAAAATAATTTCCCATTTAATAAATACTAATCTGGTTAAATAGTTCTTTCTGACCTGTTCCTCTGGCTCCTCGTACTCAATAACCCGAATAATTTCTCCAGCTTCAAACGACAATTCATCCACATCCTCCTTTTGGTACCGATACGTCGCCCTCACACGATACAGGACTCCTAAACCAAAGGAAGGCACGAAAATTCTATGAAACTTGCACACGTAACAGTAATAATATACATATAATGTGTTTCTTGATAAGAAACACTATCTGACATGATCAAAGATTTTAATATTTTTAATATGAAGCCAAGCAAAATTAATTCACACGCATACACTTTTTGTAAATCATTGTTGTCTGACCAATCGAACCTGGCAAGCTCACTATGTATAAAATAGTTTTCTTTTCAAGCAAATTTTTCATTCGTTCCATTTTTATGACAAGCGGTATTATTTTACGGTGTACGTTTATATAAATATTGTTTGGTTGGTGCTGAGCTTGTCGCAATATATTTTAGTAAATCTTACCAGGTTCTTTGGAATCACCTACACCAGGATTGTTTTTTTCCTTTGCTGGTGATTCCTCAGACAACTCTCCATTGGCATGCTTTTGACTTAAAATTCCATGCAAAGGTTTGTTAACGCCTCGAACGGGGGCTGTGGCTGTCAGATTCATCTCGTCATCGGATTCTACGCCAGTTTTACTCTTCTCAGTTGCTTTTCCTTTATTATTATCAATGGTGGCGTCCACAACTTTTACGTCCATTTTAAGCTTGTCCGAACCAGTGGTGTCAGAATTACAATCGTCAGCAGGTTTGTCGGTTTTCTTTAGAACGATAGTGTCATTGTTGTTTGCGTCCATGGTGGGAGCTGTAGCGTCAGGGGTCGAATTTTTATTCGTGTCAATGAGCTCGTCTTTCTCTACAACAACACTGTCTACATTGGGTTTGCAATTATCCGTCATTTTACCTGGTTCTGCATCGCTCAAGGGAGCGACGACAACGGGGGCGACGGAAGAAGCCTTCACGACTGTACTTTCTCCATCATCACTACCACTGCCCACTCCATTTATCATCTTATCACTCGTTTTATTATTCGTGTCTGCTGAGGGTGGTGATTGTTGGGTTGTTTCTAACTTGGGTTCATCTCCGTTCTCTGCGGACATGCCGTTTGTGTAGGGTGTTGAAGTGGTGGGTGTGGGTGGTGAATTTGTGGTGTGGGTTCCGTTACTTGTTACATGATTATTACTTCCCTCTGCCATTTTGTTAATTGTGGGGCTTAAGCTAGTGTTTTGTTCCCCATTTTGGTGTGTGGACATTTTTAGCGAAGTCGGTCTTGAAGGGGAAACTGGGCTGGATGGAGTGCTATTGTTACCGGCGGAGGATGATGCATTTCCACCTTTCTCTGCAACAAATTAGTTCACACCAATCAAAAACCCGTGCAATGTTATTAGTAAAAAAGACCTGTTTGTTTTAGAATGGTAGTATAAAGTTAGATGGAAGAAATTTAATTTATGATAACCCCGGTATACGTGTGATTTATATATATGTATTTTTTAAACTATCCAAACTATGAAATATGTATGAACAAGTCAATACGACGAACGATTGAGATACTAATGAGATACTCACAAAACAAATTGTGCAGGTTATGTGACACATTTGAAAAAATAGTGGAAATACTTGTTTTATCAATCAGAGAAATATTTTTGTTACAATCGATCAATCAATCATACAAATTAGTTGAAAATGTGAAATTATACGCAAAAAATCCTTGTTAATACGAACGTTTTTGTTTGTCAATTAATAAACCCATATCACACACTCAGCCAGTGAACAAGCTCAACAACCTGAATTGACAGAATATTTGATGTGGTTTGAAATGAACAGGTTAATAATTACCGTCTTTTGGAGAGTCTGGTCCACCAGTGTGATTCATAATGGCATTTGTAGGCACTTTGAAGTTAAGATCTCCTTTAGCACTTAGTCGCTCAACAATTCCTTCCATTTCAGTGAATACCTTTGGACATGACATGATTTATCAATAATTAATTTATTAAAAATGATTCATCAATGCAATCCCTTATGTATTTATATTTCCTTCCCGTTGTATGAACTACCTTGCTTGTTTCTGCGTGGAAGATATTTTCAGATGCGAATAAAGTGCTCATTGCGCTGACAAGGAAGACAATTCTGCTATTGTAAAGACTGGGTAGCTCTTCATGCAGTTCCATATTTAATACCTGATATATTGAACATTTGTAATAATTGACATGTTCCCGATCCGATATATTTATGCATGGATAATTTATAACTCACTTCATAAGTACGTTTAGCAGCTTCGAGGGCTTCAACAAAAAAAATAATTGTCAATTATTAAACTTATAAAACTTAAATCATAAAACATTCCCCAAACTGATCTTACCTTCTCGCTGCTTCCCCAACTTGGCTTCCGCTCTCCTGGGATTTCCTTGCAAAGCTTTGTATAAAAATAGTTGTGATGTTATTCATTTTGTCAAATAAGTACATTTCAAAATTTGGTAATTATTTACCTTGAAGTGCATGTCGCTCCCCATCGAAATCAATCAGTTTTCTTGACCTCTTTTTAATCTTGGCAGCAACCTCTGGAAACTGTCCCTAGTTTGAGGAGGACAAAAGTCCATTGTCCACTTAAATCATTGGCGAAACAAGCATCGCTCAAGCTACCGCTTTACCCAATTACACTACAGTTCCAATTTACAAGCGCAAATAGCCTTGCATTTTTCAATTTTTTTAACTATCTACTTTAATAAAATAATCCCAATTAGCAGAACAGGCATGAAATGATGGTAGAACTGAAGAATGCTACTTGTGTGATATTCATAAATGAAAGACGCAGACAGAGCAATAGTCGTAAAATAAAAACAAAAGTCTGTGAATATTCAATTTATCGAAAGGAAAAGTTAATGTTGAGCACTGAAAGCGAACCATGAAGCCAAAATAGTAACTCGATTATTAGTAATATCTAGTACGCAGTGGGTGAAGAAATTTTACGAAACCAATAAGGAAGGCTATCATAAAACTGCAATTAAAATGTATTTATGGAGATGAAAGTTATTTAATGTGAACCAGGATGAAATTGAATTACTGATGCGATCTCAGAAAAGTCAGGCTAGGACAGAACAAGCATTAATACAAAGACAGAACCGTTTTTAAAAGTTATTACGCATTACTCATTTCGACTCTGACTTGATAAAATTATAGCAACGATTGATTCAATTGTTTTAGAATTTACAGTTCTTGGATGCAGATCCAAAAACTTCATAGGCTTTAGCATAAAATAAAATAGTCCACAGAGCTAAAAAAGTCAAGTGTGTAGATACATACATAAGTACGTAAAATAAACCTGTCCTGAATGAATCTGAATGAAAACCTGTCCTTTCTCCCAACATATATATTTTCCCTGCATTTCATTCTTCGAGAACTGTACGCTATCCGACAACACCTGGCTACAGTTATCTTATGCAAATTTTACAAAGTTTCAAGAATAAATTATTTCCATGCTACATAAAATAAAAGTTATCTTATTTGTGCAAGCTTATTATTTTTTAGCAAAGGCCCATTTTTGGAAGATAGTTTTGTTTCTACATAGTTGCCCCATTATCTGCATAATACTTATGTATAGTCAGTCAGCCATAGTGGTCACTTCGTTCGATTGGTAAGGTGCTCGGCTATTTATTTGCATCAACAGACTCATGTATAGTCGTCTTGCCTAATATGGCCAAGTTTACATTGAAAATGGTTTTTGCAGGATTTGGACAGGAATTTGGAATAATTTAGCTTCTTGCTACGAACCAACGAAAGCTAACTAATGTCAGAAAAAGCTCCCCACGTCAAGTCAAATTTACAGCACTTATTCTTATTGACCAAGTGACTGAACATGTAGCATTTTAAAGAAATACAAGCCCCGACAGACGTGCACCAGTTAATAAGAATTTAATGAAGTCTATTGCTGTTCAAGTACGACAAGACGTTCATGTACCTGGTAAGTGTTCAGCGGGATAAGTACTTGTTCTGCCAGCCTGTGAGCAAAATCATTCCACAAGAGCTCCACGCTTTGGGCATTTACGGAGAGTAACTCTTTTCCTCCCCATTCCGGCTCGTAAACCTCGCCCACAGATTCCAATAGTGACCGACTTGCTGCGGCACAAGCTGCAATACAACATATTTAGCGTTTAAAAAACACAGTTATTGAAACACTGAATTAGCAGTGTCATGTACATATATTTGAGAAAGGAGTTCTCCTGGTGCAAGTAAGATTGACACTTTTATTATCACTAGGTCAATATTTTTCACACAAGCTCAAGGTTGAACGTGATTGTATTATTCTTTTAAAGGAAGCAATGACAATTAGCGAGAGAATAACTTTGAGGAAAGAATCGTGTACTTGCAAAACATGAATTGAACTTGGATTTGCTCATTCATTTCGTTTTTCAAATAAAAAGAGAAGCATATTAAAATATCTTATGCCTTATTGTGCATTATTATCTGTGCTCTTCTATAGTTGTGATGTACCTCTAATGCATCTAATGTAGTTGTTGAGCTCTTTTTGCAATCTTGTGGCCGCCCCTTGCTGCTTGTTGAAGTTGCCAATTTGTTCATCTAATATTTCATCTGCAGTCCTGTCCACTTTCCCCAAGTTTTGTAGTAACTGTAACGAAAGAAAAAAATTATACGGTGATAATGTAAGACAATTAGACAATGGATGGAAAATGGAAGGCATGTGTAAAGTCAGATTGCATGCAGATACACGTGGAATAGAGATATGTATGGACATGCATAGACACCGCAAATACTAATTTGCCTTTACGAGTATAAATGGGATTGCGGTGTACATTCCATTACGTAACTTCCTACATAGTTCTAGAAGAAACAGAAAATGCAACAGCCTCCTCAACGTACAAGTTTAAATTCTCATGAATTGCATGTAAACACTACGTTCAGCCGTGTGAAGGGATATTGGAAACACTGCGCTTCTATACATACATTAGTCTGGGCAAAAAATAGCTCGAAAAAACTGACGCAAGGAGTTGGCTTTAGAAAGACAGATGCCGGCCGGAAACTGTTGATGAAATGAACCAAAATCCGGGAGCTTCTTGACTATGACAAAATTACGTATGCATGGATGTACGACAATATCACAAGTTTCGTCGAATGGGAGACCACATAATTAAACATTCTTAAGTATAAAACCATGCACTGTGCACTGAATTACGAAATGCAGATTTTCGAAAATACCTATCTTGCATAACAAATGTGTAATCAATCGCAATGAAGAAATACACGAACGCTGATAGGAGTTTAAAAAATCTAATTCGCAATAAAAAAACTTTTAAATAGTAAAATAAAAAATGGACCAAATATTAATTTGTTGGCCATAGTAGATTGTTCTCTAATAGTGAAGTGACTTCACTGAAGTCAATGCTGACTGACTACGAGAAGAGTACATTTGTCATTGCGCAGTACATTCAATCTTTAAAATACGTCCCTTTTGTACGAATGTCAGATAATCCAGCTCTTCTAACCGGTTTTTTTGGATTTGGAAATTTGCCAAAATTAATTTTGGTCTGTTTATTACTTCGAACAGAACCATGTTCAATGTTTCAAAACCATGAAATCATAAATACAGCAAAATAATCAAACATATGCCAATACTTAAAATGCAGTTATTTATGAGTTTTAAGATTATTATTTTTTAAATCCAGTCCATTACATATTATGACGTGCAAAGTTATTTTGGGTTGTCCACAATTTCAAAGTGCCATCACGGCAGCTCAACTTATATGCATGCATATATTTACATAAATATGAATCTCGTGAAACTCCTGTTGTTTGTTGCAGCAAGATAAATAAGTATAATTTCAATTAAATCGTGATTTTAGAAATTATTATTTTTTATAATTATAGATTTATGTTTGATAAATATTTGAGGATCTTGAAATTTCAGCCAGTCTGTATCTTTTTCACCAGCTGTGAATGCAAATTAGAAACTGATAAAGTCAATAAACTACATGGAAAATTAATATTCAGAGTTGGCGTTGACGTCGTTTACTGATCACGGGACTATTAACCAAGTTCACCATATGCATCCACCATAAAATGCAGCACGTTTTACAGTTTAAATTTTAAATGGTAATTTAACTATTGTCAAGTCTGCTACTGCATAATTACAATTTATTTAGTTGGACGACTTGATACCAGAGAAAAACGCCCTCCTTCTGGGGTTTTCCTGCGTCCAAATTCCAAAAATTACTGAGACGAATGAACAAGTCGAAGACGATGCTTACTTTAGATTGCATTTTACTCTGTAATATGTAGATCAAACTAATTCACAATAATTTGTTAGCATCGAGTGCATGAATTATAAAAAAAGTTTCATGACGTATCGACAATTCATTCGACCGTGAGCATTTTAGCACACAGGCAAAGAAAGTATTGTTCGGGCGTTGGATTGGATTGCATTGAATTCTCAAGATTTATTCAATCCAAACAGACCTCGCTTTGAATTAAGTCATGACATTGGGAGATAAAGTATGAATAAATCCACGAGTCAACTTAACAATGAATTCACCAAACAAGAATCACTCTTCCTTTAAATGCTCTAAACTATAATTGCTGCACACTTATTACAATAAAAGTAGAACATGCATCTGCTCTGCTCCGTCATAATAGCACCGCTGAATGCAACCAGTGTATTTCGCACCTTAAACTATACCAATAAAAGCAATAAATGATAGCATTTGTGATTATTTGAGCCTTAATTAGTGCATTGATCGGCTGGCAGGAATTAGGGCAAATCCAGAATCATTCACAACTAATATAAATAACCCTACGGCTGAAAGAATGAAGATTTTGTTATCATAACGCTGTGAGTCATGTCCTTGGCACATCGTGGGTGACTTTTATTAGTAGCATGCTGACGAATGTTGACTGTCAAACAGAATATTAAAAAATACTAATTGCAATGATGAATGCGTTGTAATGTTTAAATACCTTTAAAATAATATTATTCTCTCTGTAATGAGTTTTGAACGGGTAGCGTGGATGGTATTTTAGAATAAATTGTATTGTTCCAATTAAGCTTTCAATAGCTAGATATCTCCTGAAGGGGACGATAAATGAAAATTATATCAAAGTCTGCTATTTTCTCTATTTGGCCGATTTTTAAGTGTGTGAATGCAACATCTTCATTTACTTTAATACCTTTCCATGTATGTTACGTAATAGTACACAGACTGATAAGTGAAACCCACAATAAGTGTATAACATCGGATCAGAAGTATGTGTGAAGAAACTAACAGGTTGCATTTACCAAAATTATGTGCTCCACTATGGCGTACATGCATTTGTATACAGCTGGTAAATATGTACATACATAGTTCACAGAAGCAACATTGTTCTCAAATGGCTTAAAAATATTTGCTCATCATACTGAATCTCGTCTTTCATGCGTAATATTTACGAGGGTAAAACTTGAGGTAGATATGAAGTAATCCTACACGGTCAGAACATACGTGGGTGCAAGGAGAAAAGGTTAAATACAGAAAAGTGGTTACGGTGATCCATTGTGGCCATGCCCTGCTAGAGCTTTAATTTTTTCTGCATTCGCAACCAAAGAGCCACACACATACATATGCAGAAGAGGAATTTTGCAATTTCCGTCCAATTAGATGCACAGAAGATTATTACGTAAGTTAACGTTCCGCATCTGCTTAAGCCTCATAATCATGACCAGAATTAAGATGCTCAACTAAATATCTGACCGACACAAGAAGAACCGCTTGGATCGTGCTCGCCTGCATCATTGCCTTTTGTCCTGTGTACGTATATGTACGTACATACATATATGTAGCCACAACGTTTAAAGATTGTAGGAACAATTATTTTTTGGCCAAGCAGTCATAATTATATTACAAGAGCATATGTTTGTAAAATACTAAAATATAATAATCAACATTTCATTTGAATTTGATGTTTATGTAACTTGTCTGTTGGTTACACGCAGCTATATTTTTGTATGCACATAAATGGTTGTCGAGTTTTTTGTGAAAGCAAACTACGTATGAATCTACACGTATCTTTTCATATGCTTTAGATCAAACGAACTTGTATGTACATATAATAAAAGTATGTAAATAACAATCCGATCAAGTTTCGTAGAGGATAGCCACACACGGTTTGCATTTATGCAAAGCTACTACCACCAAGGGTATATATACATGTATGTATATATTACTATATATACATGTATTTCCAGCTACAAGGAATCAACATATGCAAATATGATAAACCACAGAGCCCCGTAATCAGTCATTGCAGATTACAGTACAAATCAGAGGAAGCCTGTAGGTGTGATATGTTGTTTACTGGACACCGGAAGCTGAGATGATTACATCGAATGACCCCAAATTAGTAAATATTCATTGTTTTGTTTAATTTTCAACGAGCTTTTGTTTCGAGTTTTTTGCGGACGTGTCATCTATTTACTAGTAGCTAGCATGAAAATTTGGGCATATCCACCAAATCAGACTTTACAATCCACCAGTAAAAAATAAAGGACTTGTTAACTATATGACGACACCAAGCTTTGCTAAACAGGAAAACTAAACTTTATTGTCGTAATAATCATCCATGTCCTCCGTTAATTTTATCTAACAATTTTATTTTTGACGGATTCATAGTTGAATAAATGTACAAGTGGGCTGGAATACATAAATATGGATCTAGTTGAGTCATACTTTTTATTTGCTTAATCAAGTTAAACATGCACATAAAGCAGGTCAAAATACTGCGAAAAGTACAACAATTCATTCAGTACAACACCCACCAATGTTGGTTACTTTCAGGGCCATGATCGGTTTCTTATCTAAACTTCATCCGCCTCCACTTTCAAATTTCATTGTTTTTGAAACAAGTTTTTAGAGATTATAACGAAACGAATAGAAAGTCGTGCAGTGTTGACATTATTATGACAATGATTCAGCTGGCATCACAACCTTATCAAATGAGCTTTTATGTGCCCTTTGTTGAGACAAAAAAAATATAAATCAATCCAGAATTAAAAATTGCTTGATTATTCAGTGAAACTATTGATTCGTCTTCATGTATCGATTAGATTTTACAAATATAGTGAAAATATGCATGTCCAATTTGAATATTTGAATGCAGTTGCTAATGATCAGATTGCTGAGGAATTTATGCATGCAAAACGACACCACTAATAAAAATAAATACAAATATAGAGTGGAGCAAAGAGGTTAGAGATCTCGACTAGCAGAAATAAAGTGAAAGTTCATTTGTGTTGTCTATTGCACTTCGAATATAGGGTTGGCCGAATAACCTTTATTGGTCTCACAAGTCAAAATTGCTTACAAACCGCAACAAGACACACACACGCCAAAGTAACAAGGATGAATAATGGTAAAAAGGCCTTCGCGTCATTGCAAGGTATCAGCCTACATGCAAACCATGTTTATTAACGACACCCACACAGAGTCTGATGTATTTAAAAAGATTTGGGCTCGAGGTTGATGACGACGAAATTGGAAATCTAGCATCACCATTATACATATTTTTTTATCATGAGGCGACTACGGATATAAATACAATTATGGGGATGATAATTGCATCTGAAATTGTTATTGATGGTCATTGATCTCAAAACACCGCTGAGAAACCTTAAGATGCACACTATGAAAAATATGTATGTAAATGTACTAATTACACCAGAGCAGGTTTTCTATTCATGGAATAACACGAAAGAAAATGCCCATAATTATTTATCAACTAATAAATGGTAATAACATAAAATATTATTTTGATTACAATCGTCAATCTACTCGTAGCATTTATTTTACGACTGGTGAGAATTTCAAACCAAACAATTCTTAGAATGTGATATGTAGCTTCGGAAAAGGTGTATAAACCGATAAGTAAATACTTCAAACGTCATTCCTTTTCTGCGTTTTATTTTCTCGTGATGCAAAATTTGATACTAAATGCCAGGAGACAATCAAACTCAACAGCCGTGGAAAATGTCCATTGTCATGATTCATTCCATCTTCATTTGTCACTTGTCACTGCCAGTTCTCGACATGATTATTGTTCAAAATGAGCAATTTTTCTTCCCATGCTTGCATTTCTTTGCCAAATGTAAAGTCGATAGCACACTCGATAAGAATAGCGACCACTTTTGAATTTTTTTGCCCCTTCCATCCATCTCCTTGACTTGGATTAAATATATATCAACGGATCAGATAAGTATATGAGCTGGCTTGGCTTGGGTCGAGTTCTTTGTGCCATTAGAAAAAGTTGATGGAGAGCAAGGCAACAATTTGACTGAGCTACATTTCTCTCAATTAATAAAATAGCATGAATGAGTTGACATAATGACAGTGCAAGTATAACCAATCCTTTCTCTCTGCGCATTCTTCTTGATACGTACGTTCGTAGGTGATCAAAATCAAAAGAGCCATTAGTCCAACATGGTACAATGCATCTGTGAAAGATGGTCGGTTTGTGGATGTGCTTTAGTGTAGAGCATTGAACATTTCATTACCTAAATTCTCAACTAATTTCAATGTGCAGAAGGGACGACTTTAGCTATTAGTTAAGTATTATGTGTGTCATTTAATCTCCTTACCCACCTACCTACCTACAAACCTTAAATGCTGTTGAGCTGCATTCCAATGAAACCCTCATTTCAAAACGAATCGTCGTCGTATCAGCGTTGATTTGCCTGCCAAAGGGGCCCAGTGACCGAGTCACAAAAAGCGACGAAACAACACTTGAGGAAGACAATCCGGCCGGATTTCAACTTCACACTTAACCCAATACGTACCCACTCGGTGTTTGTGTGTGAGTGAACCACAACCAAATCGCCAATTCTTATTAGACAGATAACAACACAACCTTAAGCTAATGATGAGTGAATAAATAAAAGGATGAACGAGTGAAGATGAAGTTCTTATAAGTGAGCCAAACCAGTCAGATGCGTATTATTATTTTACAACCGATATGCATTATACGAATCGACTGATGTTGGTGTCCCGTTAGATGAACCTCAATTTCCTTTTTTCCACTGACCATCAACTTTTATCATCGCTCCACTCGCATCTGCATCATCTCAGCGTCTAAAAGGTTATCGTAGTCATGAACAGACAAACAATACTCGGACTTGAGGTAGATGAAGGCAGATTGAGATTATCAACATCAAACCTGTCTTTACATTGAGCATTTTAATTATCTAAGCGTTAAATATTTGCAATTTCAATTTCAAAACTGAATTCGTGAAGTTAGAAATACTGGCAGTGCTACTGTTTGACTGGCCCCCACACCACATATAAGGTTTACATGGTGTCAATTATTTATCACCCTCTAACCGTCGTCGCAAGCCGTCATGCCTGAGTAATTGTCAACATTAACTTTGACATTTTGCTCTCTGGCACGCAAACTCAACCCCAGCCTAATAAATATGTTTATAAGATGACCAACTTGTGTATATGTATGTGTGGGGGGTTTACTATTAGCTAGCAGTGGGTACCGCCATAATTTAACCATTTAATCTGTGAAAGTGGCATATGTCGCTTTGGCGACTTGTCCATAATTCGTGACAAAGGCATATGTCATCTCAAAAATCCGGTTCATAACCCGTGACGATGACATATGTTGCCACAGAAAACCTTATCTTAATTCGTGACGTAGACGTTTGTCGCTCTCAGGCAAATTCGCCATAATTCGTGACGTCGACATTTGTTTTTAGCCCGAACCAAGGCTTATGTAATTGTCATGTCCGTCCGTCCGTCTGTCTGTCTTTCGGTAACTCTGGAACGAGTTGGCCGATTGACTTGAAATTTTTACGAGATGCATATTGGACAAAGTTAGGAACCGAATTCGAAGATGGACAAAATCGGTCCACTGGTTGACCCGTAGGGGTCGTCTGGGTGGGTGGGGTATTATGCACCAAAATTTCGAAATTTTCGTAGAAAGCTGAAATTTGGTGCAGAGGTAGTAAATGGGTCCTAAAGGAAGAATATGAACTCAAATTGGTAAAATTTTCATATGGAAGGGTCCTATTGGGTGACCCATACTGATTTTTCAAAATCATCATATCATGCTGAAATTTGGCATTTAGTTTTCTTATGGCTCTTAATGGAAGAGTATACATTGGAATCTGAAAAATTTTCATCTGGAAGGACCCTAGGCTATGGGGTGACCCCACCAAGTTTCAGGAATTAACATGGAAAGCTGAAATTAAAACCAGAGATACTTACTGCCTTCTCATGAAATAATTTAGGAAGTTAAATATGAACAAAAATTGGCCAGAGGGACACTAGAGGGTGGTCCACACCGATTTCTAAAAATTTATATAATCAGCCAAAATTTAGTATGGAGTCAAAACATAACGTATCTCATGATAAAAATCTATTCAATTCCACGTCATATTCTTTCATTGCAGCAAATCATTATCAACTTTCATACAAATTTTGAATTTTCGTCACCCTTGACCCCCACCGGCCAACCACTTGACCGATCGAACCAGTCTTCGAACCCGAGTTGTGTATTTGGATGGTTTATATGTGTGGAAAATTTCAAGTCGATATAAAAAGAGTTAACGTGGGACCACAGAACTATACTATTATATCGCGTGGGACAGACGGACAACACTGGTACACAAGCCCTGGGTCGGGCTAAAAATTAAAAATTTTGCGAAAAAAGTTGTCACGGAGTACAATATTTGACTGGCATTTTTGGTTACGAATAATGATCCCTTAGAGATAAAGCTCCCTCACGAATTAAGGTAACTCTACTGTCGCCTGGTGACACGAATTATGGACATCGTAACTTTTACTTGTCCTCTTTAAATGGTTAACTTCACGAGTTAAGTGGTGGGTCTGATTAAAATTGTATGTGAGCAAATTCGACATACAACTTCTCCGAATGGAAATTTGGCAACAACAGGTTTTTATTCTGCATGCTATCTTGATTCAATAGTTAATCATTAAAATACCGAATTATCATTAAACGAGCATTCAACTTGTTGAATTGTCATTATTCGTCCCCAACTGTTTGTGCATACGTTTTGAATTTGATCAAGTTCAAGATTCAAAATAAAAACATTTTGCAAGATTGTTTCCAAGTCCATTTATACACAGGCGAATGATAGGAGGATGATTTAGGTGTAGGGATTTTTTGTGCGCACATTTCTCGTGACGTGAAAATACAAATGTTAAAATAGCGGAGAAAAAAGCTACTTGCAGTTGCATTCAAAATTTATAACAAGGAGCAACCTCGCGAACAACAATTATGATCGCGTCATGACTGTCATTCTTTACACTACGGTGCAAGCATTGCAGTCAGTTTTTAGGTTTCATTGTTTTGTGATCAAGTAAAGGAAATGGCACAAACGTCAAAATTGAACAATATCATCAAGGTGCATTCTAATAACAATGCACGACGTGCAACATTTAAATGTACTGACGTTGTACATAGTAAAATTGTGGTTTGTCAGTATACCACCTTAGTTTCAAATTCTCTATGTACGACTGCCTGGCAAAATATTTTGTTCTGTAAGTAATAATATTATTTGGTCTAAGGATCCCGTAAGAAAGCTGGAATTGAATTATGGATGCATATGCAATGCTATGCTTATTCAGATCCCATTCAGTTTTAGAGGTTAGACCGAATCCCTGACAATTCAATTGTGCGGATACGATGCCGGAATTCGCAAAACGCATGCTCAACTTTCAGGCTCGACGGTCCAGACATACTTAGTCTTGTAAAGCTTTTAGTTAGAATCGTCGCCTGGTTAAATAAACTTCAAAAAATAGATTCCGAGTCACAGCCAAGATGCAGATTTTCAGGTCGCGAATCGAGAATCCACTCATTGGGCGTGTGTATATGGAACACAGAGCAATGGCTTTTTGGTTTCAACATAGCCCATCTCTAGCAAAATGTGACCTGAGCAAACAAGTAAACCTTGCCAAAGACATTTTATTTTTATTCGTGCCAAGAAACCGTATGGAATTAAGGAAGCAGCAGCAGAGAAAATAAGTCCGGGTTGATGAGTTGACTCCGGCCTTTGTTCACTAACAAACTCATTTGCATGATTCTTGGCAAATTGTATAAATTAAAGTTACATGAAATTTATGAATATAAAATCAGAAAATCGCAAGTCTTTCCTAGTTTTGGTGAAATCTTAAACTTAAGCTAAATTGGTGGCCCATTATTTATTTTAATGGGTTGGGAAATAGTTTACGAGTCTACTAGTAGTGCGCTGTTGCTGGTGGAGAACCCACGTGCATAATAATTAAGGTCAAATCAATTTTGGTTTGGTATATATATGAATAAACCTTGGATTGCTTGAGCGAAATGTCAATTAATTTTATATGCAGTGCTAACTGAACTTTTTCGTTTTTGGAACTTGATGAAAGGCTACAGTAAATTAAAATCAGGACACAAATAACTGCTTAGGAAGAGAATCTCTTACCTTCTCTTTAGCCCGTCCGACAGACCTACATAGAATAATTTATGAATTGTTATTTAATCATGCTAACTCATAATCAATTTAGGTGACAGATACAAAAATGTACCTTTGGAAAGTTTTTCCAATTTTCGAGTCCACCATCGTGGTCATCCCGGATTGATCAACTTAATATTTGCGGAAATCACGGGAACTTTTTATTCGTCTTCGTTCTCAGCGAGTATAAAATCACGTTCCACAAAACCTTGGCTTATGTAACCACATAAACCCCAAACTGAAATTTCACAAGCTTCCAAAGTTAATCAGGCAAATTGATCGAAAGACTTAGGGGTTGAATTTTGCGATCTAAACGCTTAAAAGTAGGCTCCTTTTGAAAGTAGATCAAACAAACAGTGTAGCTTTATACGTAAACCAATGCAATGCGCATATGTCGATAATTTTATTAATGAGGTGAAACGAAGCAATGCAGTGTGGTGGCTAATTGCTGGGTAGCAGATCTACTAGCAAAGCTTCTAAGCTTTGTTGTTTTGTGTTTTGTTATTAACAAAAATCACGTAATGAGTTGAGACGAGGAAAAAGTATGATCTTCTGCAACTAGGCTGCCGAAGACTGAGCTAGTCACTCGTCTGCCAACAGGAATTACATTCAGAGCTCAAATCTAACCAACTTGTTTTTGGTGCATGTAATAAGTACGGACATACATTTGTGCAATGTACACGGTGCAGGTTATACCTTCACATACGTTCAAGTCTTTAAAGCTCTGGTAAAGTTGTGCAGTCTTTAACAAACTTGTAAACGGCAAACGAACCTCCCTCAGACCCCATCAGATCAACAGAAACGTACGTATGAACATATATACACATATAAAAAAATCATCCCATCTTCTTCCATCCCTGTTAACATTGCCAAGCCAGCTACGTTACCATTATGCAGAGCCTTGTATCCCAACAAACGTGTAATGATGAAGTTGGTGATGATGATGCTGGGTTTAACTTGGCAGAGGGACTTGCATTGGTGCTACTTTTTTATTAAACCTTTTTCATAACTCTGGCTGCTCACTTTGTTATGCTCATAGAAATAACATGCATGGATGGAAAAGGAAGGAAGAATGGATGGTGAATGAAGCATCTCCCACGTATTATTACGTATGCACGACCACTATCCTTTTAAGAGTCGCTCTTTGTATATTCTTCCTGCTGCCCGTGTAGTGTGGCCATAATAATAATGAGAGGCTCGTCGTCCCAACTTATGATTCCGAATGTGAACTAATGGGACAAAAGGGATGGACGAGCAGTGATGGAGGAAGTAGGTAATAATATTTATAATAAGTGTAGTATGAGGATAAACAGCTCAGAATCAGTAAAAAGGTTGGCATAATAACAATGACACTGGTGGTTCCATGACTAAAAGCAGCTAGATTAATAAGTCCTGCTGGATTTGATTCATATTTGTTGAAGGTCGTGTGTACAATGCACAATAATCCACTCCCTGCTAGGGCGAATCCAGACAAAGTCAAACGCGTCAAATTTTAACTGCCTTAAACGGATTTGGAGATGACATGCGACTGACGACAAGCTTATTAGTTTATGAATTTAGGTTTTTATTCATGACCAAACCCTACAATAGGTCGGCCAAAACGATGACATTGAGAATGGAACTACACATCACTTAAGAATGCATAAGTGTAATGTTGAAGGCCATTAGAACATGCTGGAACGTCGTTAAGTTGTTATTTCCAGTATAATGTTGCTAATTAGTAAACAAATAAATTGTCAAATTACCACTGCACAAGTTATTACACATTCTGCAGAGTTTAAAAAAAATCATGGAAAAAACGCTGGGACACAAAGACGTCTCGTCGGCTGTGAAGCGGGAATCGCTCTCTCTCTACTCGACTCTCATTCCTCGCACGTGTGTGATTTTGTGATCTGCAATTAATTTGCAAATGTTTTCGGCAATATTATTTTAATAGGTGACTATTTCGATTTTTAAGCTTGGACCACGATATACCCCGATTGACGACTTTTTAGGGTGACCGTGTTGGTATTTTTGTACATACATACGATGAAAATGGTAAAAATGTAAAGTGTATTTGTACATTCATTTAATTGCTGTCTATAATTAATAATTTCCTCATCAGGTTCCGGATTACCTATAATATGAGCGACCTCTGCTTACAGCTTGGAGCTACACATCATCAGTTTAAAGTTTGGTCATTTTAGAATATCTTTACTCATGGCGTTCAACGCTCAAATTCCCAACGACACTGGGGCAAAACACAGAAATTGGAAGGATCCCCACTTCCTCCGCGACTTACGAAACGTTGGCCTATCAGTGGCTGGACCTCGTTATGGCGTTATAGCACCGGACACCATGTATTCATATGCACAGAAAATAGGAAACGTCAATCCGTCCCTGTGCTTTCAAGCAGACGTTTTTTACCCAAATGCTATTGCGGATGTTTGTGCCAGTGTGGAGTCACTAAGAATTGATGACAATCATCAGGGTGGACAAGAGAAGGTCGTCCTATTAAGACCCCCGGGATGTAGAGGAAACCAAATACAACGAGACTTTCCCTTGGAGTCCAGAGTCCCTGTTGCCATCCCTCTCGTTCAGTATCCTTCCACAACGTCGGACAATTTCCTGGACCAGACGGATATTTGTGCAGTTCCAGTTTTGAATTGGGAAAAGTATATCGAAGCATTTAGAACAAGTTTACAGAACGTTAGAAAACGAGATAAGTAAGCAAATATTTTAATATTATCTGTACTTGGTGCTTCATAGAAGTGCAAATAAACTGGTTTATCTTCTCGTAGGGTCTCTCCAAGATTCAGACCTTTGACGAAAAGAGACCGGAAGGAGAAAAAACTGGTGAGATGGAGATCAAAATGTGCAAAACTTCCGAAATCAAGACAACCCAAATTCGAAGATGTGCCCACTTCCTCTGATGAGTCCGAAAATGACCTTATTACAAATTGCAATTACGGCGTCGAAGCACTTGAAGACGGCAATGCGCCATGTACCTCGGCTGCTGCCACTTCCACACAGGTTTATAAAAGATTCAAACCTACAAGAACCAAACCCAAGGCACTAACAATTGCCCAAGTGCGGGATAACTTATTTGAGAACATGTCTGAAGGTTCAGAGGACGATGACGAACACGACATCCTACTCAATAATCCTGTAAAGCTTGGATTTTTGCGACGTAAGAGAGCAAGCCAAGTTCCACATGCAAAACTTGGGAAATCTCAAGTGGCTGTCATAAAAAATATTCCAAAGTTGAGATTAGAAGCGACTTGGAATTATGTGTACGGAGGCGCTTCTGGTTCATGCTGTTCCATAACGAGGGGTGATAATAGAGTAGTATTTGTGGGAAACCATTCACAAGTTCGTAAGTAAATTCGAAAGACTTTATAAGCACTTATTGACTTGAGATTAGTTGAGTGAGAGAGGTATGTGGTGCTGATTTTTTTCACGTTCACCATTACAGGCCAGATTGTCTTGGAGAAATCACAACGGTCTTCAATGTTATCGTATCGAGTTCAATCTGTATGGGAAGAGGATATTTCAAGTGTACCTGTTGCTGCACAAGGAAGTGACATTAGCGACCCATTGAGTAACATTGTTCATCAAATTTTGTCACCCGCTGGAACGTTTGATTTGCTTGGGGTCAGACGTGGCAAAACAATTGATATTTATAGTACCAAAGAGGATACTCCATATTTATTGGATTCTATTCCAAACATATCTTACGGAATCAATAAAACCTTTAGCAAAGGGTATGTTCCGGATCCATTGCTTTTGGGGATGGATTTTAATCCAATGTATTCAGCAGAATTTATAACCATAGATGAGAATTTAGAACTGAGGATATGCGACCTTACCAAAGAGTACGCACATACTTGCATTATGATAATTATGCTGTTGTTATATAATGTGCGTATTTTGATATTGATTTCCATAATTTCAGGACTACTGTGAAGATTTTTAACTTGAACAAATCGACACGCCGATCCCCAAAATTCTTTGAATATCCCAAATTCCAATATGTCAATAACGCGTCGGGCGTTCAGTTTGGGCACCACAGTCACATGTTTTATGGATGGACAGATTCGGAAGTATTCATAGGAGATCGAAGAACCACCTTTAAATCCAGAGCTCCACTGATTCAGATATTCGATCTGAGAAGGGCGAAAAGTTCTCTGGCCTGGTCGGATCAAATATTCTTTAATGAATCCAAGATTATGTTGAACGAATATATGTCCTCGCTAAAAATGAGCAGTAAGGAGAACTATTACTATGTCGGCACAACTGCCAGAGTATTCTTGATGGACGTCAGAGTACCAGGCCAGCCGGTCTTAAAATTTGAACATGGAATGCAATCGGCTGCATATTTGGATACTTTTATGGTATTACCCTTTATACACTTGTTGATGCTTTGGTGACAGAGCTACATATTTGATGCTAAGTGATTTTTTACATGTGCTTCTTTTAATTTTTTCTGTTATTTTAGGACGGGTCTTTTGAGATGGTCGTAGCTGGCAGTCAACGTTTGGGAACCACAATATGTGGCATCACTGATCATGCCCATGTGAAGTGCTTCGATAGACCGAAATGTACAGCAGCCAATCCAGTTTTGCATTGCCTTCCTCGACACTTATCCAACTCTAGTGAGTTTTTCGACACTGTCGGCTCCATTGGGTCAGATTTTTCATGGGAAGCAGAGCATCAAAGAGCAAAGGCGCACAATTACTCATGGACAAGTGGTCTTGTAGTAACAAAAGGTGGTCGTAATAAGCAGGATCCACATGATCCTAGTGGTGTGTTGGTGTTCACGTCAAACGTGTATGGCGATCTATTTTGTCAGGTATAATTAATACTTTTATAATCAAATCACTGTGATTAGATGAAGTACATTTCAAATTTTTTATTTTAAATGTTTGCAGGAATTGGAGCAACCCCCTATAGATCAACACAGAAAAGTTCAAGTATCCGACTCTAAATTTGTAGAGTTTGCGAAAAGTTGGCAGGCATCAATGGAAGCACGTTCAAAATCAGAATTTCTGAAACCCAGTTTAAATGCATATAGGCGAACTGATTACTCATTACTAATGGAACCCAGTGCTCGAGGTGTGCAAAAAATGACCACTGTTCGCCAGGAGCCGTTCGATAGCAAAAAACCTGATGAATTTATCCACAAGTTGTTAACGGAAGAAAATGAAATCACTTTCCAGGAACAAATTGATCAACTTCGTAGATATAAGTCAGACATTGCTCAAAGATGTCTTGATTTCTGGGAATATGAGAGCAGTGGAGATGACAACGAAGAGGAACAACTTGTGCTCAAACAAGAACGACATGATGCTGAATTTAATTTGCTATATGGAAATGAGTTGAGTGAAGATGGAACTCGTGATGTAGAATTTTTAGAGAACCGTCAAAAAAAGCTTGAAGTGATTGATTGTGATTCTTTAAAAAGGAAGACAAGTGAGCAGCCGCTGTCTTCACTCACTGCTACAAAACATAAAAAACAGCGAAATAAATCCATATCATCTTCAAGCTCTAATGGATCAAAGAACAAAACGAACCTTGACGAGGACAATAATGACTTAGAAATTGACGATGAACCTCCATCGGCTGAAAATAACGACTCTGTTGACCAGCTTAACAATGCTACCCATACTTGTGACGCAGGCGATTCCCTATTTTCTCAGTATTTATCTCAACCAGTTGCGGAATCAAGTTATGAATTTTACCAACCTTTGAATCCCTCACAGACAATGGATGAATGTGAAGAAATGGAGCCTCATTTCCCACAAAATATTGTCCCCGAGGATGATGTACCTTCATTTCCGCAACAGAAAAATCAAGCTGCCAGCAAGAGTAAAAAACATGGATTTTAATTATTCTGTTAGAATGAATAATTATTGTACAAATTAAACGAATTGTGATATTGTTGAGTCTCATTCTTCACGGGGTATAAATTTTAATGTTTTTAAAAATATTTTATACTTGTATACAACTTTTGGTTTTACTGGCTGGATAATATATATAACTCTAAAATCTACAAAAATGTGTAACGTACCGCAATGTAAGTTTGTTTTTTGATTGATTCACATAAAAGCACAGCAAAGAATCAAGAAAATGATTGATACTGGAAATATGAAATAGACGCCTAATCTGGGGCGACAGCTTGAAATCAAAATCATCTGCGCCAAGGCATCTTCATCTGACACACCATCTTGGAGAGGAACCTCAAGCAAAACTTTTTCACTCGATAAAAAATTCAGGGGAAATGAACAGTGGGTAGTATTTTTACATGAATGGGTATAATTTGGGAAATTGTACACCACTTTCTCAATGGTAAATCGAGCAAAGATGTCGTTCTTGATGATGTCATTATCAGAGAAAAAGATGTAATAAAAATAGCCCGTTGCAGTCACTTCATGCACGGTTCGCATTCTGATGGCATGCTTCATCATGTTATCTTGACTGACACATCTGCTGGAGGCACTGAAACTTTGAGTAAATAACGTATCCCCCCCGTAGCAACTCCACAAATTCTTTGCAAAAGAACTTCCAGAAGAACGAATGTCCTCTTCGTCAATGGTCTCGTCATCTCTTCGTCCACCAGCAGTGTCCAAGTCCATCTCATCCGCTTCAACGCCCACAGGATTCGGTGGCATGTCCTCGTCCTCTTCCTCATTCTCCAAATTATCATCGTCATGCTCATCATATGTAACATAGTCATGCGTGTCAAATAAGGTGTCGTCTTCTGTGTACCTTTTTGATCTATTTGTTTCAGTATCGTTGGAAAAAACAATGCTTGGAGTAATCGTCGTTGAAGTCGACGACGTCGTAAATAGCATTTCTGTTCTATTCCCCCTCGGCCTATGACGATGCCGGTTAACTTTCATACTTTCATGGGCCGTTTGCACCCCTTTCTGCTGTGTTTTGTCTTTAGTTTTTCGGTTTGTCTTATAGACGCGCTTTCCTTTGCCTTTCGATGTACCATTGTTATCTCTATCTCGAGGATCTTCGTATTGACCGTCTTGATTTTGAACAATGTCATGCTCTCCTTGTTGAAATGTTACCTTTAAAGGGTGAAAAAATTGATAAAATTGTCTTATTTAGATTATTTTATAGTTTCAGCTTATATTCATTTGTTTGCACTTACTTTAATTTCTCCACCTTGCGCAGATACGTCGTCCTCCCATGGGTCGACTTGGTCTGGATTTGGAGATGGGTCCAGCAATGCACAATGTTTTAAATTCTTTGTGCCTTTTACGACCATAAGACGAGCCCCATCGTATCTTTAACATATTTTTGTACCATATTAATATTGGAATCCTATCTATTAAATGCATGTACATGTGGTATACCGTGAACAAACTGATAAAATTACTTTGGACCCTTGAAGTAGAAAGAAGCCCCAATACTCCAACGAATCATCAGCCAATTGTAACTGTTCACATGCCTGAATTAAATAATTTACTTTGAAACCTCGATAGGAACAAATGAACGCACGTGCTTGTCCATCTCAAATAGTTGCAGGTCTTCAGAAATCTCGGGTTGTTCATCCAATAGGTATGCATGAAAAGTGGCGTTCATCCACAAGTCGTGGCCCTCACACCAAAATGTAGAAATCGGCTTCTCTACCATGATCAGGTCAGACTCGCCCAAATTGTAAATGACATCCTTAAAAACATTGTATCTAAATGTAGAATTTGAGAAAAGATAATGTAAATTTAGTCGTCTTTCGATACTATTATTTCATCTATTACCTTATGTACAATGGAGCAATTAGGAGGCAACAAGGAAGTATAATAGTGACCAAACAGAAGACAATGACGCGAATTGGCCCAGTAAATCTAGCATGTCCGCCTGAAAATATAAATATGTAAACATGAATCAAAGTTAATTTTTCTGATAACTTGACAGGTTATACATATACTGTATTTGGCTGAACCTTGCATTTTCTAGGCAAGCAAGCTTGATGCAAATTAATTATTTATGATTCATTCAAAGAAACAAAGTGTAAAAAATAAATGTCTCAAATTCCTAAATTGAAGATGCTACTTAAGAAACCCGACCCAATAATAAACTTTTCATTTTTCTACGTAAATACATATTATTATCTTGATCTTATTCAAATCACTGAGGTTGTGAAACTAATGCTAATTCCAGGACTAATGGAAACACGGTTTTTCACAGATTTTCCTTTCTTATCGTCTTTTTAATGACGAGGAATAATACATAATAGCATTTTAGTAATCGGGGAGATTCAGGCTTTATTAACAATAGGGACTTACCACCAAGGTCTGAGATGGATTGATATCGGTAGTACGATGTCACAGATCGGTTTTCGGATCGCTTTCCTCTCATATTTAGAAAATATAAGAATATCAGAAATAGTTCTTTTCAGACAAAAAAAAGTTTTATTACTTTAAAGAGCGAGTTTAAAAAGTTCACATTACAACAAACAAACGTACGTGCAGTGATAATGCTGGGTGTCTGGTTGCGTAATTATTGCTTGTCACACACGCCTCAGCACCATTGGTTTTCCTGGTGTCACTAATCGATTATGTAAACCAAAAAGACAAAAACCAAGATAGCATTTAAGCATGGAGTCAAAGAAGGGTTCCAGGTGAATATTAATTGCGAGTTATCTCTGGTCTACAATTTTACGCTTATTCATTTGGTTGTGAAGTATAATCAACAGTATTCCATTTGCCAATGAATTGTTTTCCAGTCATGAATAGCAAATAAATTTAAAGATAAAATGCATGGGCATACTTATTCTCGGATTGAACTGTGCATTCAAATTAACGTCTTGAGGATTTCAGTAACAGCAGTGACAAAAAATAACCAAAAAGTTCTTTGATCTGATATTGTCCTCATTTTATACTTATTTTTATTTTCTAAGCAATATGGAAAACGAAAGCATACGCAATTGCAAAATTAGTTCTACTTCCTCTCTGAATTTATTTAAACACGATCAGTAAAAATACGGTTATATTTCTTCTGATGATTCAACCACCCCGACGAAAACAGTTACAATAACATAAGAAACAAACAAAAATAGTCATCACACTTGCTAACAATATCCAACTGCTACTAGACTTTGTTTTCAATATAATATTATCTAATTGACCAAAGGACATGACTTGCAGCTTTTTATTATAAATTCTAACCTTAAATGTATATAAGAAATATGTAATGAACAATATTCATTAAATATTATCATGGAAAATTTAAAACTGTGTTGTCTCGTTCATTCGTACAAATGTAGAATTAATAATTATTGTAAAGCTTATCCGTTCTTGTTTTCGCGTTTTTCTTTATCTTCTGCACTTTCCGAAGATGAAGATGAGTCTTGATTTGTAGATTCATTGCTACCACCACCACTGCTGCTACCTTCACGATCCGCAGCCATCTGAAACAATATTATTATGATTTATTTTATGCATTCTCGAATACAATAACTTTGTAATCTTTAGCATACCTTCTTGTACGCCATTTCAAAAACTTTAAGAGAAGCTTGTTGCAAGTTGTTTGTGGCTGTTCGAATCTCTTCAGCAGAAAGTTCGTCCTTCTTGGCTAAGGCTTCACGCGTTTTTGTAATAAGATCTTTAATTTTTGTGGCTTCTTCAGCTGGTAATTGACTTTCGTATTCAACAATCTTGGTTTCTACATCATGAACAATCCCTTCAGCTTGATTGGCTGCTTCAACTCGTTCTTTCTTAACTTTGTCTTCGTCGGCGAATTTTTCAGCATTCCTAACCATATTTTCAATTTCATCTTTGCTAAGACCACCAGACGACTGGATAACAACTATAATAACACAGAAACTTCATATAGTACCCTTAAAATTCGTCCACAAACCATTGATATCAATAAATAATTACTTTGCTGTTCTTTTCCGGTTCCCTTATCGCGAGCACTGACATGCACAATTCCGTTGGCATCAATGTCAAAAGTAACCTCTACTTGGGGAACCCCACGTGGAGCCGGTGGTATTCCAATGAGAGAAAACTGTCCCAAAAGCTTGTTATCCAAAGCCATTTCTCGTTCACCTTGGTGCACTTTAATTTCAACTTGTGTTTGTCCGTCAGCAGCTGTAGAAAATACCTGCAATTTAAATTACATCAAATTAGTATACAGCAATTAGCTTTCTGGATCTCTGGAAGTCAAGATCGTCTTAGTTTTAACCAACCTGACTCTTTTTGGTGGGGATTGTTGTATTTCTGTTGATTAATTTAGTAAACACGCCACCGAGGGTCTCAATTCCCAATGACAATGGAGTAACATCAAGGAGAAGAACGTCGGTTACATTTCCAGCCAGTACTCCGCCTTGGATAGCTGCTCCAATAGCTGCATTATTATAGAATAAACCATATTATTAGAGTATGCTACACTACACGAGATGGAGCAATTCATAAATATATATATAGAGTGTTCAATTTTCGGTGATAGTAGTCAAATTTTGCAACCTACAAACCTACTAATATTAAATGGTAATAATGATGGCTTACCGACTGCTTCGTCAGGGTTGACAGCTTTGGACGGAGCCCTGCCAAAAAGGTCTTGAACAGTTTGTTGGACTTTGGGCATACGGCTCATTCCTCCGACAAGAATGACTTCACCAATGTCTGTTTTCTTTACTTCAGCATCTTGAAGTGCCTTTTGACAAGGTCCTACCGTTCGCTTGATTAAGTCTGCAACTAGCGATTCAAACTTTGCCCTAGTAAGCTACATAGAAAAATAAATAATCAAAGAATTAATTTTAATTTAAGGCATTTCAAGTAATTCCTAACTTATTGAATGATACAAATTGACTAGTACCTTTGTGTTCATGTGCTTTGGGCCAGATGCGTCCATCGTAACGTATGGCAAGTTGATGTCAGTTTGCAAAGAAGATGATAATTCAATTTTTGCCTTTTCTGCAGCTTCTTTCAAGCGCTGCATCGCCATTGGGTCCTTCTTTAGGTCAACTCCTTGCTCTTTTTGGAATTCTTGAGCCAAATACGTCACCAGAAGATTATCAAAATCTTCGCCGCCGAGGAATGTGTCTCCGTTGGTAGATTTGACTTCAAACACTCCCTTCTGAATCTCCAGAATCGAAACATCAAAAGTTCCACCACCCAAGTCGTACACAGCAATTCTGCATTAGAGTCAGGGTTTAGAAATACAGCCAGTTCCTCATTATGTATACTTCTAAACACTTACATTTTGTCATCGGTTTTGTCCATGCCGTAAGCCAAAGCTGCAGCTGTAGGCTCGTTAATCACTCGCAACACATTTAAACCAGATATCTGTCCAGCATCCTTTGTCGCCTGTAGGATAATAATAATGTCGTCAGTGACGTCCCTCACTTACAAGAAGAATAATACTATAAAATCCAATGTCAATCGAATAAAAACGTCACCTGTCGCTGCGAGTCATTGAAATAAGCTGGAACAGTCACCACAGCATTCTTAATCGGGGTTCCAAGATAAGCTTCTGCCGTTTCCTTCATTTTAACCAATGTGAAGGCTCCAATTTGACTCGGAGAGTACAATTTTCCATCCCCAGCTTGCACCCAAGCATCACCATTGGAGGCTTTGACAATTTTATATGACGCTGTTTTCCTAAAGAAGCAAGAAATGTTAAGTTAAAAAACCAAGCCTGATATTCGTAAATAACTATAGTACTCCGCAAACTTACATGTCCTTTTTAACTTCAGCATCGTCAAATCTTCGTCCAATTAAACGTTTAGTCGCGTAAAATGTGTTGGGAGCATTTGTTACTGCTTGCCGTTTTGCAGGCATTCCAACGAGTCGTTCCCCATCTAGAAATTACGAAAGCAATGAATAATAAGAATTACATCACTAATCAAACCTTCTTATTTACTATTCAAAACACTTGATAATAGCTGATAGCTAAAACTTTCGAGCATGGTTCTTGTGGTTAATTACCTTTAGTGAAAGCAACCACAGAGGGTGTGGTCCTAGCTCCCTCCGCATTTTCAATAACCTTGGCTGTCTTCCCCTCCATCACTGCCACACAGGAATTGGTTGTTCCCAAATCAATCCCAATTACAGGCCCTCTGACCTGCTCAGATCTATAAAAAAATACACATTTAGACTGATATTTCATCACTATTATAAAATTGTAATTTGCAAGCTTAAATCGAGGATTTAAAGTTATTTAGATTATATACTTGTTTCTAACAAAGGGCGCATCAAAACGTCGGAGTCCATGTCGTAGCTATACAATTAAAAATTTGAATATTAAACTAATGTCAGGTAACTCAAGATCAAAGATTTGTTTAAATTACTACCTGGCTATTGAGGGCCCAAACGTGATTATTCCTACAAGAACCAACGCCAGCGACGAGGTTACGGTCCAAGACCACCCTTGACATTCCACTCAAAAGGTTCCTCATTTTTGTTTAATTATTAATTTTTTTCCGATAAGATGAAGAAAAATTTAAAATTACACGACCGACGAGACCACGATCTGAATGATGAGAGAAATGGACGAGAAGACTCGATGAGGCAACGTGATTCTCGGCTGGACGGGGTAGGGCCGTACACCGAGTGGACCTTTTTAATATAAGTGGCAAAATTTATAGTATAAATTAATTATCCACACTCTACTTACTTTTAATATTACAAAGTTTTTTCTTATATTTATTATCAATTTGTACTAATCATTGTCATCTTTCTGGCAAACATGTCACCTTACGGCACTTGAAGCGAATGATGAAATTTAGCTGGATTTTGGGCGAACCTTCTCCTAACCGGTGTCGCGTGGTGTAAAATAAGAAGATATGGTATTCATTTCGGTATCTGGGGTGGGATGAGACAAGTACGTTTCGTTCATCACGCAGCACTTTCTTCACCCTTTGCATAAATGATTTTTCGGTAATACGGATGCAAAATATTTCAAAATAAATATAAAGTCCGAAACGAGTATGATGACTCGCCTAGGATAACACAATTCAATTTTATGCTGAAATTTACTATTCAACAATTAATTTGACAACATTTCAGAGAAATATGAGGATGAGAAGAAGAAAGTAAGGAACGTGATTCTGATTTTAATCCTGAGACGGCTGAGACGACGAGAGAGAAGTTTGAGAGCATTGAGTAAAAGTCGCAACCGCTTTTGAGAAAGCATTTGTGTAGAGAAAGAAACTCATATTTCGGAGAAAGTTTGGAATTTTTGGATACATTGACTAAATACTTATTACATGAATTCGACCTCATTAATAACACAAGACACAATAGGAATCTCGAGCATTAGAACTTTCTGTGTCTCACAATAATTATTATCAGTCTCTTTGCTTGGAAATTCCAAGTTGGAATAGTCAGAATATAATAGTCCGGCAATCTAGTAAAATGATATTTAATGAAACTATACTTTTCATTGTCTCCATGATCCTTACCGGCGTTCTTCTTTTCTTATTTGTCTACTATGTAAGCCCTTCTTCATACATTTTTGCATATCATATACAATTGAGGACTTCACAAGATCATGTTGTATATAAAATTTTATTTTAAAGATTATTACCCTGTCTGATCTGGAGTGCGACTATATTAATGCTCAACAATGCTGTCACCGACTGAATATGGTAATTGAAAAAGTTAAACGGTTTCTCGGGTCTTCGCAATTATATTATAAACTCAATTTGTGGTTAAAGTGGAACATCCCAGCCGTAGTTGGACAAGGAATTGTGACCGTGTGCTTTCTCCTGCATGGATGGTTCCTTCTCTTCACTTTAAACCTTCCTATGGCTTCCTGGTCAAGTTATCAGTAAGTTGCATAGCATATGCAAGAAATGACAACGAGAAAATGTTTGTAATAATGATGGATGGTGAAAATATGTAGGGTGCTCAAAATTCCATCAGGAAATCTTGGATTGTACGATCCGATGGAAATACATAACAGAGGTCAACTTAAGGTATGAATCATATCATAGATAACCCGATGTATTTATTACGAAGAATCTTTTTCCACCAGAACCACATGAGGGACGTTTTGATCAAAATGGCATTTCACCTTGTTGCTTTTTTTGTTTATTTATACTGGTAATTAAAAATTTTAAGACTTATGGGAAAGGCGAGATTGTTTACTTTAATTCGGATTATCTTATTTCAGTATGATCGTGTCCATGTTGAAGACTGACCCAATCCCTGGATCTCAACCGTCTGGAGAGTTTGACGAGTTTTAAGTCCTATTGGATTATATTTATTTGTTGTGTCAAGTACATAGCACGGCGTACTCAATTTCTCTAGTCTTTTCCTAGTCTCAAGACGTAGCGTACGAATTTTTTCTAGCATAAAAGTCATTACATAGAAATATTTTTAAGTTTGATGGATTATCATGTTATTTAAAAATGCACGGATGACAAAGAGGATCCAGCATAACATTGTGAAATCACAGATGCCATGCAATGCATTAACAGTATTTATAAATCTCAATGTGTACCATGTAGTTTAACGTCATATAATTGTTACACACAGACTTTTAGTCGTCTCGATTATTTATACATAAGTGATCTCACTGATTTTTGTACAAGTTTCTACGAATAGTAAATGACGTATGTAAGTTAAGTAGATAGAAGATTAAATATTTATCATTTCAATGATTTTGGGTTTTGAATTTGCAGTTATTTGTTTGGTTACGTTCACCGTTATAACTTTCACATCCTCCATATGGCGTCGGTCAGCTTCAGTGTGTCTTTTCAGTTGCTTTCCTGGTGACACTTTTGTGAACCCACTCTCTATTTCAAATTTATTATTTAATAAATTGTATATCTAAACTATGTAATATCACTATAATAAAATAGAGATGTTTACCTATTTGTGGGAGATAAATCACCAATAATAGGACTACTAAAATAATTCCATAAGTCAAACAGCTTCCCATGATTCTGCTTTAAACTAGTTTGATGACGATAATGCTACGCTTAACGAACTGCTATACCTACTTGTAGATCGTATATTTCTAAATCAATCAAGTTTGCAGTAGAGCTTGCATATAATATTTGCAAATTCAGTTTATAAATTGTGGATATTCTGTCAAGAGTTTTATTAATAATGCTTGTTTTGATTTTGTATTGTTGACATTTGCTTTTTTGGCGTGGTCCCGCAATTAATAATTAATTTTGTTAATTTTTAATTAATTTTTTATATTCATATATTAACGACCAGTTGTGATGCTGGTGAATTTCAGGCTACATATTAACTTACCCAGGTTGGTAATTGGTCGTATTATTGATTCATATTTTCATATATTAACGAGTTTAAGCAATGACGCAAACAGCGGTATCTCGCATATAAAATTATTAATAGTTTATGTGCAGATTTATTAAAATGTATGATTCATTCAACAGTACAACTATTATTTTCGTTTTAAGATCAATTCTACCCAAACAACGGATGCATGCAGTGTATCAATATGATATTATTCATTGAATTAAGACGCTCATTTCCGGTTGCATTTGCTAGCTGTACAATAATACATATGAAATATACCATATGCATGACTCGAATGAGTAAAGGATTCCATGTTGACTATATTACCGATAAAATTACTGAATGACTTTAATGAAAAATCTGATCAGTCGTAATTTTTCGTCCTGAAATCATTGTTAGGGAAAAGTTTGTAGAACAAAATGCATTTTTCTAACTCTGCGGAAACAAATTATAGAAGAAGATTGAGAAGTAGAAATGGAGAAAGTAGCTCCGCAGAAGGGCAGACGAACTTTTCTTCCTATTTCGTATGGATTATCGTCCTATTGATTGCCCTTCTTTTTATATCCATTGGAATTTCTGTTGTGGCATGGAACGAACTGAAAAATTTGAAAACCGATTTGGAAGCTCACAGCTTAGCGTTGACTGAGAAATTTGAACTCGTTGCTGATAATGCTACCTCGTTAGTTGATGACCGCATGGACCAACTCGAACTTGCAATGACCGACCTCAAGAGTAAATGTAGCATAATAAACTATCAAATATTATGGTAACTTAAAACAGAGATTTTTAATTAATTAGTGAAATCAATTAATTTGCTAATTAATTACCAATTTTCAACTAATTAACAATTATAAATTAGTTTTAATTACCTTACCAGAGTAATTAAACTGAGTCAATTATAATTAATTATTTTCGTGATATTTTAACCAATTAATTAATTAACTAATTAATTACTTAATTTTTGAGATTTATGTGGTTTGCGCTGTTTCGTTTTCCCAGGTAATGTGGGATTTTTTTTAAATCTGGCAACTCTCCTATTCTACATGACTTATTTTCAAGCCCTCATAATTAAATTTCATGCCATAATTTCATCTTTGTTACAATAAATAACTACATACATACTGTAAAGTATCTTTCAAGTGCCAATAATGGAAGACGATATTTTCAAAAATGAATATGAAAATCTTAACAAACTAACCAGGTCAATACTCACATACCACCATCAGCTACAGTTGAACTTTTATTTAATTGATTGATTATGGAATGACTAATGGAATGATTATGTATCCAAAAAATATAGGCGATGTTAAAATGTAACCATTATAAATTTGAGTTGCCGGTAATTATTTCTGCAGTCCATAATTTTATAATGTAGTTGTAAATTTTGCGTTGAAAATAGAATTTTAAAATTTTATAAATTAAAATTTTTTAACTAATTAATTATTTTTCCAGAAGTAATTAATTACTTTTCTTAGAAGTAATTAATTAGTAATTATAATTAATTAGTTGAAGCTCTCTAATTAAAAATTGATAATTAATTAGATTAAAGATGTCGGCGCTAATTATTAATTGCTAATTAATTATTCTTTGCACTAATTAAAAAGCTCTGACTTAAAATGAATTTGGCTAAATTCCTTGTTAGAATTCGTGAAGGCAGCAAGTCTCAATAAGGAACCGGTATGAATGAATAAAAAACTTGCAATATACAGTATGTAACAAAAGTATAGCTACGATGACATATTTTTTATTTCGACATGATGCCGTAATATTTCAACTTTGAAACTCCGTACAAAAATGTCAAAACTATCTGCCGACAATTTCCTCGTCGCCGATTTTTAATGATATAGAGGGTCCGGATATGCAAACGTATATTTCAGTTTTTTAATTTTCGCCAAGGCGGCGATTTTAGACCTCCAACCTGTCCTGGGCGAAAAATTCCTGTGGGCGCCAAAAAAATCGTACACGGTCCGACCAAAGCTCATTATTCTTCAAAACGCATGCCGCATCCAGTAAAAAATATTTCAAAGTTCAAAAAAAATTATCCACGAAGTTTTTTTTTCGACGCCTCAAATTTTTTTAGAAAAATAATCCTGACCTTTGACCTATCTGCGACATTAAAAATCGGCGACGAGGAAATTGTCGGCAGATAGTTTTGACATTTTTGTACGGAGTTTCAAAGTTGAAATATTACGGCATCAGGTCGAGATAAAAAATATGTCATCGTAGCTATACTTTTGTTACATACTGTATATGTAGCCGTAGCTTGAGTTTGAGAGGAATTTGTGAGTAGATTCAGGGTCCAATCGGTCCCAGGGGCGAGAAAGGAGAACTGGGTACGAATGGCACGCATACAAGTTTCCAGTAGTGTCTGGGGACGACTAAGTTAATTAATTAATTATGCAGGATCACCTGGCGAAAAAGGAGATCGAGGTTTCTCAGGAATACCAGGCATAGTAAAACTACTAATTTCTGTGCAAGTGTCTGCTTTATTAAAATTATAACTTGGCAATCTTAAATAATTAGGACTTCCGGGGGTTGATGGACGTCCTGGATTGGATGGTCTTGCGGGGTTACCAGGCCTTCCATCCCCACGTGGACCGAAAGGAGAAATCGGAGACCGTGGACTTGATGGTATGCATGCACACATTTACGTATTACAACACTTAAATATTGTATACTTGGAGTAATTATGATATTGCTCATACAGGGTTGCCAGGAATGAAGGGAGACAGAGGCTCACAAGGACAGAAAGGAGAACCAGGAAAGGATTCTGCTAATTTCCTACTTCAAGAACCCAATGAAGTGGAAAGTGGGGATGCAAATATTCTTAAAAATGTATAAAATCCGACTTTTTCAAATTATCAAACAAAATATAATACTACTCCATAATATATATGCATATGTAAATACGAACTCTGTTCATAAATCAGGTTTCATTTTTGGCACGCAACCTTCCGCTGGAAACAACTATCTCTATAATTTCTGCAGAAAACACCAAACTTTCACCTACAACCCCTAAGACGCCGTTTTTTAAAAAGGTAAAGAAGGGTATCTGTTATGGTGATCGTTTTGGGCTAAATTTCGATGAGTTTTGAATTATTTTGATAAGAAATTAAGGCGATTTTTTGGGCTAATATATCTTATCAAAATTCGTTTGGTTGTCAGTGGTTTTTGATTGGTAAATAGAGCTCAATGATTCTTACCCCGATTTAAGACTTGGGGAACCGTTTTGCCAGTCTGTCTGTTCATTTTCAACTTTGTCAAATGAACCCCGATTAACTGCAAACTTGGCGAGTTGGCAAATTATACTATCAAACAATTATTCAGCATGTCTACTATAACTCCAAGGGTCCTGTTTGAGTCACTTCCAACCCATGAATGTAATCAATGTTTTTTTCTTGTCGGGCTTTGGTTTATAAACATTGGAAACTTTATGCAAAATTGTAGCAACGCGCAACATGGTTACCATTTTATTAATACCTGTGGTAATTTTGCATGGTTTCCATTTTATTCCCTGTTTTTTGATGCATTTGAATTTATTGCTCGAAATCTAGAAATGTACCATCTTAAATTCTTTGATGAAAAATCACCAATAGTATGATCATCAACATATGCAAATATTTACAAAATCGTTCGTGGGCTTCGTATTTTAATTTGCGTTTTTGTTTTTGGCCTATCTAAATACGTGTTAAACATAGCCCAGGAGAATATTTGTTTCTCCACTTGTGGGCATGTACCATTGCTGAAATTTTCAGGAATGGTAGTTTGAAAGTTGTTTGATATCGTATAAAAAAATCAGAAAAATCGTTCGTGGACTTCATCGTTTTATAATTCATCGAAATTTAGCCCAATACGATCGTCTTAATAGATACCAAGCTTTAACAAAACAAATAAATTTTTTCATGAAAGAAATAGATGTTACTTTGGTGTGCGCTATTTCAGATGGTGAAAGCAATCAGAGATGGCTGATATTGATGCACATACAATTTATTACGATAGTATAATTTTTGTACTAATGTCTTAATCAATAATCTAATGGCAAATGTGGTGTATATGTATTTATGTACTTGTTAAAATATATGATGGTTATTTATAAGTGCTGTTCCGTAAATTAAATAAGGCTGGTAAGTAGATTTCATAGACCCAACTGGCATAGGCATGGACGGTTTGTGATCAATAAGTAAAGGAAATTATTCATGTGATTCAGGAATTTCTTCTCCGTTGAATGTGAGCGAATACAACATTGGCTGTTTTTTTATCCCAGTGCAAAGGGCGTGCAGGGTGGCAGGAGCGTTGGCGCACTCAAAGTGCGTCCTCGTCCCCCCGTCCACAAACTCACTCTGTAATATGCCATAAACGGTGGATTTCTTCGTAAAACAATATTTGCAGTACATGTCAAAAAGGATAACAAGATGACTACCTGAGTGTCTACTTTTTGCCCATTTACCCAGATGTCCATTGTGTCCTTTTCTGTACCATATTAAAATAATATTAACATGGGTAATTCGACGCTGTCATTAAATTAGCTCATAATATTGTTATTGCACGTACCCAAAACCACTCTTAGGTCAGAACCGTCCACAGTTTTAATTGTCCATGTCTTCAGAATTTTAGATTGTCTTTCAATAAACTTTTTAAACGGTTTCCCATCTACTTCTAAGGAATATCTGTACGCAAACAGCCCAAACGGCTCAATTTTGACGCAACACTTGCTCTCTCCAACTTGAAACTCTTCGCACCCCACCAACTTGAACATCCAATCCTTTCTAATCAATTCCTGAAAAAGGGTTGAAAATTAAAAAATGAGATTATCCATTCGATTATCTTGGTGTTAAAATAATTCCTTTTGATACCGATCCGTTGACCCTGATAATTCTTTTGCCCGTAGTTGTCCCATGTTCGAATTCAACGGAATAAAGTCCAGATCGACTCGTAACGTCCCACACTGCAACTCTATCACAACTCACTTTCTTCTCTTCCGTCCCACTCATCCTCTAGTTTCGTCTCTATATGATAACGACAATTATTTCGGACAATATTTTCAGTTCAAGGTAATACGAGGCATAAATTTTTATAAAAAAAAGTAGCAACTTTGAGAAATGTTGAGACTCTGGGCAAGCTCTTGGTGATTCATTTATGAGCATAGCCCACTGGCCTTTATCGTCTTGTGCTTTCCCCAGCAGCAACAGCAGTAAGAGCAGCGAGTGAAAATCCATAATATTCAAGCCATACACAGTCAGTATGCATACATAGGTGAAAATGCAGCTCTTACCTGTACCTGTCCCTAACTATTCCGTGTCAGTAGTGGCAAATGTTAGAAAAGTTGGCAACGTTTTCACCACGAGAAATAATCCATTATCGATTGTATGCAAGACAAACACAAACAAGACACTCGAAACTTGACTTTATTCGTGTTTACCATGAATGTTGTCGTGCTATTCGTTTGTGCAGTGTTGGTTGACGCTTGTGTGCAAATAAAGTATGACTTTGTGAATGAAATGAAGCAAGTATTTCATTATAGTTGTCAACATCAAGAGTGTATGTACACGAGACATCTTTATTAGCCTTAAAATACCAAATTAAAAATTTTCCTGTATACACTAATCAATAAAGAGGAAAATAATAACTGGTTTCATGTTTTGACAGCCTCAATTGTGGCTGAAGCCACATAATTTTGTGCTCCACTGTCATTGTAAGACCATTTTTCGATAAACTGACGGCTCGCTTCGTTCACTTGGATTGAAATGTTGGTGAAGCCAGCATTTTCCAGACTTTCCTTCAACTCGCCGACCGGGGTGGCTCCAGCCATGCAACCATTATACAATTCCAGGTCTCGTTTGATCTCCTCTGGCAAAGGACTGGTCGCCACGATGTCGGAAATTGCGAGACGACCACCCTGTCTCAAAACTCGTGCGGCCTCCCGGATCACCTGGGCTTTGTCGGTGGCCAAGTTGATGACACTGAAATGAAGATGTTCAAATGCTAATCATAAACACAAGCGTATTTACACTTGTACATGTATTTAATGCGGTACCAGTTAGATATGATGACATCCACTGTGTTATCAGCCACTGGAAGATGTTCAATCTCTCCAAGACGAAAGCTGACATTTGTATATCCCCCTTTTTGAGCATTTAGACGAGCCTTGTGTAACATTTCCGGTGTCATATCTACTCCAATGACTCTCCCAGTTTTTCCAACTTTTTTAGCTGCCAGGAAGCAATCAAAGCCACCTCCACTTCCCAAGTCCAGAACAACTTCGCCGTCTTTCAATGCAGCTATAGCGGTCGGACTATGCATTTCACCAATGAAACAAGTGTCAATAACACAGCCTCTCTTATCAAGCATAATAAGTAATTGTTCTGCCTACTTTCCACATCCCAGCCCCATGTTTGCCCCATCAACCATGGTTTTCACATCCTCTTCAGTGTAGCCCAAATTTTTGCAGTAGTCGACGTCCACTTCCTTGGGGGCTCCGCAACAGGAGGACTGAATGCCCACGGCTTCTCCGGCCGAATTTTTCACAGCCACCTCTGCGTAGGCTTTTCGAACGCTGGCCTTGAGTTTGACCTCCTCCTCAGTCACAGACTTTGGGGCGGATCCCTTGCAGCAAGTAGTAGTCATTTTCCTACTAGTATCTCTCGTACTGAGAAATGGAGACCAATTTTGTGGCTGATTGAATCAACACTGATGAAATTCAACGATTGCTTTATAACATTGGTCAGCTACATACTTGAGTGGCTGCTGGAGGATTCTGGAATGTATTCAGCGTGTGTAATGCGATGATGTAATTAAAATATTTAGGATTTGCATGACTTTACTCCATTCATACTTTATTTTACAGATAACACGTTCCTGATAACTTCAACATGTACTTTTCAGCATTGCACAGCACATGAACTCAAATGTTAATTTCTAGCTGACCTTGGAATATATTATGCTTGATCAGCTATTATTTATACCGTGTCAGAGGTGTGTATAGGGGTGATAAAGTTAATTTCATAGTCTGCTGGGGAAAACGATATTACCAATAAAGAAAAAAATTTTCTTATGAAATGTTATCATTTGTCGAATCATCGATATTTTAAGGATTACGTAAAGTAATAGCATAGCTACGTTGTTTATATATAGCATACCAGCGTATCCTATATATCTGATCGAATTGATAAATATTAAAAAACAAGTAAACATTCGATGAGGTGAAGCGTATGCAAAGTTAGCGAGGAGTTGAGGAGAAAGTGGTGAAAGGTAGAATCTCACTATGCCTCACACGAATGGCACATGTGGTGAGTTTTTGGGTTTACATCTTACGCAGTAAAGTCGTAAAGTAAAAGTTGTTTCAACTTTTGAACGAATTTTGTATTTTTAATTTGATTATGCATAAGTGAAACTGCAATATAGTTGAAATATAAAATTACAACTATCATGGACTATTATATTAATGGGAAAATGTGACTGCTAAAATACCCTTGCTAAATTGTGGCAATTTTTATAGTGCTTATTTATTATTGTATACAATTTTAAATTAACATTTACTAATCATGGTTTCAAATTTATGTTCCGCATTTAAATATTCGTTACAACTGTCTACGAGGTGAGTTAAAAAACCAAATTGGTTTTAGATATATATTTGATAGTTTTAATAGTGTATTGAAGTTGAAGAAAATAATCATGATGCTTGTTTCTAAATATTTGTAGGACTAATTCTAGTAGCACAGTCAAGAGTTTGTTCGTCACAAAGGATTTAACCCATTCTATGAATACCTTGACCAAAATGATTTCCACAACACCATGTCTCCAGTAAGAACATTTTATAATTTCATTAACTTAGTGGTTAATGGACTCTAAATGCCGATTTAATATTATTCTTATCGTGCACAGGGCAGAACCTCTCAAGAAAAAGAAACGCTTAGACCCCGCAGTTATTAAAGCCCGTGAGGAGAGGAAACGGAGAAAGTTGGAAAAGCAAATTCGCCGGCTGCAAAAGACAGAAAGACAGTTGAAACCAATTGACGAGATGGAAGTCCCTGTCGAAATATTGGACAACTACAAGTAAATGTCAACAATAATATGCGCAATTAATGCACACATCATGAGTATTTTATTTATTTTTTTTACATTAATGCTTATAGAGAACGGGGGCGACAGGCTGTAAAATTATCCGTGGAGGAGGAAGAGTACCGATGGCTTCTGGAGAAAAAGTGGTCGCGCTACAGATTTGGAGTTAACACAAGAGAAATTCGAATGGTTGATAGATTACTATGCAGCCAAGAAAAGGCTTTAAAAGAACTGCGAGGCGAGTCTGAAGAGTTGTATCAAGCTGCAATACAGATGGATTTCAGTTACATCCCGTATGAAATTAAAGGACCCGTGGAGACCCCACCCATTCCGGGATACGATCCTGACGAAGGGGATATAATTGATATTTCAAGAAAGTGGGATAAAGTATGAATCCAGATTTTTAGTAGCTCAAATTTAAAAAAATTCATACCCATCAGTATATTAGTCATTGTACACCGTTATGAATACCGATGTCGAGGTGAATAAATTCTTCAGCTCGTCTATTGAAAAAAAGGTCTACCAACTACGTTACCAAAATTGTCGGTTATCAATCATCATAATCTAGTCACTAATAATTCTAGTGCACTGCAAAGCTTTTTTCCAAACAGAGAGACGCTAGATTTATTACGTTACAGCTCGATTCGCAGTACAAGTCAACGCGGGAGCTCGAACTAAAAGGGATTAGTCCATTACACAACACAACTTTACTTATTTCAAGTAAGAAATTATTATTTGTGCGTTGTAAGCACTAGTAAGCAGTTTGTAGTAGTGGCAAGTCGATTGGATTTAGAGGATGACCAAGTTTAATCTGTAATCTGGATGAATAATCGAGTCTCGGGGTCTCTCTGGGCGTGTTTCTTTATGGATCTTGTCATATATTCAGCATAGATTGTGTTTTGGAAATCAAGCATAAATATCTTCAATCTTCTTGCAAGGTATAATTTTCTTAATTCTCACAAAAGTGTCATGTCAGAGCATATGCAGGGTCAGGCGGCTTGGATATTAATTTATCTGGTGGATTCTTTCGGATTATTTCTTGGCTGATTGAATAACAATTTTAGGTGCTTAAAGTGTACATCAATTATCAATCACAGCTGACACAACAATGATTCATCGTGAGAAAATGACCTTCAACATTAGTCACTACACTACACATTATTATAATGATGTCGTCACTATTAATGTGTGATTCGCTTTATTTCGGATGAGCGACATTACATGATGTGGGTCATTTATTCGTTTCATGAGTTTAATGTTGAATGCATGTATTGCATATTGTGTGGAGAGCTAGTTTTATATCTAGTGTTTTTGAAAAAAATTATCATGTCACATGTCAATGTGAATTGTCATTTCCTCTGTGTACAATTTACAGTGGATTAAAGTAGGTAATGTATTTGTGTTAGCTGTTGGTTGTGAAGTTTGATGTTGCTGTTGGTTCAGTATGTAGTTTAGTTTGTCTAATCGTAAGCTATAGATTTTTGAATTTTTGTTTATTTTGCTTATCAAACTTTAGTGACAACGTAATAATATTCACTTGAGTCAACTTCTCTTGTATCGATGCCATTCTCGTTGTATATATGCCCTTGTTCTCATCACATTTTTATTCGTCGCACATTTCAATTTTCATGGCATTCCACAAACGTAACGTACTGTTCAGTGTTTGCTAAAAATGCAAAATCTATAAAAAAACTAAGATAATTTTGATACTTATATTTTTAGATTTATATTGGATATCTTAATTGCAGTTGAATTGAAAAATGGCCCATGAATCACTGCGACAATCGAGGCCGAGAACTTACGGGAGTACGATGGATGCAGAAATTGGGTTTGCGGGACCTGCTTCCTCTGCAGAAATGTTTGACCAACCAGCCTTCAATCGACTATGTGATAAAATTACCTCTAACGTATACCAAATTGCTAAACATGGTGCGTTAAACCTTCAAATTTATCATGTTAATTACTAGTTAATAATTGCGTTGTTATATTAAATCAGTTTATTCTTATTTCAGCCACTAATTTGGAGAGGACATTGAAGACAATTGGAACTCAAAATGACACGGATACCTTGCGGGACTCGGTTCACACTGTGACGACAACCGCACTCCAGTCCATTGGGGAAACAACGGCAACTCTGAAAAAATTGACCGCAATGGTTCAGAACTGTAGTGCTGCAGAAAAGAAGCAGGAAAAGCTGCGAGTTACAAAGTTAACCTCTGACTTTAAGCTTGTTGTCCAGAAGTTTACAGACACGCAGAAACAAATTGTTGCCAAAATGAAAACCACAACCCCAACTAATTCTGGATTTTTAGAAAGTTCAGAGGATCAGAAACAATCACTGGTGGATGCTGAAGCAACTCAGCAAGCCCAACTTCAGTACCAGCGGCATCTGGAATTTGAACACGGTCTGTTAATCGAAAGAGAAAATAGAGTTCGCCAAATCGAAGCTGATATTGTGGATGTAAATGACATAATGAGAGAACTCGCGACTTTAGTCGTAGAACAAGGAGCTGTTGTTGGTGAGTATTTCATTTAACCATTCATCACAATGTCCAGTTTGTCATTTTACTTTTTAGCCCGAACCAGGGCTTATGTAATTGTCATGTCCGTCTGTCTGTCTGTCTGTCCGTCTGTCTTTCGAAAACTCTCGAACGAGTTGACCGATTGACTTGAAATTTTTACCATATGCATATTGGACAAAGTTAGGAAACGAGTTCGAAGATGGGTGACATTGGTCGAGTGGTTGATCGGTGGGGGTCATCGGAGTGGATGGGGTATTATGCACCAAAATTCGAAAATCGTCATAGAAAGCTCAAATTTGGTACAAAGGTTGCTAATGGCTCCTAATGAAATAATATGAAGTGAAATTAGAAAATTTGTCAACCGGAGGTACCAGAGGGGGTGACCCATACCGATTTTTCAAAATCATCAAATTGAGCTGAAATTTGGTATAGAGGCTGCTAATGGCCCGTAATGGAAGAATATGAAGTGAAATTGGTAAAATTTACATCTAGAGGGACCCTATGGGGTGACCCCAACCGATTTTCAGAAATTAACATAGAAAGCTGATATTTGGACCAGAGATCCATACTGCTTTTTCACAAAACAACATGAAGTTAAATATGACCAAAAATTAACCAGGGGGGCTATAGAGACGACCTCCACTAGGAAGTAGTCAAGGGAAGGGATAGTAAATATTTTTAGAATTTGGAGCCTAGTAATACGAAGGATTGATGGAAGAATTAGTGCAAAATAGTAGCACATAATTTCATAGAAAACTACTGACAAACATGGGTTTGCTAATCATTCCTGGTTCGGGCTAAGCAAAGCTGTACTGATAGGTTTTATTTTTTACAATTTCAAATTTGATGATAATTTATAATGTCTCAGACTCCATAGAAGGTAATATTGATGAAACGTACACTCAAGTGGAAACTGGTCGAGCGGAACTTCAGAAAGCAGAGACGCTTCAGGTAATTTTACAGACCTTGTTTGTTCATTATGAAAGAGAAATACTAAACTTACATATCGCTGTTTGTATGTATGTATTACATAGTCCAAGTACAGGAAGAGACTTTTTTGTCTACTTGGAGGTGGTCTCATCATCTTGATAATCGTGATAATCGTCCTCGTCACCCAGTTGAAAAGTTAGAGACATTCCGTCCAGAGTTGTTTGTACTATTCGTGAGTTACGCATTACCTATTATCGTAAGATAAACCTGTAATCCGTAAATGACTCTTGAAAATTTAATATTTATATTACAAAATCTAGTAATTAGATGCATTTTCTTTTTGGCTAGTTTAAACGACTAGTAAGTTATATATTTTAGTGTATAGTTCATCTTGATTTACTATTATTACCACCATAACTAAATCAATAGGCATGGAGTTTTGCATGGAGTTATTAATAAAATGTGCTTTCCAAAATTACAGTTTGTTAAATTTTTTATTTTGTCGGATTCACCATTACAGACAGAATCGTTCAGAAATAATTTCCTATACTAACATAAATATGTACATTTTTATACTATTCGGACCTACTTAATCAACCTATATGTATATATTTAATAAATCAAGATAATACAGTGAAATTAATACTAAGTTTTACAGTATTTGGATCTTTCAGACCGAGATATCAGTAGTAGTGTGTATCACATAAGTTAACTTCACATCCAATATGAATGACTATAGTTTTGTTTATTAGTTATTCGAAGACTGGGTCGTGATATTATTGGGAAAACAGCAGTATTTAATGGAATTGTGGATAATAGTAAACTTCATATCCTAATACATACATATTATTCCGAGATCAACGGAATTTTCAGCTAGACTATCGAGACTGAAAAATAATATCGTGCGCTTACATCTTACACTTACTTTATGTGAATGTTGACTAGATAAGTTTACGCTGATATTTGTACATTATGAAGGAAATCAACTAGAAAAATATTGACACCATACATACGCTCGTCCTTGCATGATATGCACTAATAGAATAGAGTTTTTGTCATTTCTCTTATCCTTCGACCTCACACGTATCAATTGCTGTAAACAGTACATCCTTCTTTCGATGTTTTTTATTAGAGACACTACTAATCCTAAGTAATATCACTAATCAGGATATGTACACATGTACACGATATACTTGCATGTCCTTTAATATTTCTTAAGGTATACTTCAGTGGAATAGTACATGAATTACTACATTACATTGTTCACTACCAATCAACTTCATTTGTTGTCCACCTTCCAGGTTTCGTGGAATATACTTATGTCAGTGCAAAAAGGGCCATAAAATCAGGACCATCATGAGCATGAAATTCTAAACATTTTCAGGGTACTGAGTTTTTGTGATTCGTGGTGGGATAAGTTTCACACTCGAGTTGGAGTTTCTTCTGGCAGCATTTCTCGACGCAATGCTCGAAGGGGCATAGTTGAATGGTTTCCACCACTTGTGCGGATGTGTGCTGGACCCTTGCGCGGCTCTCTGTCCCTGTTGGTTCAGAGAGGTCAGACTGGAACGACGGGCACTGTAGCTGGGACACACGTCACACTGCTGGTCAGCATCACGAGGGTCAGTACTTTCTTCCAAATGGCCTGATCTGGAAGATAAATTGCGATCCGTGGGCAAACCAGCATACGATGGACCCGGGCTGAGAATCGAAGTGGAATATGAGGCTGTCGCGGATGGATAAAGCGATTGGCGTCTTCCGTATCTTGGGGAAGCGAATGGACTTTGTTGACGAGGTTGAGATATCGGGGACTTATCCCAGTGAGTTGATGACTCGCCGGGATTCCCCGTATGTCATACCTACACAATAATATTCAACAGTGAATAATTGGATGTGCATAATATAATGAATCAACTGTGTGAATCTTATGCGTTATGCCATGCATACCATCGTTCCTTGATAACCTTGTAGGGGCAAAGATGGTGCTGAAGCGGTGATAGAGTCATCCGGTGGCGTTACCTATTATTTTAAAACAGTTGTATACATTTGCGAATTTGTTACGTGCTCCTGACTGAAGTCAAGTACACTCTGCCACATTCAATATCTGTATTCTACGGTGGAAAACGTCTGTGTTTACACTTTTGTGATAAGAATATGCATAATATGCATATTAAATGTTACCTAAATATTTCCGACAACTATTTGTAAAATAAATTAAGCAATTAAGGTGAGCATTACAAACCGTCACCTCAAGGCCAATCCCCCCATTTAGTGTGAGTCGCACAGGGCGAGTAATCGTTGTCTGTGGTATTCCTAACTCCTCGTTGGAAGATCGGCGTCCAGAAGTTGAAGGACCGCAACTGAGCAGACCTTGGCGCAAGGATGAGGACCGTCGCATCAAAATATCATCAAGATTTCCCACGCGAAGGGAATTCGATCTGGGTCGTCTAGGATCACACAAATGCGTTTTTAGACTAGAAAGAATAGGTAATTGTAATAAATCTCTGTGATCATTAACGATCCTGTCGTAAATTCTGTCCCCCAAGTGTAACATTAGCATTGGAAGTACAAGCATATGCTGTGGCCTTGCCCATGGCGTTATATGTATGAAGCAGATTCAGTGCATTGCATATGACTCATATGATATGAGTTGCACAAGGTACGAGATCGAGCATAACTTACGCGTCCGGAGAGTCCGGCAAAGACAACGAATTGCTTTTGGTCACAGGAACCCTGGGGCTGCAATGCTGACCAGAGAGGAGCAAACTTCCCGAGGACGATCGTCTCCTTTTGCTTGGGTCAGGACTCGGCTGAGTGAACAAGTTAAATCCCAAGGGCTGCCCATCCCCCCCATTGCCACCACCTATACCAGAGACGCAACTGAGGGTAGATTTTCTCCTCGAGTTGTGTCTCTCAAATGTCTTTTGGGCTGAATGAAAGTCAAGAAAAAACAATCTGTTACTAGAAATTCGTAAATATTTATAATAAAAATTCCCATGTCGTATGCATATGCACTATTATCTATGTACCTGAAAACGGAGTGGGTTTTATTAAATAAACGACATCTCCTATAAGAAATCAAATTATTTCTATTATTTACGAGTTTTATAACTAAACTTTAATTGCTAAATATTTGATAAAATTGAGATAAGTAATAAAAACAAGTTCCTGCCTTCTTTTAATTTTAGATCGCAGGAAGGGTTTATAATCACGTAGGATAGAGAGCTTCGCCTCTCGGAAAAGTGGAAAACCGTATCACCAAAATTGGGCAATCCTGGGTAGGTAAAAAAGTAGAAATTAGATAAGTGTAAATTACACTAATCTACACTTTATAATGGGTGAGATAAATACTTATATTTATTACCAAGACTTTGCATCCTCGAACGTATCAAACTTGCTATTTCGGCTCGCTCTATTAACGTTGTGTGACTGTCTTTAGTATTCGTGTCATCATGAACGGCCACGGAGAGATAAGAACTAAATTAAAGGAAATTCGATACTTTTACAAACTTATAAAGATAAACTAATAGGTAAATGCCATAGGTTTGAATGTCCACCGTGCAAATATCATGCACTTATGTAACACATCCAAACCACTATGCAATATGTGCAGTTGTATGTTACCTTCTCTGCGTGGAACACCCGCCGAGACAACTGTTTGGGATATTTATCTGAGGCATAAACGACTTGCTTGGAGCCTTTCCAATTGACTCATCTCCACCTCCTCCAGACCCACCCTCAATGTCCGTAGGCCCCGGGTCAAGCACTGGGCTGGACTGTTCACTCTGTGTATGACCTTCTGGCGAATCATCGGATGATGTATCTTGGGTTCGGTAAATTCCAAATGGGATTTCGCAAGATGTGGAGCACAGCTTTTGGTACAAACGTCCTAGAAAAAATCGTATGTCTATGATACATCCATGCTTATATATGTACATGGCGGTGGATATATGTACATATGTGTTTTACTGACCGTAAGTCCGTATCCAGAGATCGTTGTGTGTTATTTCCAACTGCAATTATGGGGAAAGTAAATGAGAAACACCACTCAGCCAGCACCTCCTCTACCATCGTATGCGAATATGTAGGCAATTCTATTGAGACGCGGCTCTGATTCGGAATGATACACAATCCTTGAGTTATTTTCAGTACACCACAACAATCAGAAAAAGCAATAGTAAACTTCACTTGAAAGAATTTATATGTGTTTCAAATACCACTTGGGACCCATCACCACAGACATTACGGGGACACGTAATGGGTGATAAATTTTGAATGACAGTGCCATTCATTCTTTACGGTTTTACGTCATGTGAGAAATGTAGAAAATGCTGTCCGCATGAAGGCTCAATTGTCGTCATCATAATCATTTAATTTTATGTTTCAGAGAAAATATGAACTCGACATTGTCAGTAAACAGTTTGCTTGAATTTTACAGCTTGAGAACATTTGGTGGTGTGGACATTGAAAACAATTCAGATTCTTGTTGCTTACGGATGTCAAGAAACCAGATCCGGGAGCTTGGTCTATCCCAAGGAGCAGTCGAACGAAGGTGATCAAATAATCCTTCACGAAGGCTTGATACAGCAGTGTATCCAACATTGATGCGGAGAAAACGCTTCCTGCAGCGAATGGCAGGCGGAACATGTACGAAATATGGGAACCTCGCTCTTTCTCTTTCTGTAAAAGTGAACAAATAAATGAACACGTTTTATTATTTGAAGTAGATTGATTAGAAACAGGTACGACGGAAATCGATAGCATAAGTATTTAAGGTAGTGATTTGACTTTAAACCTGTAAACAAATCTCAACCTTAACTTTAACCTTACATTTTAAACTTGTTTTTCGAGACCATAGATCCGAAACATTATACACTGCTAAATAACCCCCAGTTTGCAATATACATTATTTTAAGTGGACGAGTTTGTAAGAGATTTATGAAAATAATTTCGGGATTGAATAATCTGAATGTGTGTAAGATATGTTACTTCACGATTATTAATAAAACCTGATTAAAATTTGAACATCATGTTTATGGGAAATGAATCTTATGTTTAAACCGAGTTTGGATAATTGTATAGTGCGGCGTGGAGACACGAAATAGTCAGAAATACGAAGAGGAAGCGAAATCAAAATATTCTTATACTCATGTTTATATGTTTAGCAAAAAGGTGAAAGTCGTGACGTGACATAAAAATGTTAAAATGTTAAAATGTGACAGTTTTACATCGCCAGGACTCAGATTTCTCTGCTTTTCAGCCTCAGATGGCGACTTCTTGCCATAATTTCGTAGCAAGTTGTCTCATCCCCACAGAGAACGGACTCTGCTAGGGGCTGTACACAGTGACATTGCCATTCCGTATGGCTGGGCTCACCCTGTCACGAGACAGCACCTACCCCGTACTAACACCGAGCCGAGTAGGATTAGCAATAGCTTCCCGGCCAGAGGAATCGAACGTGTGACTGCGTGGTGACAATCCTACCCTCGTACCTCTGAGCCATAGGGCCTTGCCATAGTTTATCGACTAACTCTCAGATTCATAGAATATGCTGATTAACCAACTGATTTTTAGTTCATCAGGTGTGTTTGAAGTGTAGTCATTCATTTAATACTTAAAAGTGAGTTTTCAAGTCATCTCTCATTTTAAAGTTTAGCAATCAAGTCTTGAACTTAGGATGATTACTTTAGGCATATAACGACCTTAAACCGTACAAAATGAAGTTAAACAGTAGGAAACCGATTTTCACTCCCAAATGTTCACGTCAACTCAGGAGTGACAGAGTAAAATGTAACTTTCTCTCGGGTTGTCGGCTACAGCAGCTCAACTGGACTCACTCGGCAGTCTCATTTTGCCTCATTTTCCTGCAGTTTGCACAAACCTTGGTCTATTTTCTCCTGCCCAAAATCTGAATTATTTTGTTCCTCCAATATTTCTGGAGAAGCAAGTACAACTCAATTTGCAAAAACCAAGGAATAGCATCCACGTGTGCTGCATAATGCAAGTATACTTGTTTCATATTGAGGAAAAAGCAACAAACCGGAGCTTACAACGGAGTAGCAACTACATTTTACGTGCAGTGTGAGGCTGAACAAGTTTTCCTCGCCATTTACTTCATCCAAGACGATTGTGTCCCTTGGGATTGTTCCTCCATTTAGGACAATCAAATCAAATAAATCTTTCGCCGGATGAAAGTCGGCAGCCACAGACACGTATTTATATGCGCATGCAGACAACAATGCCTCTTCAGCGTAAACTTTCTTCTTCAAGGCGATATATAGAAAAGTGTGTGTATACACGACGAGTAGAGATGCATGCACATGGTTAAAGGTTCAAAGCACACGATCAAAATGCACTCCTTTCCTCCTTTGTAGACTCCCCTCTATTTATGAAGAAGTAAAAGAGTGATAAAAGTGTGCATTCATTGGTCTTCTCCTCAGTAAATACCACGCAGTCACGTCGGGTTCTAAATATTGGGCAACATATAAACCAACTCCACTTGAACCCGGCCAAAAATTTCGCCGAAGCTTATCGCACAGGCAACAAAAAGACAATAATATAATGCGTCGCTTTCAGTAATTCATTGCACAAAGAGAATGAGCTCCTCCACAACAGATCCGTAGGCATAGCATAAAGCATACAGATTTTCTGATAGTGAATTCCACGTATGCCCAAAGTCTATGTGTTTGTAGCTATCTCACTGCTACGTCTGGGGAAAGTATATCCTTCTCAATGGAAGAGATGCCTAATTTATTTCACCGCATCTTATCAACCTTAATTTATTCCAATTTTGTTTCCCTCTGTTCGTTCGTCACGTCAGTGTCGTAATAGTTGCTGCAACCAGTCAATGTTTTGCATAAACTATGCTTGATAGCAAACCTAAAGTTAAAGGTCGTGTGTGTAATGTTTCATAGAAATTCTAAATTAGATTTCGACTAAGTAGATCACCAACCGCCTACCACCTGCAAGATCTTGTTAGGGTTTTCTTAATAATTTATAAACGCGATTATTTAGTTTAGCTTATTGTTCTTTTGACGTTGATTTAACAGCACGTTTGGATAAACGATAGCACAATTGATCATCCACGAGCTTTCACTATATCAATTGCGCACTACTCGTGATTGTTATTTTTTAAAAGGAATAAAAAAATACTTAGTGTTTGATGTATTCTACTTGTATCATACCTAAATTATGACGTGGTTTTAATTACCCAACATGAAACCTGAAAGCTGAAACCCACCTTTTCCATCTTCGATAAGTGAAGAGCGTATGCATCTGACGCCCTGAACTGCATGAATCTCATGTTGCTAGATGTAGAGAGCTCGGTGACAATTTTGATATGTGGAAAAAAGCGGAACATTGTTTGAACTGTAAAAAATCAAGTCAGGCAAAACTGAGGTAGGATTACACCCAATTGTGATTAGTGGGTGATCATCAAGCAGAGGTTACGTTACCTGCGACAATGGTATTACAATCTGATAAGCTATCTTCTTCTGCAGAATTTGACAACTCCTTGTTCACAACTACGACGCTCTCAGCCAGCGTAATTCCAGCTCTCAGAAGGTCGTCGAGACAATCCTGGTCAATCATAAATCCTTAAATTATAAATAATGAATCCGAGTATAAATCCTTACGATTGATCCCAGCATCCAATAAATCATTGGAAAATGTGAGATTGCATCCAGGAATGCAGAATCCTGTAACATAAATGCACTCTCAAGTACATATCCCTCTATTAAATAAATATTGAGTCATGTTTAGATTATTGTACCGGTCTCCGTTCCAACAGCAAAATTATTGGGTTTAGTCGTGATTTAGGTCGGAAGTGAGCTCGGAGGGGGACAATAAAGTTGTAAATTGCTGCCGATGCAAAGTCCGCTGTGAGGATTATACTGCTGTTCTGCCAGTTGTAGTCGTAAGCATTGCGATGAACGCAGTGATCGCACGCCTGTTGATTATTATAATTTACAATAGGCATACACGTATTATTAGTATTACATAATTACTAGAGCGCTGTAAATTGTGGGTGATATTCTACCATTTCAATGCTCAAGAGAGCAAACTCATTGACACTGCTGATATGGTTGAGTGGCAGAAATACTCATAAAAAGGAAGAGTGCTTGCATAGGAAGGAGAGATAATATTCATATCCATTCATATGCATTATAATAACTACATTACTTTTCCAAAAGCAGGAATGAACACACAACAACAAACATTAGAACCAGTTGGAGAAAGTTTACTTTACTTTCTTCACAGCATGGAAATTGAGTCACATTTTCCTCAAAACTTGCTGTGAGACATGAACTCGTACGCGTTGCAGGACGGAGATAAGAAGACGAAATATTATGGGTTTGATGCGACTTTCTTTCGCATATTCAGATATGTGGGAGCAGCATGCACATGAACGCGGACTGACTCACCTGGCATAGCTGGAGACAACAAAGTGGTTTCTTCTCCTTGAGGAGGTAGCACAAGGTGGGTGTAACTCCGATGTAGGGGGACACGGGTGGGAAGCCCTTCACAATGGAGGTCTTGTCGCCATGCCCCAACCAGGGCACCTCGTCCTCTGCCTCCTCAGCATCAGAATCCATCTCCTCATCGTCGGAATGCCTCTCCTCCGTTGCAAACTCGTCCATGGAGCTCGAGTAACTTTCTGGGACGGGAAGTATGGAAGGTCTCCGACTTTCTGCACATGAATAATCCCAACTGAGTACCCGTCTCCACTGATTTGTATTCCACTCCATCATTCTAACTAATGCTTCCCACTACTGCCCGTCTCCATTTCCAACAAAAAAAGACAAACCTGCCCACCTATTTAAACCCTGCAGGTATCCCATTACTAGACAAACATATAGGTACACATACATATATTTATATGAATGTGTGTTTAATGGATCGTTTAGGTAAGTGTAAATGTCAAAAGATCACGTCAAAACTAAAAAAACATTGTATTGAATGGAACATCGTGATAATGAAAGTGGGCGAGCGTGATAAACAAGAGTGAGACGGAGAAAGTTCAATTTTAGATCAGAAAAGTGCACTACTGAGTAATTGCTAAAAAAATGAGCCAAACTTTCTTCCTCTCTAACGTACATACCTCTCCTCATGAGATTAGGTGGTAAAAGTAGATTGCTCTCCATGGGTTTGCCCATTTGATTCAAGTACTGCATCGCGATTCCAGGGCTTCCACAAGGACCCTCTCTAGGGCCCCCAGTCGGAGTGGCTAAGGAAGCTATGTTGAGATTGGACCCACCGGAACCTTCGCCTCGACCCAGGCTACTCGACCCTCCCATATGATGGCCAGGCGATAAGCCGGTTGGGTTCATTAGGCTGCTGAACCCTTCAGTCTTTTCTCCGAGGAGTGGAGTGCTTGCTGTGCAATTTATCGTAACCTTGTCCTCTCCACCTTTGTCGTTAGTTGGGCCACCAGAACCTGCTGGGGCTAATGAGGAGACGGCAGCAGGTTCCCCCGTTCCTGGCTGCGTGGCTTGGTTATCGTCAAAGTCTGAGTTCTCCTCTTTGGTTATGCTAATTTTCACAGAAAATTTTCACAATACAATACGGTCCACACGTGCGATTGATCTTAAAAATATTTTAAGATGTAAAATTTCACACATACCTAAAGTAGAAGCAGATGTCAGATTTTCGCATGACATGTCTCCCTAAAATTTTAACAAAGAAATGAGCAAATGAGTTCTTGTGGGAGTCCGAAGAGCCGGGCGAATACATGGTTGGATTAATTCTTGGATGTATAGGAATAACTATTGCAGATGTGTGGCGTTAGCCAATTTTCATGTGCATTAGTTAACCTAATTCTATGAAAATCAAGGGGAAAAGTCTGTGCAATTTTTTAGAAACAAAGTTTGACTCGTAAATTGAGATTGATTTCAGTTGAAACTATTTTACTTATCGTATACTTCATGAAACTTTGGTAAATGAGTGAATAAATTACCAGGGTTGAGCAAAATAGTGTCTTCATAAAACTCGGGGAGCAAAGAAGGCCTCACGCCAACCAGTGACACACCATATTTCCTATGAGCTGAAACAGTGGAAACAACACAACATCAACATGTCATATAACAAGATGACGTCAGGGTTTCCAAACACTACAAAAAGTTCATCCAACGTACCATGAAACGATGCGTATGTGAAGCTTTTCCCTTCGTACTCCCCAAAGAATCTACCAATTAATTAAGTACCGATTTACAGATGTAATTTATTTATTTGCCACACTTGTTTAAGTAAAGAACGAGGAAGAAATCATGGATGATTGACAAGAGTTGGTTTATTGTTAAAAATGAAAAGATCTGTATTCTTACCGAGACTCATCTAGACGAATATGGTAAATTTCATTTCCTGAACAGCGACCATAGAGGCGATGCCATTCTTCCCGAGAAGTTTGTCCCTCCCTTAGGATTTGGACAACAAATCAAATCAAACACTTTACAATATTGTGTTGCAACATTCCGTTTCCCAGAATTGTCACAAAAAGACGAAAGTAATCGAAATGAATTAGGACATGAAATATGTATGAATAAGTGCTTTAGCATTCGAGGAATGCCTTCGGGAGTTATCGGAGATGTATGAAATCCTGGCAAGGGGATCGAGGAGGAGAGTTTAAACCTTTTGTTATATTTTTGGTGACTTACCTTCCTCTGGAGGTGTGGAGAAGAAGGGTCACGAGGGTGGAGGTGCCAGGGAAGAGACAGTTGTTCGCCAGGAGAGCATACTTGAACTCGTCTTCACACACCACGTGCTCGGCGAATCTGACGTGGATTTTGTTTTCAGGGCGAAAAATCTGGATATACTGAAGACAATAATATTTTGCTATTAGCATTGAAAATGAGAATGGACGCGGAAACCAGGTTTAAAGGTTTCTTCAAATTGTTTTTATGTACTAACTTTTACTAAAGCATTGCGAAACAGAGATTTAGCTAGATCTTGAAAATACAACTTCTAAAGAGGCACAATTGTCAAAAAATGAAGGTGATTGAATATCCACGCGGCATTATTTGTCCTTCGCACAACAATAAAGGAAACCATACATTCATGAAATTGGCGATTCTAGATTTGACCTAAGGTTTCAGGAACAGCAACGCAATTTGCTATATATATATTGTGTTTTCAAGTTTTTTGCCAATGCAACTCCTTTTTGGACTATGCTTTGTGCGTATATAGCATATGGCAGAAGCACCTTAGGTTATTATATTCCTTCAAATCTTACCTGAGGGACGCCGGGGGCATAGTCCTTCACAGCCCATGCTCTCAGAATTGTGTGCTCATCTATTTATTACGAATACTCGTTTAAAATATCAGCCTGTTGTATGGTTCATTTTAGGAATATGCATTATGCATAGGATTGGGCATGGTGGAATTTATCATACTAGTAGAGTCGTTTTTCATGGATTTTTTTTACATTTATGCATGTGAATGCATACATCTTTTTCTACGTGCGTGGCTGGAAATTTTGATGACAGAACATGTCTAGCTCTAGGCTAATTTGAAAAGCATATTCATACCTGCTGCCGTTTTGTCAGAATAATTTCTCGCCGCAAGGATAAAACATGCTTCCGCTTCACTCATTCTGTAATTAAGCAATACATAATTTATGGAATTTGGCTAATTGGCTAAATATTACATAAATTTAATTATTAATTATTTGTTATTGTATATCTGCTTATAATATCGCATTCTAATGTAGAAAATATTCCCTAACGAACCTGGCACGTATGAGATCACCGTCTTTGAGGCAAGAGCCTTGGATATAAATTACCCTTTGGGCCTGTAATAAATTGAAAAAAAGTTCTCGTTTCACATAATACATATGTGCACAATTTCCAGTTTGTTAGTTGCAGCATTTCTAGCCAGACTTACCCATATCGGCACTTGCAATATCATCCTCATCGTGGTGTCGAGCTCCATTGGAGAAAGGAGGACAACGCAATAGTCCTGGATGATAACAGGAAGAAAAAATAAACAAAAGTGTAATCTAACGCTGGCTACGCCCAAGTCGGTTTCTCCTCATTTGAGGAGAAATATGAAAGCAACGCCGACTTTTATTCGACAATTGAGTGATGGGCGGTGGCATAAAGCTGTCACACTTTCCATGACTAACACGTCAAAAGGGCAAAGAAATGGAACATGTTGCTTATTTTGCCCGTAAAGCATTCTTCCGCTCTAATCCTGAGAGCAACTTTGTGCATAAATAGCTAATTAGTCTTTCTTCATTTGTCGTATCACAGTCCATGCAGAATACATAAGCATGTAGTGTAATCAGCAAATTCAATTTTAATGAGATCCATGCTTATTTATTCCCTCATCACTAGCTTTGTTTTCCTACTAGTATTTAGAACTTGAGAGTGCATATTATGTAAGTTGTGCAGCTTTCACCCTGTCTGGATTATCGTACACATTAGCTTTCACTGCTTGCTATTGGAGCTACATACATAAATGGAACTCAGGGGTTTCCTATCTATAGCCTAACGCTGTTTATACTTTTACGATAATTGTTTAGCATCTAATACGACGGGGAACGTTTAAGCCTCATAAAAATGTTATGCTTTCTAAAAAGTGTTACCTGAAGCATGGGATGCGAAAAAAATTCGTTGAGGAAATCCATTATCGTGTCAGCTAATAAAAATAGTTAGTAATGGTTTTACTTGCCTTTTTAGAATTTACTTATAAAGAGTTACCGTGCAGTGTGGTAGAACAAACGACAACATGGTGATCGTTAGCTGGAAAACATTCAATTCGGCATTTATTTGGGGGCTTTAAATGATGTAATAACTTCATAAAATCCTATATAAATTAGGATAAAACAGCTAAATTAACTTAAAAAAATAAAAATTTTACATGCGCGATGAGCAGAGTAAGTTCCACCCAATTTCTGCCGCTCCATCCAGGTGAAAGCAAGCTGCTCAAATTGGGTTGGTAAAACTATCAAGGCAATGCCTGAAATCAGGTAACAACATTACGTAGTTAGTCTATAATATGCTTTACGCAAATATATTTGCATGTATATACGTATGCTAATTTCGATATTTTTAATTATTCTGCATTTTGTCAATGACATGAGTGACTCACATATCATGGCCACCATAAAGAGTTGTGAAGGCCAAATATCCGGCACCTGAAATTTAATTTCCATTATAGTTTTCTCGTAAGTTACAAAAAGGCTTCTTTCAAATATTCATTTCATTTAATCAAATTTCAAGAACGGCGTAAAATTCATACAACAAATTAAATGCCAAGCACTCACATAGTCCCCGTAACCGACAGTGGAGAAAGTCACCTACGAAAATGAATAATTTCACCAGTTTAGTGTTACTGACCTTGTGTACTTCTACTAATTATTCTGGGGATATATAAATAAGTAATCATGAAATTACCACTACGAAGTAAACCGCTTGAAACAATGACATTCTCTTTTGTCCCGCTCTGTAGTGGAAATCAAGGTAATTAATGATATTTTAATTGTGTAACATTACTTGCATGCCTTTGAAAATGTTGGATTCCGCAAACAGAGGTGAAAACTAAGCAGATTAGAGTGGCCGTCAGAACAGTCAACTGTTGAGATAACGCCGACTGATTTCTCTGCATTCTAACAACCAAATATTTTCGAGTTATGAAAATGTATAAAATGTTTTATTTTGAATACAAAAATACACTTTAACTATTTACTTACGCCCTATACAAGAATCACGAGAGTAGAGGTTCCATGAAGCAAAAAATTAAGTTTAAAATATTTATTACAAGTATTTGACTATTTTTTATTAAATTATGTATATATATATATGTATATAACCTTATATATATGCATATATATATACTATAAACCCTATAAACCCCATAAACCCTATAAAATTCACCTGTGCAAATCATTAAAAGTATTCTCGAGGGCGTACTTCGCCAGCCATGAGTTTAAGAAAACTGGGATAAACATGTGTCGAAGGGGTGGGTGAAAAATTGTCACCAAGAATGGAACCGTCGTCATCAACTCGAGGATGAAATGGCGAGAACAAATTTGCTGCCACAGGTTGTTCTGTAAGCAATTCACAGTTTCATTCTTCATTCATCCAGTTAATATACAATGAAAACTCGCACTCGATTGTGCTTGCATAAATCTAAGTGAGTACATACTTTGTATCCCAAATACGTGATTAAAATAGTCTCGCTGAGGCTAATGACAGCCAGAATGATATGAAGGATCCAAATGTAGACTGGTCTTTGCACCCACATTATTGCAGACCAATTTATCATTTGGTTATCTTGAAATCGTTCTTCCGTCTGCTTGATGGCCTCCAGGTACATTGTGTTGTTCACCACGTGGCACCCATAACTGCAACAAACCAAGAATTGCGACTTTCGTAAAATGTAAATATCGCGTAGCCTCTTCAACTTCTTTTTTTAAATAAAAAGACAGTGATTCTCTATTAAGGGTAACATTAATATCTATTTTTGACGGTAAATAAGTATGTTCATAAAGCAGAGAAAGTCTCAAAAGAAGAAATTGCACATGTTTTTGATTAAAATTTTTGAAGCGGAGATAATGTGTTTCTTTTCTTAGAAGACTTCCTCATCTTTTGGACAGCGTAAGCTTTTGTACAGTTTAAGGGCGTCAAAGGGTAAATCACGATTCAGATACAGCCTTCAATCAATTAACTTTGTCTTTTCTGTAAACTTAATGAGTTTGGTTTCTTCGTGGATTGTTGGGGAAAGTTGACGAGGTAAAAAGTAATGAGGTCAAAGTTTTCTGAACTATACGGATAGATTTTGCATCATCCTCGTACGCAATTGTGTACACAAGTCAGTCAATATCTTTTAACGTAGCGTTCACGTTAGAAAATGCACTGCTTACAAAATACGTAATAAGAAGGAAACAAGCAAGGCGAGCAAGATGGGTGAAAGTGGGTGAAAGGTCCACTATGGTGATTTTGTGACCAAGAGAGGAAACGAGATAGTGGATGAATAGGACCTTGAGAAGGATGAATCAAATTAATGTAATTTCGAAGCCTATCGATTCGTCTTTGTTGCATGCGCCACTTGATGGACTTCCGTCTCATTCGACGAGCGAGAGAGGGACAATCCTTCCAATTTGGCGAGTGAATAATGTATTCTATTTCTCTGTAACGCCCGAGTGTTATGCAGTCAACAGTGCAATGCAATGTTGACTACGCTTTCACCACACTCGAGTTCAATGCGATGTTATGAAATGATATCGAATTTTCACATTGATCATTAGCGTTGAAAAGCATTTATTCGGTATAATGGGATCCCAGAGATGGATGGGGCCACTAAGCACCTTGGTGTGTGAAAGAAACATACCCGTAATTATCTAAATGTGGTACTTTTATTGGTTGAAATGTCTTTTCCAAATGGAGCGAGGGGCATGTGTATGGCTTGTTCAATTACTGTGAAAGGAAGAAAAAGGTCTTTGCCAAGAGTTGTGAAAATTTTGGGATACTTTTGTCAGTCATTGCTAATTAAGTGGTGGAGGAGTTTATTCGGCTAATTACTAGGAGAGGCTGGTGAAAGTCGGTTTCTCCGTCTGAAAGCGTAATAAGGGCGGAAAGAAGACGGCCGTGCTAATAATATCAAACTGAACTCTGACTTTTAGCCACAAATATAGCTTTTCTGAATAAAACAACGTTGGCTGAAATGTTGGCGATAAGCTTGCATACTGTGTATGAAGCTGGTATTTATACGATCTACTAGGAAAAATGTCACCAGAGTATTTCAATTTACTTCATCATTTATTCCCACCGTGGGATGCAAAATAATTGATATTATCGGAACAATGTGTAATAATTGGTGGCATATGCAAACAAATTTAACTCGGGCCGGTTTCAAAAATTGGCATCATAGGCTTGACGCCCACTTTGCCACGTCTAATAAAAACTCTTCTTACATACGCACGAGGCAAGAAGAAGAAGGGGAACACACATATTTACTATTTTCACGTTGGCGGTGGCAAACGACAGACTATTTAATCTACGTCAAAGTGCCAGCCAGCTCGAATTATCGCAACCGAAATATCGTACAGTACCCTGGGTCATTAATTGGCAGCGAATCGATAAAAGGTGTGCAACAGAAGAGCGTGACAAAATCGACGAGTCATTCCATTTCCAGTTCATTTGGGTGACTCCAAAATCGCCAGAATCAGAAAAGGGTTGAAAATGTATTTTGATATGCCACGAACACCTTGGAGCATTTTATGAATCTTGAATGCCAAACGATCCATGCGATTGCTCAAGGAAGCATAAAAACCCGGAACGAATTTACTTTGACCTATTTTATTCCTGGGAATGCATGACAAAAATTATTGACGGGGAAATGTCATATAAAAAAACTGTATGAATTCCCATTTCCGTATTTCTCGATCATTACATCCCTAATATATCATATTTATTTGTTAGTAAATTGTTTTCTAAACACTGGGTAGAAATTAATTACGGGTTTGAGAACCAAATAAACGACAAAAACCGATTTTTTTAAATTCTGCCAATTTCGTTTATTTTAAATTTAACTATTGTCTCAACCTCCATATCTATTCATCGGTTTATTAAATAAACTTGATGTTCCGCCCTTGAAAAAATAATTGTGTATTGTTCGTGCGTCCAAAGTAAATTCTTCTTTTGATGTAAAAAATTTGCATTTAACATGAAATGTAAAATGATCATGTGAAACTTATTATTAAAAGTGGTACATCATTGAGAAAGTCAATAGAAATTTCATGATCGTCAAGGATGACTAATGACTGGGATCTAAAAACATGTATGGACTCATGAATATGGCAAGAGCAAGTACTTAATATCAAGAGTTCTTCTTGTTTATATCTTTTAGCAAGCATAACATTCGCAATTCAAGTTTATGATGAGATTCCTCTAGAAAAATTGACTCCCAAAAATCTTATCTCAACTAATGACAACTTCACCAACTAATGACACACTTTACATGGAGATGAAAGCGTAGTGCGCTAAGAGGCTCACGACCGAAATGGCAATTACACGATAATAAGATTCTTAAATTTGTCTCCTATGATTTCCTATAATTTAAAATTCCTTTCTGTATTCCTTACTGCAATAGTAAGCTCCTTGAATATTTTATGAGATATGGCTCAGCCTTGCATGGTGGTTTTAACAGAGGATGCGTCCTTGTTAGGATGCGCTCTCTTGGAGTGGTGTTCGTTAAGATTTTCAAAAAATGTCGCATGAGGCAGTCAGGTCAAGTTTTGTATAACAAGGGAACCTTAAGTACTGTCACATCTCGATTTCCTTCCGGATGGTCTTAATTGATAGATAATTTAGTGTAACTAAAACTTTGGCATAGGACATACGATGCAAAATCACGTTTTTGCGAAATATGTGGCGAAAGCTGCACCAAAAAAGGTGCAATTTTTCCAATGCTTTTAACATATGTGTAGATAACAGCCTTTGGAATAATGATATGAAGTTTATAAATTATATCCCTGTCCGCAATTTCATGCTGATCACCAATATGCAAAAAACTGCAAAAATTTGCCAATTTTATTTCAAATAGCGAAAGCCTGCATTCTAAATTTGAATTCCATCGTTTTTTGAAATATTAACAAAACTTAAATGTTAAACTTCTATTATTTAAGCATTGCAAAAAAAGTTTTCAAAACATAATTTATTAGTATTTCAACAAAATGGGTGAAAATTTTCACAAATTTAAACTCGCAATTTTTCACTAAAAAAGATACAACGACCAATGCTATCTATTATACGTATTTATAAAAATTGTTGGCTATGTATATTTATTCTTGCAAGGTGTAAACAATTTTGGAAAATTGTATCGTCAGGTTTTAACATATTCAAAAAATAACTTTTCCATACCTCGTTCAAGATTTTAAGCTTTTTGGAAACCTTGAAAAAATCTCATCGGGGAGGGACCCCATCGGGTCCCTCCAATATGGCATATACATAATACATAGGACGGCATAAATATAGGGCGCCCTATATTTATGCCGTCCTATGTATTATGTATATGCCATATTGGAGGGACCCGATGGGGTCCCTCCCCGATGAGATTTTTTCAAGGTTTCCAAAAAGCTTAAAATCTTGAACGAGGTATGGAAAAGTTATTTTTTGAATATGTTAAAACCTGACGATACAATTTTCCAAAATTGTTTACACCTTGCAAGAATAAATATACATAGCCAACAATTTTTATAAATACGTATAATAGATAGCATTGGTCGTTGTATCTTTTTTAGTGAAAAATTGCGAGTTTAAATTTGTGAAAATTTTCACCCATTTTGTTGAACAGGGTTCGGAAAAACCCAGGGTTTTAATCAAAAAGTAACGACCCAGGGGTTTTAATGGGTTTTAATGGGTTTTTTGGGTTTTAATGGATTTTATGGGTTTTATTGGGTTTTATTAGGTTTTACATAAGTAATACATTGAAGAACAATTTTCACTACTATTGCAATCCAATTTCAATTAATATGCAAATCCTACTTGTCCATGTTAAAATTTGTATCCGTTTCGAAATAGTCCTGTTTAACTGATCATAGTTTAATACTTTATGAGAATATATATTACCTTTTTCTCGAATACTTCCTCTCATCATAATGAAATCCAAGTTGTTTAAAAGTTTTTAAAATTTAATATTTCAATGCGATCTTAACGTGTATTATCAATTCTGGAAAAAATCGAGTACTTATGAACAATGAAAGTACGTATGTATTATGATCGAAAATATAATAAGTGCTTTTTACAGACACACTTCTTTTGCTCATAATAAAGTACTTCGCTGTCCATAAGTACTGGATTTTTCCAGAGGTGATAATTAAGATCGCCTTGAAACATTTTAAAAAACTTTATAAATTAAAAAATACTACAGTATTTTGTTTAATTTATTCGCTGAGACGAGAGGAAGTATTCGGGAAAAAAGTATTAATTATGACAGCAAAATGTAAATTAAATGTAATTAAATTATGTATGCTCAGTTAAACATACCTCGTTCCGAAATTATTATTTTTAAATATTTTTGTCACTTGAAACTTGTAATGGCACTCGCTGATTTATTCCTGGTTTTTAAAACTTACAGTATTAATCAAATAAACTGCTTAGCTGCCATGAAACAACTTCGTCTAACGTACGACAGCTGTTTTCAGCTTTTAGAATATAGTTTTAAGCTGAAACACAGTTAAAACCCATTAAAACCCTAATAAAACCCATTTAACATGGTAAAACCCAATGGGTTTTATTCGTTAACAACCCAATAAAACCCATAGTTATCAGTTTTGTAAACTGATAACTATTAACACGTGAATAAAGGTTTAAATCAAATCAAATCAAAAACCATTAAAACCCAAAAAACCCAACCCAATAAAACCCTGGGTCGGAATACCCTGGTTGAAATACTAATAAATTATTTTTTGAAAACTTTTTTTGCAATGCTTAAATAATAGAAGTTTAACATTTAAGTTTTGTTAATATTTCAAAAAACGATGGAATTCAAATTTAGAATGCAGGCTTTCGCTATTTGAAATAAAATTGGCAAATTTTTGCAGTTTTTTGCATATTGGTGATCAGCATGAAATTGCGGACAGGGATATAATTTATAAACTTCATATCATTATTCCAAAGGCTGTTATCTACACATATGTTAAAAGCATTGGAAAAATTGCACCTTTTTTGGTGCAGCTTTCGCCACATATTTCGCAAAAACGTGATTTTGCACCGTATGTCCTATGCCAAAGTTTTAGTTACACTAAATTATCTATCAATTAAGACCATCCGGAAGGAAATCGAGATGTGACAGTACTTAAGGTTCCCTTGTAAGTCCTATGGATGATATGTCGTATAGTCGTATTCTACATCTTCTGCAGATAACTAATTGCTCCAGGAAAAGTCATTCGAGTATTAGAATCAATTTTGTACGCGTATTTACGGAAGGATAAAAAATTAAGATTTTCACAAAAAATACGTTTTCGTACGACTATACGTTTATATACACATTTTTAAATGCACTCTACTCGAAAATATTGCTTGTTGACAATTCATGCAGTCTTACCAGGATGCGGACAGAGGATCTGTGTCCATCACCACACGGCCGACATACAAGATGCATGTGAACAACTTGAGGATCATCCGAGCGATCCTAATCCTGAGACTGGAACGCTGATTTTTTATGAAATACAGGTGGAGGCGTTCCTTGATCGTATTTTCGTTGACGTAGTATTCCACCCGGACCCTGAAATTGGAAACATGAAAACCCATTTTAACATTGCATCATCATCATCATCATATTACTTCGGTTGGATAACCCGCAAAGATAAAAGAGACTTGTAACTGAATAATATGAGGCATGTGTGCACCACAGGCTCTGCTCATGAGAGAAGACAGGTGGTTAGTGAAAGGTGGAAAAGTGAACATTGATTCGTAAAAAATATGACAAAAGAGCAAAATGAAATAGTCTTACATAAAATTAAGTAAAAGAAAGTTGTGTATAAGCATATTTCATAGCATGGCGATGAAGAGAAGTTTGTAAGTAGGCCATTGCTCGTGATTAATTGATATTGTTCTAAAGTGCAGAGTTGTGTACGCATATTTTCAGCATCGCACTTTTAGATTGGATTCGCATATTGCTAGAAGAAGAGGCAAGAAGCCAGAAGACTCCTATGACGAATTCAAACGAATAAAGGAGACAAAAAACATCACATCAGTCGCTCCGAGGAAATGGTGAAAGTTTGGTGTTGAGTCTCAGTAAAAAAATGTCATAGACTTGTTTCGTCTTTGATTTTTAAGCAAAAAAGTTCCCAAATGGAGAAAATATGAAAGTTTTGTTGAAACCGTGTCTTTCATCTCATCAACTTTTTTCATAAAAATGTAGACATTTTTATGCATATTAAAAAAACTATTTTCCTTATTTGCTGAATTTTATTTTGTTCAAAGGATGGCGATGAGACAATCATTTTTAGTAAAGCTACATACTTTTGATACAGCCAATCAAGTCTTTAATATTCTGGACTCTCTTCTTTAATATGTAAATATAGCAATAAATTGATTTTTAATTGGCTGTCAGAGTTTGTAAGAATCTAAGCATGTCACACATTCCATCAAAGTTTATACGTATGTATGTACATATTTATGTAATATTATTGCTGATCCTAATAGACGATACTGACAATAATGTTGCTTCACAAAAGGTCTAAGAAATTCATACGAATAAAAGATGTGCACACTTCATAGATCTTCTTTATCAAAGTATATCAGTACAAAAGAGACTTTTCCATTACAGGTATTACATATTATTCGCATTGGACTGGCAGACGTCATTCTTCACCTGTCATTCTATTTTTTACTTTTACAAAAGCTGCAACATATTCATCTCTGCTCCATTGTGGGGAATAAGACAGCTTTGAAAGCAGATTGTAATATTCCGTAAAATTCTCGTCCATGTCCATCGAATGATTAGATGATAGAGATTGAAAAGGGTTGAACACGCCATATATTATTCAAATGCGATATGCATTGAGAGCGGATAATGGTTTACCGTCAGAATGGAATAATATTTTCGCTGCATGTGCATGCACGGAGGGGGCTGGAATGGTCACAGCATAGAAACAGACGGTCTGGCTGAATGCATAGTTGGTGGCTGAGTTAAATCAAATTCAGTTGTTTATCTTGTTGACAGTATATTTCCAGAAATAGAGGAACGCAAATTGACGGCTGGAAATTGAACATTCTTTACTTGAGGTAAAATGGAAATCCTGACTGATGGAAATTGATAGGAGATTACATTGGATTTGGTTTGGAAAAATCCTTGGTGCATCCAACTGTGTGCTCGTCTCAACAACTCCACTTTTCTGCTTTCACCACCTCCTCTATCTTTGAACATTTCCAAGTTCGCTGAGATTTAATCCACTAATATAAAGCCTCCTCTTGAGACAGGTCCTGAGCCCGTTCTTCCACTCGGTGGTCTAGAATTTGCCAAACTATCAAACCTCAACTAAAGGGATACCGCAAACCGCCGCATGTACAGTCCTGTCAAAAGTGCTTTCCCGTAGTGACAAATATTGGCAGCGACCAAACATGTAGTCACCAGCTATGTACGATTATTGGTCAGATTGAACCATCACATTCAATCAACCTTGATGTGTCTGCCTGTCTAATGTATATATCTCATCATCAGCGTGCATGTATGTATGTATGTATATACTAGCTGTAAACGCAGTCTGATGACTAGTTGACCTTTCTATTCAGCACTATGCACGTATTGTACAGGATTGTCTAATCAGAATTCGTATAGAGATATACACACAAAATTGTGCCATAAATTAGCATGAATGTGACGAGTATTGTGGGGTATGGCAGATCAGTTTTGAACAAAAGTGTTGGTTTAAATAAGAAAAGAAATCTCGGCTTTCTCCAGCCGGGCCCTTTCCTGAATTCTCAGCTATCCTGCATCGTCGTGCTTGAAATCTCGATCGCAGAAAGCACGACCTTTTCAGATTTATTTTACCTAGTGAAAACTGCTCAATCCTGGAGGAAAATCACCAGACTGGGACATTGGTGACACGTCACGGATTCTTTACTCCGCTGCTTTCTCCATCAGAACGGGTGTAATGAGGGCGAGGAATGCATGAAATAAGTTTCAGGGATTCCAAGCAAAGTGGTTCAACAGTGTCAATAGCGTCGGTGATGTGATGATCTCGTATTCAATTCATTGTTTGCTGTCGTCCTCAACCCTGCCGCTGGTGAAAGTTACACGGGGAACAAGAACCATAGGCGGGTTAAAGGTTGGAGTACTTCCTTCCGTTAATTCAGAGATGTTTTGTATGCTGCCCTTCCACCAGGAAATGTTACTCACTTCATAAGACCCAAAGGATATTTGTTCAACTTTGCCAACAGAAAATAGCTTATTATCCTTTTGCACGCTTTGGCCATTACTACTTTATTTTCAACATGAACTTTTGTCATCATTTCCCTCTTTTCCCACATTTTGTGTGTCGTCATGAGCAAATGCCTCTGTTCTGTACCGTGTTCTCATTATTTAATTGAGACAGCTAAGGTAGAATGTATCATTAACGTATAAGTACTACCACTTCGCAACATTTATGACAACTACATATAAGCAGAATTCACATGACATGGCAGTCAACTTGGGAAATTTACGTAACAATTACAACATCTTTCTTTTGAAGGTTGGAAAATGTCCACATCAAATATTTATTCAAAACTACTCCTTCTCTCTCTCTCTCTCTCTCTCACCCTCACTCTTTCCCGACTTTCCAATATGTCTCACAATTTCACAGGTGAAACGGTAAGTGCCTGTCAACATTCGTTCGATGCACCACACCATTCATTTCACTTTTTATGCCGACATTTCATGTTTCTTAATTACTATGTTTTAGGAGAGCACACGGTTCTGCTAACCCACCCCAAAACAAAATTAAAATGATATCTTTGCATTTAAGACATGCATATTTAGAATCATCGTTTAAATTAATTTTTCAATAAATTGCAGTATCACATGCAATAAGCTTTTCATGCACGCGGGGACATTCGTCGGTTCTATAAAGGGAAATGTACCATCGTTTCTGTGAAAATTAAAGAAAAGCTCTCAACATACGCAATATAAATGCGCATAACTGAATTGTATTCCCATGACCCACATGGATTTGAAAACAATAAAATGATCTGTGGGCCGCATTTCATGTTTCGTTGACGTGAAGATTTATTAATGCAAGGCTGATCAAAAACAATTGAAACCACGGTGGAATAGGTAGCAAATCATGCAAATGGTTAATTAACGAATTCACTTGGATTCAAAATGTTTGAATGTTCAATTAAAATTAAAACCTACTTTTCAGGCTCCAACTCGTCCAAATATTCCGTAGAAGAGGTAACAGAATATTCTGGCATTTTGGTGGTGGTGGAGTTGGTCGTGATGTTGGTGGAGAAATGTCGTCTTAAACTATTTGCTCATTACACGTAACACGATCAATGTCTTTTTTATAGAAATATAAATTCAGTCTCATTCGTAGAGATAACAATGCAATGTGCACACAAAATTTATTCATGAAGTCTTCGACATGAAATCTATCACAGTGGAAAAAGGCTTTGCACCTGCTTTCGACTCAAACACAGGAATAACTTCCGATTTCGACTGTTCACACATCATTTATTCAACTATCACTGTTCACATGGCGCTCCAGCCCCACTGCCTGTCACGACAACTTGCCAAAAACTGCAACAATTTGAGAGAAACAAATTTGTGATGGTAATGATGAGAGAACGGCTTTGGAGAAAGTGTTGGATCGCAAGGCTGGGGACATATTGAACTGGTTGGATCGAATGGATGCGTAGAAATATGATAAATTATTGAATGATGAGCTTGTAATGGATGTTGCTGTAATTTCAACAACACGTTTCTAAAAAAACACTCTTCTTTTGGCGTCTCAGCATCACTACGTATCGACTGATCATGTTATGATCGTCCCTCAAGTCCCGACTACATTTGTTGTAAAACTGGAATATTCAGGAACGTCGGATGTATGATATTGTATCCTGACTTGTGTTACATGCAGCACATGATGGCATCTCATCTCGAGAGTTATTATCATTACAACAGCCGGGGCTTTGTTCCACGGGTATTGATTTCAACTGACTTGAGGATATCCTCCAGTGCACTCAACCATTAACAAGATTCATGAGGAGGCCGGGGATGGTATAGCCGGTCAATGCTCTGACAACTACATTTTGTATCTCTATTCTCTTCTCGAGTGATTCGACACTGCACATTTTTTGTGCAATTATATTCCACCAAATTGCAAATCAATACTTTTCATATCACAAATCATTACATGATACGACAACAACATACATATGGCGCTTTAACATGCACTTTAATGTTCTATTTTTTGCGAACCAGCACCATACAATATGTAAATCAAGAAAAATCTTCGCGTAAATATGCTTCCTTCTTCTTGGAAGATTCCATAAGCCACACAGAACACTAACTACTGTGGCACTTGAGACTTATTGATGTTCACCAGTCCATTTTATTTATTTTAATAATAAAGTCAGTACTTTTACCACCACTGTTCAACAACCCCCACTTGTTTAGTCCTCATTTGTATACTGACAAGGAGCTCGCATTTTATGTCGTACTTTGGCATGCAGCCTGTCCAGGAATGAGAAAGGGTGAGCACACTTTGGAGAGAGAGTTGGAGTTTTAATGATAAAAGAATAAAGTTGAGGCGGCCGCGGATGGGGTCAGACTAGCTGCATCCTCCACATGTCGTTTAGCATATTCTCCCACACACCAGGTGCGTTTATGCAATACGAATGTGCCAGCACGAAGAAGGTGCACTAAAGGAGACGACTGTCCGTTAATTTGTTGGACAGCCACACGCAGACAAAGAGCGAGGCGGAGAGCAATGCAATCCAGTCGCAGGAGAAAGTACCACTATCACAACCGGAGCACTTCATCCAACTCGGAGATTCGTTTCCGTATCGAATCTCTCTCTCTCTCTTGCCTTTTATGCCCGTGCAATCTTAACCAGGATCTACACCAACACAACCAACGCCACACTACACCCACCACCACCCTTAACTCACAAGGTTCAACCAGAAAACCAGCATGGTGCAACCAAGAGGATGTGGGAAAGCACTCAAATTGTCAAATTGTCCCGTAGCCTCGCGCTTTTGCAATCTGACTGGACTACCAGAAGCGAGAAGAATCCTAGAATTATTTCGTTGATGGTCTTTTTCTCCCCATACACGATTCTACGTCAGTCAGATTTTTATATGGCATTATATTCTGCTGCTGCTGCACTGCACTCACTTTCTTCTTCTTCTACCACCGACCATTACATGCTACAGCCTGCAAACTGTCACAACAGCCAGCACAAATGTTTTCTTGTCAAATGACTTCATCTCGTCATATGCTATCCTTGCTGGAAATATCAAACAAGTTTGTCTCAATTTGCTCTCCAAGTGTTCACTCAAGCCAACTTTCACCTTCGAGTTGTGCGCACCCGATTGTAACTCATCAAAGACCAAGTTCAACTACTTTCTCTCGTATTTCCCTCACCTAACTGACTACTATTTTGAATTACTCATGTCGTTACTCCAGAGTTATCAGAGTGGGCAGGAAAATGAGCGAGGTGTAAGAGGAGAAAGTTCGTCATTTTACACACGCAGTATCCTTAAAGTTGAGGGGACTTGTCACCTACCACCAACCACCACACTCAATTGGAACACTACTGACTAAAACCAACTGGGTTCGCCACAATTTCGAAACGTGCTCCATTTCTGCTATTTTCCACTCAACCACCACCATCTACGAGATGGTTACTCACCCTCCGACACCACCGACCACTCTCAATTGAGACACGACACAGTGGTGAAAATTTCTCCTCCGTCTGATAACACGACGTTTCCACTTGTGAGGCAATACAAGAAATTGGAGTTGATTGCTTGAAATTTCGACACGAATCTATTGGGAAATTGAAAACTTTTTTCCAGTGGTCGACCACATTATTGCAACCAAACTCCACGTGTACACGACACAATATTTGGTGTGGAAGTGACGAGATACACTGGGCAGCAACTGGGATATAAATTTTCTAAATTGGTCATCGAAAGGGCAGGCAGCCTGCTTGGAATTTCTGGATTGGGTTGTTATTGTGATATTCGACTCGAGTTAGGTAAAACAGTGAGATTCTCCAATATTCAATATTCAACACTGCTATGCTAGCCCGTGAATTATAGCAATGTTCGCCGCTCCTTCCGATCAGAATGGGAGATGGGAGAAAGTGGAAGTAGAAAATAGAAAGTAGAAACCTTTTGAAAGTTGAATGACTATCGATTATTACATTAGGAACGAATTGACAACGACGTAACCACGACGCCAACAAAGCGACGGATCCACTTGCCGTTCGAGATATCCAAATCCATCCAACTAACTGTTTGCTAAGCCGGGTTGGATTGTTGGAAGGTGGACTTGTCCTCAGCTGCTGATGGCATGAGAAAGGCATCAAATGCCAGTATTAGTACATGTATGATGCACGAGCGTATTGTAAGCAAATCTTGCCCTTCTCTTATTCGTGGACGTCCATGTATTTGTACGTATGGCGTGCTTGTGAAGATTATTACAGTGAAATATGACACACCACCACTAACCGGACGACAATCAACCGATGTGGAGAATCGAGCCCCATCATTCTCTCCAACTACCGCTTAATAATTGACGAGAAAAGGTGGTCAAAGTAAGGAAACTTTTAATTAGAAGTGGACACGTCGCGTAATTTAGCTGGAGGGAACACTGTTCAATTAGACCTCTCTGCGATACGATTACCTATGTTACAGAAACTCGATTACTCGACCAGCCCTAAAAAGAAAGCTTTCATGATGTCACACAAGAAAAGGCAGTCGGCGAGAAAGCTTCATATTTGATGGATACGACTGCACCGTTTTCTTGTACACATGCACATATGTACATATTGGCAACCCCATACATACACAAGTCTCATTCTGCAGCAGAAATATTATTGAGGAGACTCATTGATTTTCAGAGGACAGGTAAATGATAAGTTTGATGTCTCTCTGAGGAAGGAAGGACGGGGTTGTTGCTCATTCTACCGTCCGTCCCCACCGCGTATGTGTTCGTGTGGATAGATGGAGGAATGAGATGGACTGGAATAATAATCAATTTAATAGGATGTCATCCGACTCGTGGGAGGGACACGAACCACGCCATGTCACTCTTCCCAATCCATTAAAATTTACAACCCTTCCGCGTGGTCCACCCTTCCAGATATGTTTATGTGCATATACACGAATGCCTCTCCTTGTATTTCTGCATCACGTGAACCACAAAAGAAAGCAGCAGACAAAACAGGACCCAACCCAACCAACCAACTGCTCAGCAGACAATCAAAGAAACACAAATAACTGAATAAAATTATCGGTTCCTCCACAAATGCGCTGTTTCCGTTTATTGCAATTTCATCTGTGTATTAGAGCACAATGAATGAGAGCCACCCACTTTCACTTCAAAAGAAATTCAGTAACGAGAAATATTTTAGCTGGAGGACCAACTTGATCCGTGCATACATACGTTCCGACCCCATTCAACACGTTTGCATTCAAACACATATAACAAATCCCGCTAGATAACCATGCCTTTCCGAAAATGTGGTATTGCAATGGGAGAAAGCACATTTAACATGTTGGAGAAAGTAAGTAGGATAAACACACAAACACCACAAACCATCCTGTAATTCCTTCAAGCGTTGCATTGAAACTCTTCTTTGACATTAAATATAGCGTAATTGGATTTGCTTTTCAGAACGGAATGAAGCTTAAGAAAAGCATTTGATACAGCGAGAACATGAAAAAGAATACGACTCGGCTCATGCAGCCTTGACTTCTGACGAAGAAAAGTTTTCATTCTGCAATGTCTGCCCATTGTGTTCTTCTTCATGCTTGGTTGGTATGCTCGACAGAGTTGGGAGAGTAAAAGAGGAGCACAAAAAAGAGAAAGAATGAGACTGTTGTATGTATAGTTTAAGCTTAAGGATCAGAGACTCCCATTCTCCGTGCCATTTAGCAAACAGATATTTGAGCACGAAACTGGAACACCTGTGCAATAAATTACTCCCCCTTCAGTCTTTCAGGTCATTGTTTTAATGTGTATGCATGCCGTATGCGAACCCTCAAATCCTGCCACGATGTGCTTTCTTTCTCCAAAGAAAGGTTTTGTTTCTCCGCCCAACAAAAAATTAGGGAGACTTTTTCTCATTGTTTACGAACATGATTGTTCGCTAAAACAATCAACCTATTTGAAGATACAACAGAAAAATTGTTTTAAATGATCCTGTAGCAGATAAAAATTTTCCCATTATTAAATTACGAAAAGCTGTGTTTATTTGATAAAGCTACACAGTCATAAACTCGATAATTGGAATGAATGATGGATTATTGTTATGCCTGACACTTGCGTGGGGATTCTGATTGCTTTGCAAATACATACTTGTATTTGAAAGCTGTCAGTTTGCTTTATTCAGTTTGAATGGTGTATGTTTTACTTGTCAAAACATGTTGTTCAATTTGTCACAAATACTTTGGGCTATTATCGTTATAACCCAAGTGCGTTTAGACTAATGCAGGGAGACAAGGACAACTCAGGTTACACGCATTAATGGACTGTCGCCGAACAAAAGTTCATTGCAATATGTCAAAGGCAGATCGTAAACAGGAGAGATTAAAGAAGCGAAAAGAGGACTCGTCTCCACCGCCGAGAGCACTCTGTATGTATTGTCGTGCTTTGAAACACGAAGCCAGAGCTCATTGTCCACTAGACTGAAAATATTAAAAATATCGTGATTAAAAAATATGACAATGGAAGAAAATGTCCCCGTAAATGGCGTAGTTTGTGCTCTGAAGTAATGCCGCTGGTCGATTTGAGACTTCTCGTAAAAGTCTCATATCCTGCTCTACTGATGACAAAGGAGACCATTTTGTGTTATACACAGCATGGAATTCACTCCTGATGGTAGAAAGCAATCTGGTTAGAAGAGCTTCACAACAGGAAATTTAAGACACTAATAGTAAAAACCATTGAAGCCAACCAGTTTGATGACGGCATACGAACGATGCCCCCCGCAGATAATATTCGTCAATCTTTGCTAAGTTGCCAACGACGGTATTATTAATGGTTTCAAACCCGTGTGGTAAAAAGTTATTGCAGCTTATTTTCTTCAGATGCTTCAGATTCACAGCTTGGCGTACATGTATTTGTTTCACAAAATATGCACATATGTAGGTGGACGTGGTAAAAGTATGTATGTACACGACCAACAACATTAGAAATCACAGCACAAAAAGCCAAGTCTTTCTAGACTTGAACAAACCCTTCGATCTCATTTCCTTCTGTCACTCCTCCATGACGGAAAGAGTCAAAAGATCATCACCAGCATCACCAGACCACTGACTACAATTTCCGTGTACCAACAGAGACGCTAATCAGACCACATCACACGGTTGAGCAAAATGACGATATGGACATCATAAGAAACAATAAGCCTAATAATCATTGTGCTTCAAAAGCCCAAGGGAATTCGTGCCAACTCTTGTGCCAGCAAAGTCATTCAATAGAATGCACATTAACAATCGAATTGATCTGCCTGGGCCATCGCTTGTCATGATTTCTCAGCGTGTTCAGCAGTGCGTCTCGATTATATATCTTCAGCAAAAATGACGTTATCTGTCCAACATCAGAACTTTCTCCTTTCATATGAAACTTGATGATTGCTGGTAAAAAGGGGAAAATGAGAGCAGGTAACAGGACGCAACAACCACCAGAGTTTATATAAATATAGATATTATTTTTTTAAGCAATTTTGAGAACATGCCATGTCTGAAACAAAATTATACCTTTTGTGGAAAAGTGAAATTCTAGACAAACCTTTAGAAAAATGTACCCAGCCTAAATGCCATTTATGTTTTTAAGGATGACGATGAGCTGAGTTTTGTTCGGGTAACGACTATTTTCTCCTCCGCCTTCTTTCCAAAGTCTCAGACTGAAATGTGCAAGGTGAAACCCACCAGCACGGTTTCGCCACTTAGAGAGATAATGGCCATATTTGACGTAGACATCTATCTTTTGATAGGCAAAGACAGAAAAAAATCACAAAATAAGGCTACCCAACCATTAAATCGGGTGTCTAAGAAAATGTTGTTCCCCCGTTTTAAGAAATATCTCAACACAAGCTATAAAAGCACTGCAAACCACAACCATGAGAGCCCGGAAATTCGTGGTTCACCTGCTTTATACTTACGTGGTTAAAGTGTGGTAGAAGATAAACCAGATTTTTTTTTACTTTCTTCCAAGTCAAGTGTTTTATTTGCATTGCTTTTTATGAGCATAAAATCTTGTGCTTTATGAAGTTTATCCAACACTTGAGAGCTACCAAGCAAGAAACTTACTTGCTTTGGAGAGTAAAAATTTAAGTTCTACATAAACATGTTGTGCATGCACCTTTCATGAAGTAGAAAGCAACTTCCACAAAATGTATGACTTAGGAATTTAAAGAAAGGGACAGTATTGATCTTGTGTTGATGTTGCCCCTACTTTTCCTAACGTAAAAGTTCTGAATTTCTAAATTACAGTTACCCAATAGCAATACCACTTAATGCCAACTACGACAAATCACAAATGGTTGTATGGCAATGGTACTCTAAAAAGGTCACTCTGGAGTAAAAGTTAAATTTAAAAACTTCTTCCTATTGAAAAAGTTGAGCAAGTTGGTCACAATGTGTGGCAATTTGTAGTTGCATGAAATTGCTTTTCGGCTTAAAGCCTCGTTGAGCTGTTTATTTTGGTTCGACAGGTAAATGTCAGTCAATTTAGTAGCATACAGCATTTTAAAATTATTCACATTTTCTTGCACTAAACCGACTTTGAACCGTAATGGAAAATAAAATTTTCAAACTTTTTCCATGATTGTAGATGATACATGCATGCAGGTGTAAAATTTGGTGAAAGTTTTCGACTTTCTTTAGCAGCTCACTAATTTGTACTCGTGAGACCCCGAAATCCTCCGCCCCCGTCTTAATGTGCACAGAGCTTAAAAATAACTTTCTTGGCTTTGCATTCGAATATATCTAATCA